TTGCTGCTCGCTGTCGTCTAGACTACGCTGCTAGTCTTGTCGCTGAGTCTGAGTCTGTCTGTCCTCCGTCCATCGGGGGTGAGTGTGCCCTTGGCACGGACGTCCTTGAGGACAGGCAGGAGGAGTTCCAGTGCTTGGCAGCTGCTTCACCTCATCTCGTGTCCGTACTGCTTACCCCTGAGGGAGACCCGGATGCACTTGACATCCCGACTCCGCGCTCTTACGCGGAGGCAATAGAGGGTCCCTACTCCTCTCAGTGGCAGGCAGCTATGGATGCAGAGATGGCGTCCTGGAAGTCCACAGGCACCTACGTTGACGCCGTCCCCCCTCCTGGGGCGAACATCGTCAGTGGCATGTGGATTTTCAGGATGAAGCGGCCGCCGGGTTCTCCGCCTGTCTTCAAGGCGCGTTACGTGGCTCGTGGCTTCAGTCAGCGGCAGGGAGTTGACTACTTTCAGACCTTCTCTCCCACCCGGAAGATGACCACTCTTTGGGTACTACTGCACGTAGCTGCTCACCGTGACTACGAGCTACACTCTCTTGACTTCAGCACTGCCTTCCTGCAGGGCAGCCTGCACGAGGAGATTTGGCTGCGCCGCCCACTTGGCTTCACTGGGACTTTTCCTCCTAGCACCCAGTGGAGCCTGCGGCGGCCAGTATACGGTCTCTGCCAGGCACCGCGTGAGTGGCACGACACACTAAGGACTACGCTTGCGGCTCTTGGGTTTGCTCCCTCTACTGCTGACCCGTCGCTGTTTCTACGCACCGACACCTCTCTGCCGCCGTTCTACATCCTCGTGTACGTCGACGACTTGGTCTTTGCCATAGCTGACACTGCTGGACTCGCCTACGTGAAGTCTGAGCTGCAGAAGAGACACACGTGCACAGGCCTGGGTGAACTGCGCAGCTACCTTGGCTTGCAGATCACCCGGGACAGAGCACGCCGCACCATCACCCTGACTCAGTCACACATGGTGCAGCAGGTCCTTCAGCGCTTTTGCATCACGTACTCCTCGCCTCAGGCCACTCCTCTGCCTACTCGCCACTCGCTCTCAGCTCTGCCTTCAGATGAGTCCGTAGAGTCGAGTGGCCCGTATGCAGAGCTTGTTGGCTGCCTCATGTACTTGATGACCTGCACACGACCTAACCTTGCATACCCTCTTAGCATTCTCGCACGCTATGTTGCTCTTGGGAGACACCGACCAGAGCACATGGCTGCAGCGAAGAGGGTGTTGCGCTACTTGTGCAGTACGTCGGGCATGGGGCTAGTGCTTGGAGGGCGGAGTCCAGTGGTCCTCACTGGTCACGCAGACGCTTCTTGGGCTGACGACCAGGCTACGCAGCGGTCGTCACAGGGTTACACCTTCGGCCTTGGTTCCGGCTCTGTCTCGTGGCGGGCTACTCACTCGTCTTCTGTTCTCGGCTCCAGTTGTGAGGCTGAGATCTACGCAGGGGCCATGGCTGCTTAGGAGCTACGCTGGCTCACCTACCTGCTGACCGACCTTGGAGAGCCGCCTCATTCTCCTCCAGTCCTGTACGTAGACAACAAGGCCATGCTGTACGTAGACTGGAGCACAGAACAAAGCACATTGCTCTCCGCTACTTCCTTGCTCGTGAGCTACAGCAGCGTGGTCAGTTGCGGCTTGCGTACGTGGCCTCTGAGGCCAACACTGCTGATGTCTTCACCAAGGCACTTGCGCCTTGTGATCATCAGCGAGTCTGCACCCAGCTGGGTCTTGTACCTATCTTGCCTCACTTGCTCACCTCTTTACCTTGCTTGTACTGTTACATATATATATACCTGCTCTTGCATGTTTAGCCTTGTATATATATGTACTCCTGCATGTGAACTGGCCTTGTGGCCTTGAACTTGTGCTCGGAATGTGTGGTGACTTTGTGATCCACCCTGAGCTTGCTTTGCTTTGCTTTACTTGACTGGTCTTGTGACCCCTAGTTCTCCCCCACTTCGCTTATGGGGGTGTGTCAAACATTATATATGTTGTGCTTGTTTAGGCTACATTGGGTTAGCCTATAGGGGGTACACAATTCTAGGGTTAGGTACTTGTACTGATTTCACTGTTAGTTCAATCATTCCTGTTCATTCATTTCAACAGCTATCGCTGATCGAGTTCGCATACAACAACGCCACGTCAGCGACAACGCAGCAGTCCCCCTTCTACCTGAACTACGGGCAAAATCCTACTGTGCCCATGACGCCGAGTCCGGACAACCCAACACCACGCGCACAGCAGTTCGGCGAAATTCTGCAAGCTGCCCGCACCAGAGCAGCAGAAGCAATTAAAAAAGCAAATGTCATCCCTAAGCGCAACGTCGACCGCCACTGCCGCCCAGTCACATACCAGTCAGGGGATTACGTACTGCTCGACACGCAAAACCTGCGACTGCCCGACGTACCAAAACTTCGACTGCGCTACTATGGCCCATTCCAAATCAGCCATATGATCACGCTAGTAAACGCACACCTACTTTTACCGACTGACTGGTACATCAGCCCTTCGTTCCACATCAGCTTGTTTCGCCCATATATCCCAACCACAAGCCAACTGCCTCGCCACCGCCCGCCATCTATGACTCGCCCTGTATCAGAGCCGATCATCGAACCCGAAAAAATCCTAAGCCATTGGATTCGCCACCCCACGGGAATCAGGAGGATTGAATTCCTTGTTCGCTGGAAGGACCGCACGCCAACTGAAGGTAGCTAGGTGCCCCTGGCCATTCCACGATATACATGCACTCGCGTAGCGGAGGGGGCTTCTTGAGGGGGGGGGGGGGTAAGTGTAAGGAATTTTCTCGACATTCCTTACGGAGCCCGACTATATCGCGTACAGCAACAGCCGTTGTTCGCCCGTTACTGCTAACGGGACTTCACCAACTTCGCGCGCACCGTTTTGCCAAACCTCGCACTGCTGGTTCGGCTGTGTCGGCCTACACTTCGGGACTAGCCCGAGCCTCGTTGCCAGCATAGCACTAGCTAGCTCGCACGCACCGCGTTACCGTTTGCATGTTTCGCATATAAATGTTCGATCATGCCTTCGCTGACATCTTTGTACTCGTTTGACACCTTGGTGCAATTCTCGCTACTTCGATTCATTGCACTCGTAACAGTATGTTATATTCTAGGAACCCCACGTTACATATAGTTAGAGTTCAAAACAATAATGGGAGGGTTATACAGTTATTAATATGAATGACATATGGACATAACATCAATATTGTTTCAGAGGTATGGATAACGGACAGGCTGTCTAAGAGTTCCACCAAGTGATGCATGCTGCACTACCCTACGTGATTGATGTGCTTGAGTGCAGGAGCTGTTGGAAAACTTAACAAACTGAACATTGATAAAAAAAATCACTTATCTTTCAAATACGGAACAGTGTATATTAACTGCAGTGTTGTGATATTTTAAAAGAGTCTTCTCTTGTTGACCGTGGATCTCATGTCGCTGACATAGAACGATTCATTGAGCGTCGACGTGGCTGACTTCCGTTGGTCGCCTTCGAATTCAGAGTGCTGATTATCCGTCGGCTGACACGCTCAAGGGTGTTTGCCAGCGCATCTATTGTCGCTTGGCCTTCCTCTGCTGTGCCTCACCAATTTCCAGGAGTGTTTCATGAGAAATAGAGAACGAAATGCTAAACTAAGTGTCAGGGGATTTCTTCAAGCACCACACACTTCAAGCCACACTTTCTGACTCCCGTCCCCTCACAACAACAAGCGAACCCGCAGAACAGCGAATTGTTCGAAGAATCGGAACATCTAAACGCGCTCCACTACTGCTCCCGGTTTCTCCATTCTCTCACAGGAATTTTGTGGCTGAGAGCTTCTTTCATCAGTCGCTGGTGCTTTTACGGCAATCCCTGCTTGCCGTGCGGATGTTGCATCTGGGATAGACTAGATTGTGGCTGGCACAATTAGGTTTCTGGCCGAGAGCGGCGGAGTGGGTTGTTGTCAGCTTGTTTTCTCTTCTCCCTTTCGAGTGTTTGACATTGCACTCTCCGCCTGCTTATATATCGCGTGAGGTCTTCCTCTGTACTCCCTTGTGTTTTGACTTCAGGATATAAATTTGCTCCGGATCAGAGGTGCTGAAGCGACTTTTATGCAGGACGCGAGATTTGCGAATTCGGGAAAAGTTAGATCCTAGCCCTCAGCGCCGCCAATGTTTTGAAATTATCTCAAGCAGTGGAGATCCGTCTTGGAAACACCACCTCATCTACGGCTGCACAACGGCTGCACTCCCACGAGGCCCCATTAGGCTAGTTTCCTCTTTACGTTTGCCCGTACGCAGTCTTGCCACGATTAAGACCACCGCAAGTCCGCGCTCTGCGGCTGCACGCATCCCCTGGCGCTGCGGCTGATTGAGTAACTCGTCCGCTACATCAGTAGCCATGGCTGCGCCTCTTCAAACCGTTTCTCTTCCCACGGCTAAGACTCTTGGATGCACGCAGGGTAGTTTACAACCTTCGCTATTAACAGATCGTCTTGCAACAACAGCAGCATCGCGGCAGGGAAGCCGTCCGTTGTTAACTCGTAACGGCCATGCGCAGGCTTCGCTCCGATGTCCGTCAGCCCATTCGTCTCTTCTTGGTCAACCCTTGTTTTCCTCCGTCGCACACGTCGCGTTGTTCTCCCGCGACACCTGGCGACGCTCAAACCATCGCAGTGCAAGCGCCGCCGCGTTCCTCCATGACCAAGCCTCTTCCAACATCTCGCCTCCGCGTTCCGTCAACAACTCGCAGTCCGTCAACTCGCCGTCAACGTCCATCCGCAGCGACACTGAACCTTCAGCCTTCGCCAACGACAACTATTCCGTCAACGCTAACCATGCGACTTTCGCAAACGCCAACACCAACACCAGTACCGGAACCTTCGCATCTTTCGGACAAATATCGTCCTCTTCAAGCCGCCGCGTTGAGTCCGCGTCGCATGGCGGTTATCCGTCAGCCACGTCAGCATCGCGACCAACTGCGTCGCAACACATGGCGTCGATCTCAGCGTCTCCGCCAATCAGATTCGGGGCGGAAGGAGCGCCGATCGACTTTCCTGTGCTCTGCCTGGGCTTCGTGGCATGCTCTGTACGTACGGGGCTGAAGGGCAGGCTCGGTGATACGGGTTCAGAGCGTAGGCTCGGGATGTGGGGTTTTTTTTTTTTTTTTTTTTTTTTTTTTTTTTTTTTTTTTTTTTTTTTTTTTTTTTTTTGTGCTCGGGACCCGATATGCAATCAAGGAATACGGAAGGAATGCCGCGGGTTGTAGGAAAGATTTGCAACTGCTCATTGCAGTGCACGTGGTCCATTCGCATGTATCACCTCTTTCCTTCCTTTGTTCCATCCCCGCAAACACCGCACGCCCCAGAACCCGTCCTTCATTCTTCCCTGCTCCCCTCTGCCCTGTCCTCTCCCTGATACCGCGGTTTCATGCAGATCACAGCAGCGCTCTCTGTCATGCTCGTCGCCGCCGTGCCTGCCCTTTTGGTGAGTACATGTTGAGAACGGCATGAGTACGTACTGAGAACGGCATGAGTACATAATGAGAACGGCATGAGTACATACTGAGAACGGCATGAGTACATAGTGAGAACGGCATGAGTACATAATGAGAACGGCATGAGTACATACTGAGAACGGCATGAGTACATAATGAGAACGGCATGAGTACATAATGAGAACGGCATGAGTACATAATGAGAACGGCATGAGTACATAATGAGAACGGCATGAGTACATAATGAGAACGGCATGAGTACATAATGAGAACGGCATGAGTACATAATGAGAACGGCATGAGTACATAATGAGAACGGCATGAGTACATAATGAGAACGGCATGAGTACATATTGAGAACTGCATGGGTTCATACCGAGAGCGCAGCACCCACTCGCACATAGTGTGTTAGGCTATGGGGAAACGGGCGGGGGAGTTTGAAGGGAAAAACGACATGGTAAGAAGAACCAAATGATTCCGCAATCTCTAGCAGAAGCTAATTGGTTCCCTCTGGGCTATTCTCGAGGCAGCGGAGGCGTTGGAGCAGCTAGCAGAGGTGGTAAGGGAAGAGGTGCCAGGGACTTGTGTGTGCTTTGCCAGTACCTTGTTCAGACTAACCAGCACCCCCTTTCCCTTCTTCGCCCCCCTCTCCCCTCAACCTCCTCCCCTTGCTCTCCCCCTCTCTCCCCTCATGTCCTCCAGGCCATCCGCAAGGCGGCACTGGCGTTGGAGCGGCTAGCAGAGGTGGCACGGGAGGAGGTGCCGGGGACGATGGCGGCTGTGCGGCTGTCCGGCATGGAGATGAGCGACCTGAGCATGGAGCTGAGCGACCTCAGGTGAGCGCAAAGGACGCTTAAGTTCTCTCTCAGGTGAGTCTCTGGGATTCTTAGGTCGAGGCAGGAGGCTGAGAGGCATCAGAAGTAGGTGCAAGGTGTATGGCAGCTGTGCAGCTGTCAGGCATGGAGCTGAGCGACCTCAGGTGAGTGCATGGCCAGGACAGGTAGAGACGGGAGGTGACAGTTAGAAGGAGGTGGCAGAAAAAGGTGTCAGGGACTATGGTGGCTGTGCGGATGTCCGGCATCGAGATGACCGGCCTGAGCATGGAGCTGATTCCCTCAGCTAAGATGCCCCCTGGTGAGTCTGGCGAGTCCCACATGCTCTCTGGCGAGTCTGTAGGACTCGCAGGTGCTTTCTGTTGGCCTCTGTTCTGTTCAGGCGGTCTGTGATATGCAAAAGCGTTCTCTCATTATTGTTGAAAGCCTTTGAGTTTGTCAAAAGTACAACGGGTAGTGTATGGGTTCCTTAATGAGTTAACTTTGTCCTTTCTCTAAATGCAGTCAGGAGATATCGCAAGGGATCAGGAATTCCGCTCGTGCAGTGCGACTCGCCGAGGATGGGTTGCGGAGAGTTGGCAGCTTGGCAGCTTCACGCACAGCAGGTAGGAATTTCCGGAGAGGTTTTGGTGAGTAATTCTGAAGGCTGATCAAAATTCTCGCAGTTTCAGCAATTTCCTTGCATGAGCATTGGAATTGTTTGTTTTGGTTGGTGACTGCCTCTACTCTTTCCTAATCTCCTCGTGTTTCCTGTCCGTTTTTTCCATGACAGCGATCATCGAGGAGAGAGCAGTGGTGCCTGTTCCCTCGGTGACTCCAGTAATTGCTTCAGCTGCAAGGAGCACAAAGAATGCTATTAGAGGGGCGAGGGACGTGGTCTCACAGGTTTCCCTCATCGGTCACTTGTCCAAATTCCTTCCTTGGGCTGATAACGAGCCAAACCGTAGATAGTAAATTGCATTTGAACTTAAATTGCTGCCTTTTTTGTAAAATTTACACACAATTCCTATCAATGTACCTTGCCAGTTCTGTCACTTAGTCAGTCCACCATAGTGAGGTTCCTGAAACTCCAGGAGAATCCACGTCATCGCGATAAGGTGGAGCTGACGGTACATTGGGGTTGCATGAACGTTGCAAGATCAATCCATCTGCTTTCTGTGTTCCCGAACCTTCATGTGGCGGACAGACGTGCCGCCACATTGGGTTCTAAAAGCACACGTCAGATGGGGGCTGTTACAAGCCAGATTCATTACCGGACTTGGCATTGCGTCGATCCTTCTTCCATTCAGGTTTCGAGAAACAAGAGCCATTGGAAATCCTGGTCAGCAGAAGATCTTTCTTCCTATTCGACGAGCGATTCGAGAGCGAAGCATGTCCACAAGATGGTTGCCTTTTTGTCCCACGCGTGCAAGGTTCTGTGGAAGAAACAAAGGGGAAGCATGATTCAACTTCAAGGGCGGCGGCAGGGCCTTGATGAATGCTTTCATTCATCTGCCAACGTGGACCCCTCGTATTATGGATATTGCCAGATCAGTTTCGAACAGCGATTGGGCGCTTCTTCAAATTTACCAGTTAAACTGGATCAGATTTAGCGTGCGGACGGAGCACGAATCGAAAGGGGGTCACTTGCGGGACCACTGACGATTACGTTGCTTGATCGTTGGTCAGCCCGATCGCAGCGCCTGCCACGCGTGCCTTGAGAACATAGCTGGCGTGGCGCTCTCCCAGGCATTGACGGCCGCATTACACACGTGGTTTGTGCAGACGTGGCGAGACGCATCGAGATTTTCTCCCTCGAAGACAGGCGGGAAGATGATTGCGTCATCCCCCTTGGAGTTGCTTTTGCGCTGTCATTGTCACAACATCCCATCTTTACTTTGCTTCACATCACGCCCGTGCTATGTGTGTGGGCTTACCCTTTCTGAATGGAGCTCCAGGCAACAGTATAACCTTGATCACCAACTGATCGCTTTCTCATTTCTCACTTGTGCATGCCGTTTTAGAGTTTCTATTTTCTGGCACGTTACACAGGTCCTCCTTTTATCTCCCAAAGCACCTTTCATCCTTGCGGCAAGTGAGCTTGGTTCCCCATTGCCTACATTGTACGACTTCTGCTGACCTGTTTCGGTGTTAGTAGCTTATCATCGAACGACAAAATTGGTTTCATGACTGAGCTTGACTCTGCCTTATCTCGCGGTTTCCGTCCCAAGGACGAAAGGAAGAAGCTTGATCACATGTGGAGCGCAGCTAACCACACCCAAGCAACTTACATCCATCCCATTTCACCACTTTTCGAGAAAATGGACTCAACGACTGTAAAGAGCGTTAAAAGCAGCCCCGTTTCGCCCTTCCAGTTCTTTCCCACCACGCCTCAATGTCCCTCCCTCTCGCCTTCATCCTCACCAGAGTCTTCCCACGTTACCGCTCTCTCATACAAGGATGATCCCTCACCACCAATCGGCTTGAGCCTCAGCCCGCCTTGCGCCACGTCAGCCCAAAGCGAAGACGACGATCAAATTTCTCCCTCCGTTGAATCAGCAAAAGTTTCAGCTGACGTATCCTCACACTGGAAGCTTCCCCACCCCAAGACAATCAAGCCGCAGCCATCTACCGTTCCTCTCCCCGGCGCGGCGGAGACAGAAACTAAGGCAGCTCCGTCCGGACCTACCCCTTTTCCTCACTTCGCCACACCAGCAGCAGCACCTGTTCCTTTCGGCCACATTCCTCCCTACCCAGCGGCAGCTGCGGCCGGATGGTGGGCTCCTTTCGCCACCTTCCCCTCTCACATGCTTCTCGCCCACTCACCCGCCGCCGGTCAAGCGCAGCAGCAGGCGATGGGGGCGCAGCAGAGGCTTTTTGTTCCCAATGCGCCGCCGTGGTTCTGCTTTGGTCCGCCGCCATTCCTTTCCCCTGCACGTCCTGCCCTACTGGCCCCTGGTGGTCCCGCTTCGGACGTAAACATGGAGATCAATAAAAGCCTTATGGCTGCCAGTAAGCCTTCCCTCTCTGGCGACGGTTCTCGCTCCCGCGTGCTTTCTTCTGTGGCGACGAAAGCTACTGTCAAGCGAAGCCCGTCGGCGAAATTGGCGGCGAAACCAGTGGAGGTGTTACCACGTGAGCGGCTCCCGTCGGGATTTCGCCCGTGGAAGGCTGCGAGCAGGAGCTCTGGGTCGAATGACACGTCAGCCCTGCTCTCGTCCAATGGCGCCACGACAACGTGCTCTGCTGCTGTGGAAGCATGCGCATCATCCCGTCAAGCCGTCTCATTCGCGCTGAAACCGTGCAGCCAGGGCACGGAGGGCCTTCAGAAAGTGAAGGCGGGCGGACAGCCAATTCGGCCAGCAGCGCAGCAGCCAGGGGCCCTGGCGGGTCCGGTCAACGCAGTCAACCCAGTCAACGCAGTCACCCCCGTCAACACTAATAGTCCGATGGGTCATCTACAGACTCCTCTTCGCATCCTCCCAGCTATCTCCCCTATCCCCAGCTTCCATTCTGCTGCTGCTGATCAAGCCAGAGCTTATGCTTGCACCATGGGTCAGTACCCTGGTTTCCCCTGGACCGCGGCTGCAGCTGCCGCTGCTGCTGCTGCTGGTGCTGGTGCTGGCGGTGCTGCTGGCGCTTCTGCTGCTGGAGTATTCGGCTTTCTGAACCCTGGGGGAACGGTTGCTGCTGAGGCTGGAGCAGGAGTGGTGGGGGACAAGAGAAGGCTTGGGAGGGCAGAGGGCGCAGCGGCTGGGAGCGTGGATGTGCAAGGAAAGAGGAAAAAGAGGCAAAAGCATGGAGGGGTGGGTTCCGAGGTGGTGGAGGGCCCTGCGGCTCTGAGAATGAATGGGAAGAGTGGAGAAATGGAGGGAGAGTGTGGCCGTAGCAAGGAGCAAGAGGAGGAGGAGAGGTCAAAGGATAATGAAAAGGAGAGGGAGAAGGAGAAGGCGTGCAGGAATTGTGGGACGCACACGACTCCGTTCTGGAGGAAGGACCGATCAGGGAGTGGGCAGCACCTATGCAACGCATGTGGGCTCTACCTCGCCAAGAATGACGCCCCCCGGCCCTCTGTGCTCTGGAAGAAAGGTGAGCGCTGCTGTCTGCTGGGTTTGTTTCATGTGATTTGCCATGTGTTTTCCATGATTGCTTGCCATAAGCTAGCTGCGGAAATGAACCAGTGGAGCTTACTAAATGGGACCTCCGAAACACCATTCACTACCTGTCACTATATCAAGGTTGCTGCCCTGTAATTACGAAATCAAGGTTCTGAGTGGAGAAATTGGAGATGAAAGGAGCCCCTTCTCATTTTTCTCCCCTTCTTTCTTGTGATCCGCTTATGTATTTGAACAGATTCCCAAGGGACTCCAGACAACACCAGCCCTGTAGTTGCTGCCAAGGCTTGAGTTGAGAGAAACAGTCATTGGCGCTTCCAGCTGGTGCAAGATTTCCTTGCAAACTCACTCCCTGCTTGCTCTACTAATAAACCTGCTCGCTACCAAACACCCAACCCTGCAGAAGGCTCCTGCCCTGTGACTGCAACGTGGTAGCCATACCATTTCAAGTTACACTACAGCTTACACTACAGCTTATCTCTAGTCTACTACATCACAGCTTACCTCTAGTCTAGATGCAGCCCGCTTTTCTAGATGGGATAGGAGGGCCGTGCTGGCCATGAAGTGGCACTGTAGATTACTGGTATTGTTAGAGGGGTGTTTACTGTTCATTCCGAACAGTACATTCCTAGTCACCATTATCCTTATCTTCTCAGATTCTCTAGTGCCACGTGGCACTCTACTTTTCTTGCACTCCAATTCTTGGTCCCACATTCCACTTTCCAACCTTGTTTCTTGCATGCTATATAAACATTGCTTGTACTTGCCATTATGAATCAATTCTCATTCAACTCTTCTTCAATTACTCAGTAACTTCTTCGCCTATTTCGCCAATAGTTCTTTCGCCCAAGTCTTCCGCCGCGTTTCATCCTCGACTTAGTCGACCCCGCTAATTCTTTAGCGGACTTAGGCCGTCGGGCCTAACACTTGGTATCAGAGCCTTCGCGGGAAGCGACTTCCAACGAGCGACCGTCGACGACGAGACTACGACGTCATCGTCCCGCGGTGCCGACTTGCAGACTTGGAGTCGTTGAGCGAACATGGACGAAACCATGCACGCAGTCCCCCACGACATGGGCAACACGCTTGCCGAACTCATGCGCCAACTTCAAGAGTTGACGCTGGAAAATCGACAGGTACGAGCTGAAATGCAACAGCTTCGTGAATTGGCTTCTAACCCCCATGGTCATGCCACACCAACTCTTGCGCCCAACACGTCGACTGGCGCGGAAGCGCTACCGGGACGTCGAAGCGCACTCAAGCCGCAGAAACCCGAGTCGTTCGACCCAAGTCAACGCGACGCGAACGTGCGGACGTGGCTCTTCATGCTGAACAACTACTTCGCCGCGAGCGGGGTGCAAGAGGCGGACGCGCAGCAGCGGATCGAGTACGCTGTTACACTGCTGAGGGGCCCGGCCTTGGAGTGGTGGCGCCAACTCACTCAAACTGCTGTAAGAAGGGCTCAGACGGACGGGCATCAACAGGGCGTGGGGCATGCAGCTGCAACTTCGAGCTTAGGGAGTTTAGCTTTGGGTGTTACCACGGTTCCGACCACATGGGAAGGATTTGAAGCGGCGCTGAAAAGTAGGTTCGATTTGGTGAACGTCTCCGAAGCTGCTAGGAAGCGTCTGCGTCATTTCCGACAGATAGGCAACGTCCAGGAGTACACACGACGGTTCTTGAGCATCTGCAACGAGATAGACGATATCACGGAAGCAGAGATGCGCGATCGCTACCTCGAAGGGTTGAAGCCGGACATAGCGGAAGTCATTGCGATTCACGGGTTGTCCACCTTCGAGTCGGTAGTCGCAGCAGCAGAACGCGTCGACGCAGTACGAAGCCGACGGGGTCGTGACGATCGCGATAGGGGATACAACAGACCGATCAACGACGCTCGATCGAGGGACGGACCATCGCCCATGGAGATTGGTGCAGTTAACAGTGACGGCTCACAGAAAATGGGATTTAGGGGGAACTGTCACTACTGCAAAAAGCCGGGACACATGAAGCGAGACTGCCCACAGCTTAAGGAGCGGCAGCAGGGAATCGGAAACCGCCAGTAGATAACGGGTCGCTAGCTGGTGTGGAGGTTCCCGTACCCGCCACGTCTACTAACGTAGAGGAGACGGCTTCGCAGCAGTCATCTACGGAGAACGAGGTAGACACTGTTGATCGTCCAGTCGTGCTTCTAGGGAAGCTTCGCGGAGTTCCTGTTAAGATTCTCGTAGATAGCGGAGCTAGCCACTCGTTCGTCTCTTCATCGTTAGTTTCTCGTCTCCATCTCGAAGCAGATTCAGCAGTCAACTTCAAGGACGCTCGCATGGTAGATGGGACGCCACTTCACATAGGACCGATCATCCGCGAGTTGCGCGTAGTGCTAGGACCGATCACAGTCAGGCGTGATTTCGGCTCTGCGACGCTGGACGGATACGATTTTATCTTCGGGAGAGATTGGCTACGGACGGTTAGTACTCAGTTCGATTGGGCTCAGGGAAGCTGCAGCGTCAAGGTAGACGGGGAGTTCTGGGAGCTGCCACAGTGGAGCGATGGGGCCACATCATCCACAGCTATCATTAATGCTGTTCGTGTGCGACAGTTAGTGAAGCGTGCGGCACGGATCTTCGCGGTTTTTCTTGAGGAGGTGGAAGCTGAGGAGGGGAAAGGAGGGAGTGCAGCAGTTAGTGAGAAGGCGACTCTTCCTGCTGAGGTGAGTGCACTGTTAGCAGAGTTCGCAGACGTCTTCCCCGACGAGTTGCCCCCAGGGTTGCCTCCCAGCCGAGCAGTAGACCATCGAATAGAATTGGAGCCGGGGAGCAGGCCAGTAGCGAAGCCGCAGTGGAGGTTGAGTCCAGCGGAGACAGAGGAGATGACCCAGCAAGTTAGGCACTTTCTCGCACAGGGTTTCATACAGCCATCTAGATCGCCTTGGGCCGCACCGATACTTTTCGCACCCAAGAAAGACGGAGGGTTACGGATGTGCATAGATTACCGCGCACTGAACGCCGCCACCGTCAAGAATAGATTCCCGGTGCCGAGAGTAAAGGATCTTCTCGATGCAGTGCAAAGCGCTAGAGTCTTCTCAAAGATCGACCTTCGTTCGGGTTACCACCAGATTCGAGTAGTTCCAGAGGACCAGCACAAGACGGTGTTTCGTACGAAGCAGGGGTTGTACGAGTTTAGGGTTCTACCGTTCGGATTGACCAACGCCCCAGCGACGTTTCAGACGCTCATGAACACAGTCCTCTCCGAGTTCCTAGGGTCGTTCGTTGTCGTTTACCTAGACGACATCCTAGCGTTCTCTAAGACGAAAGATGAGCACGTGCAGCACTTGCAGAAGGTCTTCGAGGTCTTACGGAGGGAGCAGTTATACGCTAAGCAGTCGAAGTGCGAGTTCTTCCTTCCAGAGGTCGAGTTCCTAGGACACGTCGTATCCGCTAGTGGCATTAGGACTGACCCGAAGAAGATCGCAGCAGTACAGGATTGGGTAGCACCGACCTCAGTCAAGGATTTGCAGAGCTTCCTCGGTTTCGCGAACTACTACCGTCGTTTCGTTCAGGGTTACGCATCGATCGCTAGTCCACTCACCGACCTACTTCGGAAGGGCGTAGAGTACGTTTGGGGTCCTGCGCAGCAGCAGGCGTTCGAGCAGATGAAGCAGTCGCTCACGTCTTCACCGACACTGTCGTACCCTGATCCCACTCGCCCATACGTTGTAGTGACTGACGCTTCCGATCAGGCCTTAGGAGCAGTGCTTCTTCAGGACCAGGGACGCGGGTTGCAGCCGATCGCGTACGAGTCGCGTAAGCTTAGGGGAGCGGAGTTGAACTATCCCATACACGACAAGGAGGCGCTCGCGATCATCCATGCGTATAAGGTGTGGAGGTGCTACATAGAGGGGGCAGATAGTGTTATACGCACGGACCACTGTTCGCTTCGTTTTCTCAAGTCGCAGCCGCAGCTGAGTCGTCGCCAGGCTAGGCGGATGGAGTTCATGGAAGGGAGCTTTCACTACAGGATAGAGTACAAGCCAGGCGTGCGCAACCCAGCAGATCCGCTCACTCGCCCTAGTTGTCAGCTCGCCAGTCTCACAGTCACTGCTGGCCACCCACTTCTCACTGCACTCTTCGAGCACGGTTACACAGTAGATCCCGACTTCACACCGCAGCCGCCCGCAGGAGCAGAGGTGCAGGATAGTGTCTACATACGGAAGGGTACCACACGGATTTGGGTTCCAGCCTACCGCCCTCTTCGACAGCTCCTTCTCTCAGAGGCGCACGACGTAGTTAGTGTAGGGCACTTTGGAGCAGATAAGACGGCTAAGACGCTTAGTCGCACGTACTACTGGCCCGGGCTTGCAGCAGACGTAGAGGATTACATTCGCTCGTGCGACACGTGTCAGCGTACGAAGTCCTCTCGCCAGCGCAAAGCAGGACTCTTGCAGCCGATTCCACCGCCCGACCGCCCTTGGCAGGTAGTTACCATGGACTTCATCATGGCTTTACCGCGCACAGTTAGGGGTCACGACGCCATCTTCGTAGTAGTGGATAAGTTTTCTCGAGCAGCGCATTTCATCCCCACGCACGGCAAGGTCACAGCAGAGGAAGCCGCGACGCTGTTCGTAGATAACGTAGTCCGACTGCACGGGGTTCCAGATTCCATCATCTCAGACCGCGACCCTCGTTTCACTTCAAAGTTCTGGAAGCAGCTTTTCGCACTGTTTGGGACTCGCTTAGCCATGTCGTCTGCGTACCACCCAGAGACAGACGGACAGACCGAGCGTGTGAACCAGACCTTGGAGCAGATCCTTCGCAGCATCACGATGCACGACGCAGCCGCATGGGACAAGAAGCTGAGCATGGCAGAGTTAACCTACAACATCACGCACCACTCCGCCGCAGGCATGTCACCGTTCTTTGCACTTTACGGTCAGCACCCCAATGTCCCCACTCGTGTCGATCTCACACCCACAGTCCCTCGTGCGGACAACTTCCACCAGCATCTCACCTTCATTCATGATCACGTGAGGAAGCACCTTGAGCTCGCAAATGCACGCATGGCACGCACCACCAACCGCAGTCGTCGTGAGGTGTCGTTCGCAGTCGGCGACCGTGTTCTCTTGGATAGCCGCAACCTCCGACTGCCACAGGACAGCAAGCTTCGTCCACGTTTCATTGGTCCATTCGTCATTGAGCGCGCACTAGGTCCAGTCGCATACCGCCTTCGCCTTCCCGCACATTTCCGCATGCACCCGTCATTCCACGTGTCTCTCCTTCGCCCATACACTGATCCCAATGCCACCTTCTCGGGCCGTGATCGCACTCCACTGCCGGTAGCTGTTGACACCGACGAGCCCGACTACCAGATCCAACGCATCCTCAGGCACCGTCGCCGTCTCCAGGGGGGTGTCACTTTCATCGACTTCTTGGTTCGTTGGCGTGGTTACGACGCAGCAGACGACAGCTGGGTTCCTTCGTCCTCGCTGTCTCCTGACAACACTTGCCTCCAAGCGTACCTTCAGTCTGCAGGCGCCGCGGACGTCGCCTCCTTGGGCGGGGGGTAGTGTTAGAGGGGTGTTTACTGTTCATTCCGAACAGTACATTCCTAGTCACCATTATCCTTATCTTCTCAGATTCTCTAGTGCCACGTGGCACTCTACTTTTCTTGCACTCCAATTCTTGGTCCCACATTCCACTTTCCAACCTTGTTTCTTGCATGCTATATAAACCTTGCTTGTACTTGCCATTATGAATCAATTCTCATTCAACTCTTCTTCAATTACCCAGTAACTTCTTCGCCTATTTCGCCAATAGTTCTTTCGCCCAAGTCTTCCGCCGCGTTTCATCCTCGACTTAGTCGACCGCGCTAATTCTTTAGCGGACTTAGGCCGTCGGGCCTAACAGGTATGGTAATAAAAAGCCATTCTGGTTCAAATGTACAAACTATAAGAACAGGCAACCAGTGATACCGTATACATAAGTTTCGTCTATTTCCCTGAATCCGCATTTGCCTGCTGGAAGGCTTTTACCGTGCTATCTGCCTAATGTCAATCATAGAATTGATGCAGAACTCAATCACGTGCATCAATCGTAAAATTAGACGTGGTCAACTAGTGGAAGGTACAATAGCAGTAGCGATGTACGCTACATTCGAGGGAGTTGACCATTTGTGTAGTTGGTGGAACCAGCACCCAACCGAACCCAACGAACCAAGCCCTAGGGCCTCTTTTCTTGCGCAAATGTCGGAACGGCAATCTTTGGCTGAGTGTTAGTTGACCTTCATTTCACACCACCACCACATTCCCTAATACACACGGCCCACACAGAAACCCTGTACACACAGCACAACGGCTGACATCGCTAACTAAGTACTAGACATATCAGGCCGGGACACAAGAATAATCACTAATTAGTCTTACCTGGAAAAGGTTTCGACGCGGCACTTCCACATCACGTTAACCATCAGCTTGACGACGCCCGTACTGCTGTGGACCTTCAGGAGGTTGCTGCTGTGGTGTCATTCTCAGCCAAGAATGGGAATGGGGTCCGTGCTGCTTCCCTTCAATTCGACCAATTAGCGTCGCCCGAAATCGAAGGCTTTCGATTTCGTTTCGTGTAAATTTGGTTGCTTTGGTGTGGTTTTCGGGACGAGCTGTTAGTGCTGGTCCGTGGTTCGGAAACTAACAGAATGGGTGGAGTGGAGTCGGTGTTGGTTCCGTCCGATTCCGACGACGATGACGACCGCCAAGAGCGGCGGGAAAGGCGGCGAAGAGAGAAGTATTTTCGCGAAATGCAGAGGCAACAGCAGCTGCTACTGCAGCAGCAGCAGTACGGGCAGCAGCAGCCGTACGATCAGCATCAATTTCAGCAGCAGCAATACCAACAGCAACAACAACTCCTTCAGCAGCAGTATGGAGATGAGGCATATTTAAGACACGGAATGGAGGCATACGGGGGTGTAGAAGGCGTGCCGGCTGAATTACGAGAACATTTTGGTGGTCAGTGGGATCCTCGCGAATTTGGAGCTGAGTATAACGAGTACACCCTCGACCAACCACCAGGGAGCTCGTTCCTGGAAGCAGACAGTGGAGGAATTTCAGCCGCGATAGAAGCTGCTCCGTTTGTAGCTGGACAGGCCACACTTATGCCAGAAACATTTGGGGAATACGGAGCAGGGGCTCCGGCTTGGTCTGGCATTGTTGATAGATGGGACCCAAGCGGGGCAGATGCAGGAACGGCCCGGGCTGAGTACGTTCGGGCCGAACCTCCACGGATAGGTTCGGACGGAGGCCAGGAGGAGCTGCCCGTGTCGATGGGCCCAGGCTCCTCCAGCCCCTCTATTGGTGCAGCTAATAGGCGGAGTAATATTATTGGTGCTGACGTGGCCATGCCAATTCTAGCACCCACGTCAGCAGGTCCCATGGTGGGGGATGGGAAGAGAGACTTTGAGATGGTCAGAAGAGAGGGGGAGGAGGGAAGAGAGGGGGGAGAGGCGGAGGTGATGGTGCAAGGTAGAGAAGGGGTTGGATGGGGTGGAGTGGGGAATGCAGGGGTTATGGGAGGTATGGGGGGTATGGGAGGAGTGGAGTACGGTCCTGCTGCTATTCTCTCCCCGTCTACGATAGCTGCTGTCGCTGCTGCTAACGCCATTGCAAATGCCCCCCCATCCCCACCTAATAGGATCCGTGGAGAGGGGGAGGGGAGAGGTGCAGGAGGGGTGGGCGCGGCTGCAGGATGGGATGGACGGGCAGGAGGCAGCAGGAACGAAGGAGAGGGGGAGGGGACAGGTGCAGGAGGGGTGGGCGCGGCTGCGGGATGGGACGAGCGGGCAGGAGACAGCAGGGAGGAAGGGGAGGGAGAGGGAGGGAGAGCAGCAGAGGAGAGGAGTTGTGGAGCGGAGGTACGAGGGGTGGAGTCAGGTGGGATGGAGTTAGGCGGGGTGAGTAGTGTGACCAAGGCATCTGGTAGCATCAGCAGCGGCGTCAGTGGCAGCAGCGGCGGAGGCAGCGGCAGCAGCCGTGCCGGCAGCGGCTGTGGCGGCGGCAGCGGCGGTGGTACGAGTATCAGTGACCCTGAAAGAGAAAACGCAGGGACACCAGATAATGGGTTTGATGATTTGGTTGGAATGAAGGATGCGAATGAGGTGAAGGAGGAGAAGGGGAGTGATACGGACGAGAAGAGTCGAAGTTCAGAGGGGCTAGATGAGTCTGATACTACCGAGGATGAAGGGCAGGGGAGGGGGAAGGAGGAAAAGGAGGAGGAGAAGAACGGAGCGAGTGGATCCGACGGTTCAGAAAGCATGAGATTGGAAAAGCCCCTTGGGAAACTTGGGGCGGATAGCGGAGATGCTTGTAAAGTGTACAGGATGGTCGGTGGGAAAGAGGAAGGCAAAAAGGACTGGGAGGGAGAGGTGGCGATGGTAGAGAAAACGCGTGCTGAGAGCATGGATGTAAATGCATCTGCAGCTAATGGTGGTGCAATCGGTGGTGGTGAGGATGCGGGAAGCAGTGCTTCTCGTGGTGATGATACTGTTGCTGCTAACACTCACGGTGACTCTGGTGGTACTAGCAGTGGTGTTGGTGGTGGAGGGCAGGCGAAGGAGGAGAGGGAGGAGAGGGAGGAGTCGAAGCAAGTGGATGAAAGCATGGGAATGAGTAGATCAGTGGAAATAAACGATGAGAAAGAGGCAGGAAATAGCGGGGATGGGGATGGGAGAGAGAAGGACGGGGAGGGTAACGACAAGGGGAGGGAGGGGGGAGAAGGGGAGGAAGTGAAGAAAATTGTAAAAGAGGAGGAAAAAGAGAATGAGGATGAGGAGGAGGAGGAAGAGTATGGGTCAGGAGACTCAGGATTCGGCACCCCTGGCACTCTCTCTCCTACCGGCAGCAGTGTCAGCACCTACGAGCTTTCAGCCATGGATTTCCCTGACTCTGACAGCTTGGGCAGCCAAACCCCCACCTCAGCTCCGGCAGCCGGAGCAAGGCCTGGAAGGCCCGGAAGTTTGGGCCGAGGCAGGGGTGCAGGTACGGGGATCCTCGCTGGTGTTACCATGGCTCCAGGTCCAAGATTAGGCTCGGGAGGAAGGCCTGTAGCCTGGGCTGGAGGTCCAGGCTTGGGTGCCCCTTTGACTCGACCATTCCAGCCTGCTTTTGGTTCGGCTACCGAACCTGTTGCTGCTAACAACCTGACTCCCTCTGCTGCCGCTGCTGCTGCTCGCGCTAGTAGTGTTGGTGCTGCTAGTGCGGGTGGTAGCACTGCTGCTAGTGCTGCTGCTGCTGGTGGTGGTGCTGGCAGCACTACTGCCACTGGTGGTGATGCAGGTGGCAATAGTGCTCCCGCTGCTGCTGCTGCTGGTGTTGCTGGGTCAAGCGAGGAAGGCGGGAGACTAGGGTTAGGATTCAGTATTCTGGCGGAGCTAGGAGCCTCTCTCTCCACTGTTGCTCGTGAGGCCACTGCCGTAGCCTCAGCAGCTGCCGCTGCTGCCTCGGCTGCTGCTGCATCCGCCACTGCTTCTCCTCACGACGCTCCAGACGACGAAAACACATACGCTGTCCTGGAGATCAGTGATGAAGATTCCGAGGAAGATTCTGAGGACGATTCGGACGAAGGGGAGGAGGGGGAGAGTGAGAGAGGAGGTGAGGAGGAGAGGAGGAGGAGGGAGCAGGGTTTGAGGGAGCAGCGAGCAGCACAGGTGGCTTCGATTATGGCGAAGATGGCCCGGGGTGATAGTGTGGGTAGCACCGGCAGCGCTGGTGGCAGGTTGGGTGGGGGTGGGGGTAGTGCAGGAGGCATAGGAGGAGGGATAGGAGGGAAAGTAGGAGGGTTAGGAGGAGCCATGGGGCTGGAAAGTGGACTGGGCGCATTGGTAAGGCACAGCTCTGCCTCTGCAGCTGTTCCTGCCGTTTCCGCCGCTGCTGCCGCCACCGCCGCTGCTGCTGCTGCTGCTTCTCCTGCTGTCGACAGTCCACGCTACTCCCTTCCGCCTGCCAGTCCCCATCAGTTCCGCCCTGCTGCTGCAAACGCTGCGGCTAACGCTGCAGTTAACGCTGCGGCCAATGCTGCGGCTAACGCTGGGGTTAATGCTGCAGTCAATGCTGCGGCCAGCAGCCCTGCCCTTAGGTCCTTCCACAGGAGGGGCCGCACCGGCTCCTTTGGAAGCGGCGGCAGCGGCGGCGGCAGCGGTGGTACTGGCATTTTCGGTGGTCCTGGCTGGACGAGCGTTGGGGCGAGTGTTGGGGTTGGTGGTGGGTCGGTCAGTGGGGTTGGTGGTGTGGTGAGTGGTGGCACTGTTGCTACCAGTGGCAGTGGTAGCAGAGGCGGGTCCAGTGCTGCGTCCCCTGGAGGACTGAGTATGGGGGATCCAGTGGCAATAGCAGGGGGCGGTGGGAGTGTGGGGGCAGGGGCAGGTGCAGGGGTATGGGCAGGGATGACGACAGGGGTTGGTGCAGGAGTAGGTATGGGGGGCTGGGTGGGGAATGCAGGGGTAGGAGGAGGCATGGCATGGGGTGGTGGGGCAGGTTCAGTGCAGCAGCAGTACCCGTGGTGGGTGGTGGCTCCTCCCGATGTCCAGTGCCGTGCTGAGGAGATCCGCATCGAGTTCTACGTTGTGCGGTGAGTGGGAGTTGAGAGGGATGGTGTGGGTTGAGAAGATGGGAGGGATGGGAGGGATAGCATGGGCGGTGGTGGGTGGTGGCGATTCGCGATGCCCAGTGCCGTGCTGAGGAGATCCGTGTTGAGTTCTATGTCGTGCGGTGAGTGGGCGTTGAGAAGGATGGTATGGGGTGGGGGGCAGGCTCGGAGCAGCAGCAGCAGGAGTATCCGTGGTGGGCGATGGCGGCCCCTGATGCTCAGTGCCGTGCTGAGGAGATCCGTGTTGAGTTCTATGTCATGCGGTGAGTTGGGTGGGATAGCGTGGGATGGCATGGGATGGGATGGGATAGCATGGGATGGCATGGGATGGCATGGGATAGCATGGGATGGCATGGGATGGCATGGGATAGCATCGGATGGCATGGGATGGCATGGGATAGCATGGGATGGCATTGTATTCTCTTTCATGGTTATCTGCAAACGGCAGGAAGAACAGGACACCTTTCATGCCCGATCTCTCCTCCTATCCCATCCTATCCCATCCCATCCCATCCCATCCCATCCCATCCCATCCCATCCCATCCCATCCCATCCCATCCCATCCCATCCCATCCCATCCCATCCCATCCCATCCCATCCCATCCCATCCCATCCCATCCCATCCATCCACCCCCATCCATCCACCCCCTCCCTTGCACACCCCCAGCCATGCAGAGTCGCTTGGCCTGCCCCATCTGGTGGGGGGGGCAGTCACCCGCCATACCGCTGACCAGCAAGGGCAGGGAGCAGGGGGAGGCGTTGGGGCGAGACCTGCTTCACGCCTTTGTCCCCTCCCTTGCACATCCACCGCCCCCCCTTCCAGCCATGCAGAGTCGCTAGACCTGCCGCACCTAATAGGAGGGCAGTCACCGGCAATACCGCTGACCAGCAAGGGCCGGGAGCAGGGGGAGGCGTTGGGGCGATACCTTTTGGAGTTCCAGGGGGTGATGTTTGATGAGGTGTTTGCGTCGCCCATCCCCCGGGCGTGGGAGACTGCATACGCCACGTGCCAGGTGCGTAGCATAGGGTTACCAGGTGCGTAGCACAGGTTACCACCTGTTGAAGATTCTAGGGGAAGGCGTTGGGGAGATACCTGGTGGAGTACCTACCTGGTGGGGCATGGGAGACTGCATACGCCACGTGCCAGGTGCGTAAGGTTACCGCCTGCCTGCTGCTGACGTTACATGCCAGGGTTACCACCTGGTGACGACACCACGGGGAGGTGACTTTTGAGTCGACTCAAAAGTCACCTCGTGAGGTTACCGCCTGCCTGCTGCTGACGTTACATGCCGGGGTTACCACCTGCTGATGACACCACGGGGAGGCGTTAGGGCGATACCTGGTGGAGTTCCAGGGGGTGATGTTTGATGAGGTGTTTGCGTCGCCCATCCCCCGGGCGTGGGAGACTGCTTATGCCACATGCCAGGTGCGTAAGGTTACCGCCTGCCTGCTGCTGACGTTACATGCCAGGGTTACCACCTGGTGACGACACCACGGGGAGGTGACTTTTGAGTCGACTCAAAAGTCACCTCGTGAGGTTACCGCCTGCCTGCTGCTGACGTTACATGCCGGGGTTACCACCTGCTGATGACACCACGGGGAGGCGTTAGGGCGATACCTGGTGGAGTTCCAGGGGGTGATGTTTGATGAGGTGTTTGCGTCGCCCATCCCCCGGGCGTGGGAGACTGCTTATGCCACATGCCAGGTGCGTAAGGTTACCGCCTGCCTGCTGCTGACGTTACATGCCAGGGTTACCACCTGGTGACGACACCACGGGGAGGTGACTTTTGAGTCGACTCAAAAGTCACCTCGTGAGGTTACCGCCTGCCTGCTGCTGACGTTACATGCCGGGGTTACCACCTGCTGATGACACCACGGGGAGGCGTTAGGGCGATACCTGGTGGAGTTCCAGGGGGTGATGTTTGATGAGGTGTTTGCGTCGCCCATCCCCCGGGCGTGGGAGACTGCGTGCCAGGTGCGTGGCGTAGGGTTGCCAGGTGCGTGGCGTAGGGTTGCCAGGTGCATAGCGTAGGGTTACCAGATGTGTAGCACTGGTTACCAACTGGTAAAGACAGTAGGGGAGGCACTGGGGGGATGAGATACCTGTTGGAGTTCCATGGGGTGATGTTTGATGAGGTTTTCACCTCTTCCATTCCCCAGGGCGTGGAAAACTGCTTATGTCACATGCCAGGTGCGTGGTGTAGGGTTACCACCTGTTGCTGGTGTTACATGCAGAAGGAGCAACGAGTGTAGCAAGGAAGAAGGGAAAGCGTTCTGTTCAGTTTAGTTCTGTTTTTTTTCCTTTTTTGAAGCCAACTCAGTAGCCAGCTTAATAGCACCTCCAAACGCCATTGCTCTTCCCATACCCCCTCTGCATCCCCTGCACCCCTCTCAGGAGCTTGGCTTCCCACCCAGCTGAATGCAGGAAGCGGGGGAGTTGAAGGAGCAGAGCTGCGGGCAGTGGGAGGGAGGGGAAGAGGCGGTAATTCAAATCCAACTCATTAGCGCCTCAACGGCTCGTTCTTCAATCCATGCCCCCTCTGCACCCCATGTCCTTTCCGCATCCCCTGCACCCCTTCCAAGAGCTTGGCTTCCCACCCAGCCGAATGCAGGAGGCAGAGGAGTTGAAGGAGCAGAGCTGCGGGCAGTTGAAGCTGATGGCATTCTATTGTTGAGTCAATAAGACCTCCAAACGCCATCCCTCTTTCCATGCCCCCTTTGCACTCCCTGCACCCCTTACAGGAGCTTGGCTTCCCACTCAGCCGAATGCAGGAAGCAGAGGAGTTGAAAGGAGCAGAGCTGCGGGCAGTGGGAGGGGAAGAACTGGCATGTTGAGGCCAAGTCAATAACACCTCCAAATGCCGTTCCTCTTCCCATAACCCCTCTGCATTCCCTGTATCCCTCCCCTCCCAGGAGCTTGGCTTCCCACCCAGCCGAATGCAGGAGGCAGAGGAGTTGAAGGAGCAGAGCTGCGGGCAGTGGGAGGGGAAGAATCGGGCAGATGTGTTCCTTACTGACGCCTCTCTTCCACGAATCACAAGCGCCCAGCCGGATTTTTTCTGCCCAGGAGGGGAGTCACAGCGGCAGGTGAGTTCCTGGTTTTCACAGCATGGGTTGTGTTGTGGTGCCTGAAGCTTTGTCTGTGGTGCCTGAAGCTTTGTCTGTGGTGCCTGAAGCTTTGTCTGTGGTGCCTGAAGCTTTGTCTGTGGTGCCTGAAGCTTTGTCTGTGGTGCCTGAAGCTTTGTCTGTGGTGCCTGAAGCTTTGTTTGCGGTGCCTGAAGCTTTGTTTGCGGTGCCTGAAGCTTTGTTTGTGTTGTCCTGACCTTGAGGCGAAGTTCAGTGGCTCACTCACTCAGTGACTTCACCTTGTCATTTCAATGTTTTTTTTTAATCCATGAAGTATCTGTAAATGCATATTTCTCCATTACCCTTGGTAATGGCATCCCGCCACCCCGCACCCCCCTCCCTCCCGCCCAACCCCTTTCCCTCCCAGGTTGAATTCCGAATGGTTGAGTTTTTCAACCAACTCGCAGTTTCCCGCTCTGCTGCACTTTTAGCTAAATGTCGCTCCATGCCGCCCAACGCTCCTCCCATCCTACCGTATCGAATCGGCATCTTCTCCCACTCCACGGCAATCAAATGCCTCTTGAAGGGCCTGATAGGGTCCAGTCCCCATTTCACTCACAGATTCGACATTGCAATTTCCTCCCTCACTCTTTTGACCTACTCCCCGGGAGCCAATAGCCGAATGCCACGTGGCGCAAGCAGCAGCAGCAGCAGTGGTGGTGGTGGTGATGGAGGGAGTGGTGGGTGGAGGGTGGGGAGGGTGAATGACACGACTCACTTGCTGCTAGCTAGGGGACCTCTTCCCCAGGCACACATATCTGCTCTCAGAGCGCGCTTTCCTGGAAATGAGGGGGCACAAACCACTGTAGCTGTTGCGGACGAAGAGTGAAGGTGATACGATGCACGTACAAAGTTAGGTATGAAGACCTGAAACATTGGGCTGTTCCACATCAGGTTTGCTTGACAATACGATGTTTACTGGTGTAGGCATGCATTTTATTCCTCTTTGTTTGCCTTATCAATATTGTTGGGGTTGATAGAAAACCATTCTTCAACCAGGCGGTTTCATCTCTTTACCGAGTTGTATGTTTGCAGGCTTTAAACGAACACCAGGGTGCTTGGGATGGGATGCAACCGGGCAGTGCCTCCAGTATGGCAGGCGGAGCATTGAGCATTGAGCTGAGCAGTGAGCACTGAGCACGAGATGGAGTGGTGGTTTTTGAGAATTCTCAAAAATCAGATAGTATGGCAGGCGGAGCATTGAGCATTGAGCTGAGCAGTGAGCACGAGATGGAGTGGTGGTGTGAGTGAACCTTCAAATGGTCTAGGTTGCGTTGAATTGGGATGAGATCATGCTGTCGAAGCGCTTCACAACTGGCCAGTGGCCACTCTCTGTGCCCTGCCCACAAACACAGCAAGGCGGGAGAATGAAAGGCCCGTGTGCGCTGGAGAGCAGTCATTGCCATCACACTTCATTCCACTATCACGCTGTGCAAAAGGGTTTCCTGTTACGGTGCCTCTCATTTCCAATCAGGCACACTTCATTCCACGCTGTATCACTATAAAATGCCATAAAAACCTGGTAACTTCCCAATGATAACCCTACAGATTGCAGCTGCCTTGGCATGTCAACCGGCTTTTCTAGGCTCATCATCATCACCTGCTACCACTCCTGCACTTCCCTTATCCAGGCCATATTCGGTAAACAAGAGCCAGGGAGACCAAAACTCCCTCCAACGGTCACCACTCTTCTAGCTCCGCTGCCAGAACGTGTTGGGGGTCGGGCGGGTGAAATTCGCAAACTGACCGCGGCCAGCTCCATCAGCAAACACGGCAGTCTTCACAATCCCAAAGTACCCACTCGGATTCGCCAAGAGCAGATTCGCAACCTCGAAATAGCTCTGCCCGTCCGCGTTACTGTACTGAGTCACATTGTACCAAACACCAGAAAAACCATACACATAACCGGTACGAGCAGCCGGGCGGAAAAACCCAAAGTATTTCGGAATGGGGGCGGCGTGCCTGCGGCCGCGGGAGTCCCTGCGGGTGCCGTTCCAAGTCATGTTGGCCCACGCTGCTTCGCTGGCGGAGAACTCGAGAAGGGCGGCGCCGCCGTCAGCCGAGCCGGCAGCGCCGGTGCTGATGGCGATGGAAAGGGGAGCTCCGGGGGCGGTGAGGCGGATGCTGGCTCCGTAGCGAATGTTGTAGTCGCTGCCACTCCTGCCAGCCAGGGGTGGGTGGTGCAGGAGAGAGGGGTGATACACAGCAGGAGGGAATGCGGCTGGGAAAGCAGGGCAGTGAGAGGTGGGGCTCACTGGAAGACAGCGAGGGAAGTGGAAGATCGAACAGTCGGTCGAATGAGAGGTGGGGCTGGAGGCGGGGCTCACTGGAAGACAGCGAGGGAAGCGGAAGAGTGGAGAGGAGGAATGAGATGTTGGAATGAGAAAGTGATTTTGCAGTGAGGGCTAGAGGGGGGGCTCACTGGAAGACAGCGAGGGAGATGACGCCCGTGGCATTGACATCGCCAGCAGCGCTGGTCACCTCCGTGCCGTTCAGCCTCGCCACCACCGCCCCTGGCGAGATGAGGGGCAGGGGAGATGAGGAGCAGGGGAGATGAGGAGCAGTGGAGATGAGGAGCAGGGGAGATATGGAACAAGGAGTTTTATTATGAAGGCAGCGGTAGTGATCTCTGTGCCATTCAGCCTCGCCACCACCGCTCCTGGCCGAATAAGAGCAGGAGGGATGTGGAACAGGGGGATGAGAGCAGGAGAGATAGACGGCTTATAGTAAAGGGAGGCGAGGGTTCGTGACCAAGAGAAGAGAATACATCAGCTTTGATGACCATTGATGCTCGCCATTGTGTCGTTCAGCCGTGCACGCTAGCGACGAAACCAATGAGGCAGTAAAGAAAGCAATTAAGTCGGACTCACCCACGCGAGTGCCCAGGCCCCCAGTGCCATTGTGCCGACCGCCGCCAAATCCGCCGCCAAACCCGCCGCCGAACCCGCCGCCTCCACCACCGCGTCCGCCTTCGAAGCCGCGTCCTCCGCCACCCCCGCGGCCACCGCCGCCGCCGTGAGCGGCGCCTGTTGCGGCATTCGGGGACGAGGGGAACAGCGTTAGGGGCATCTGAAAGAACCAATTTCGGATGCTGCATTGCGGGTTTAGCGGAAGGCTTGAACGAATGCCGTGCTTCGCGTGCATGCATTAGTGACGTGACTCAAACGCCAAATCATAACGGATAATCGAGGCGGAGCTTACAGGCGACGACGAGGAACGCCAGCAGTGACGCGGAGAGAACGTGGCGAAGAGCCGTCGTAGTTGTCATTTTTGGACGGACGAGATGCAAAGGAGCGGTGCTGAAAGTTCTATAACTCGATCTTAGTCAGGAATAAGGACGATTATTAGACTTGGGTTGAGTCAGACGTTGATGAGGCTTGAGAAGAAGTGATGAGAAAACTGTGGCTTCAATGATCGTTTTATAGACCTACTACTATTGAGTGGTCCTAGTAGCAGTAGGGTACTGCTCCTGTCGGTGTTACTAGTGTGTCGCATACGACGAAGCGACTCGTCATGGGCGGGTAGACCGCAAGAGGGCACAAACGGACAGCTACGCGAGGACTGGTCAGCGGCACCTACGGCGGTGTGAGGAAGGCACGCCGCAGCTTCCGTGAGAGGTGTCAGACGAGCCATCGAAGAGAGGTAGGAAGAACAGATAGGGAACGAATCTCCGCGGCGCACCAGCGTCGGGAACGAAACGGACGAGAGTGACAAGACGCGCGAAAACAAACTTGCCTACCCGCACGCGGTTTGCGTAATCACCAGCGAGAGACCATTCAACCAAGAGGAGAAGAACTGGGTTGGTCGGTGGGTGGCAGATAAATTGGCAAAATACGACTTTGCGAAGAATAGGCCTCCGCGACTCGCGAGCATGCGACCTGTCTTCTTTGCGTAAGTGCGACGACCCTGCTGCAAAATCTGACTGCTGCGCCTCCCAGACGATGACCTTCCGTATTGTCGCAAGAACGTCCTCCAGAAAGTGCCCGATGGAGCAGGGCAGGACGAACTGGTGGCGAAGAGTTACTACGCAATACGATGCGATGCGAAGCCCAGAAATCACCCCCTCGAACTTCCCCGCATCCTGACGAATTTCACCCGCCGCATCCAGCTCTTCCTTGCACGTCCCCCCCGTCTCCCCCCCTCTCGCGCGAAACCTTTATGCGCCCGCTCGCGTCTTTCACTGCCTCCGTCAAGCCAGATTGCCTCCCCCCGCACGCAGCTGTGACGGCGATGGAAATGCGGGTTTGACCGGTCGTCGCAGGATCGCATCGCATCGCATTCCTTCCTATCACCTCAGGCACCTGCTCCATTTGAGGTGATGACTGGAGGAGTAGAATCGCTGACGTCGCCAGGTTCATCGTGAAGCTGGCGAAAACTTCGAGAGAATTTCTCCAGTGGCCAATCGGGTGATTCATCCTCTCTCGGGGGGCCTCGAATTACTCGAGTGGCCACGAAATTGGGTGATAATTACTCGAGTGGCCACGCCAGGGGATTCCTGCTCGCTTTTTTTTTCACCGGCGCATTACCCTATGGGGCTTTGTAGCCCCGAAATTCCTTATTCGTGCGAGTGGTATCCCTAGGTGGTGTTCCGTTATGATCCGCACCTTAAAATTTCGCCAGGCTCACGGACGCGAAAATGGCCCGCCCACTGTACAAGAAACCGACCAACAGCACATTGACCGGTCAGTTTCGGCCAAATGCGCGACCAATGAGCGCGCGGTCCATCTAATTAACAACCAATCAGCGATCGAGCATATGACTTCGCGATCATATACTGCATTTCACCCGAAACGAACCGACACAGCAAAACGACCGCGCTCGATTGGTCAGGAGATAGAGCGGTGCATTTGTTGCCACTGCACGTCTAATCAGGCGCAAGATTTATGGATTGCCGATCATATTTGAACGCGTTTATTAAACACAATTTACTATATGATCCCGCCAATCATATACTAAATACTCTCGCACAAAAGGTTCGAATTAACGCGCTCAAACTGGTTTGGTACGCCCTTTTAAACATAAAGACGTTCCACTTAAACCTTGTTAGTCATGCGTAGATCCTGACATGCCCATAGACCTATAGGCATAGCATTATAACCCTTTGCCACTGCATGCTAAATGAAAGGGGATCGCTGTGCTATATAGAGATAACACCAAAACAGAACTCAAGAAAGTGGTTGTATGGGATTTAAGAGTATGTTTTATATGCACATAAGCACACAAACTTGGACAAATCATATGCGCACTAATATTTGTTAGTGCGCGATCCTATTTTATATATGGTTGCCATTTCATTTGGACGGGGATGATTGGACGCTCAATGACAAAGCATATCCTGAGATTAAAACAAACCAATCACGCGCGGTAATTTAGTTTATCGCGAATTGATGGCCGATCATTTCGGTATATGATGGGGAATTCAATGATGTCGCCTGATTGGACGCTCAATGGCAACATATGCACCGCGCATGTTTTTTACAAATCATGCGCGTGCATTAGGGGTGTGGCTGTTCGCTTCGGGTCTATATGATTATATGATCGAGAAGGTATATGCTCGATCGCTGATTCGTTCAGAATTAGATGGACCGCGCGCTCATTGGTCGCGCATTTGGCCGAAACTGACCGGTCAATGTACTGTTGGTCGGTTTCTTGTACAGTGGGCGGGCCACTTTCTCGTCCGTTAGCCTGGCGAAATTTTAAGTTGCGGAACAGAACGGAACACCACCTAGGGATACAACTCGCACGAATAAGGAATTTCGGGGCTACAAAGCCCCGTAGGGTAATGCGCCGGTGAAAAAAAAGCGAGCAGGAATCCCCTGGCGTGGCCACTCGAGTAATTATCACCCAATTTCGTGGCCACTCGAGTAATTCGAGGCCCCCCGAGAGAGGATGAATCACCCGATTGGCCACTGGAGAAATTCTCTCGAAAACTTCCCTCTACAGAGTTTTCCTCAACGGACCAGGATTCCTAAAGCAAACCTTGACACACCAGGCAAGTTTGCAGCATAATAACTCCTTGAACCCTGCAATCCACCAGAACAAATGCGCTAGGAACAAGCTTGCCGCAATCTTTACACCAATTTTGGGATGGAGAAATGATGGATGGACGCATGGCGATGTACATAGATTCTAGCGCTAATCAGAGTGAAATAGGTTATATGGGTCGTACCAAATCACCAGTACCGTATATTCTGTACAAATCCAATAAATTGTATCTACCATATATGAGCAAAGTCAAAATTGTGTCATGTTCGTGTCAGTCTTGAGTCAGTTTTTGCATCACCCGTCCTGTTAGTGTTAAGGCTGAAGATGTACCTGCTGTGTTAGCTTCTGTCAGACAGTGCACGTTAAGCATCCACCTGTTAGTGTCAGCCATCTGGTACAAGCTGTATCGCATCAGCCAATGAGCATCCGCCGACGCAAGACAGCACAGGATGCTGTATGTGTGTGAGTGTGAGCTAGGCATGTTGGTCCGGAGCAGAGTCAGTTCATGAAGGAGCGACAGGTGGCGGCACCACAGCGGCACGGCACTCGGTCCTTCTCTTCCCGGTCAAACCGATAGTCGTACCTGCATGGGGGGAGGGGAGGGGGAAGGGCGTAAGGGAAAAGTGTCTTTTGAGTCCACTTACAAGTCACCTGGGCGGCACAGCAGCGGCACGGCACTCGGTCCTTCTCCTCCCGGTCAAAATGGTAGCCGTAGCTGCAAGGGCGGACAGAGGGGTTTGGCAGGGGTGGGTGGATGTGTGCATGCATGTGTAGGTGTGCATGTGCATGTGTATGTGCATGTGCATGTGTATGTGCATGTGTATGTGCATGTGCATGTGCGAGAGTATGTATGCATGTGTAAGTGTGGGGCACATCAGCATGTGAGGCATGGGTGGTGGACCGTGGAAGCACAGGACAGTCAGACCATGGCATAGCACCAGCACACTCACGTTAGCTCCTCCCCTAATGCGATTTTGAGCCACTCAAAATGTTTGAGTCCACTAAAAAAAGGTGGAATGTGAAAGCACAGGCCACTTAGACCGCGGTATCAGCACACTCACGTTAGCTCCTCTCCCATGCGAATTGGGCGGCGAGCAATGATGACGATGATCGCGCTCGGGTGGCCATTCTTGTCCTCAACGTCAAAGATCTTGGCAAAGCAGTTGGGGTTGCACTGAAGGAGGCGAGGGGAGAGGAACGGGGGGCGCACAAAGGGGATGGGTGGGTTTTGATCGCAATCGGGTGGCCATTCTCGTCCTCTACGTCAAAGATCTTGGCAAAGCAGTTGGGGTTGCACTGATGAAGGGGATGAGGGATGCGGAGGGACAACAAATAGCACGGGCACCTGAGAAACAGCATGAGCGAGCGACAGTGAATTCAAACCCATTGTGCTGTGCGGTGCGACATAGTACATGGCATGGCACATACGGAGTGAGTGGTTCAGTATGGTACAGAGTGGTTCAGCATGGTACGTACGGAGTGGTTCATCATTCTGGCGTAGTTGCTGGCCATGGTGGCATCAACCACTCGTTCCTCGTCCACCTTGAACAGCTGCAGGGGACAACACACGGCAGCATGGCATGGGGTACACAACACACGGCAGCATGGCATGGGGTACACAACACACGGCAGCATGGCATGGGGTACACAACACACGGCAGCATGGCATGGGGTACACAACACACGGCAGCATGGCATGGGGTACACAACACACGGCAGCATGGCATGGGGTACACAACACACGGCAGCATGGCATGGGGTACACAACACACGGCAGCATGGCATGGGGTACACAACACACGGCAGCATGGCATGGGGTACACAACACACGGCAGCATGGCATGGGGTACACAACACACGGCAGCATGGCATGGGGTACACAACACACGGCAGCATGGCATGGGGTACACCACACACGGCAGCATGGCATGGGGTACACAACACACGGCAGCATGGCATGGGGTACACAACACACGGTAGCATGGCATGGGGTACACAACACACGGCAGCATGGCATGGGGTACACAACACACGGCAGCATGGCATGGGGTACACAACACACGGCAGCATGGCATGGGGTACACCACACACGGCAGCATGGCATGGGGTACACAACACACGGCAGCATGGCATGGGGTACACAACACACGGCAGCATGGCATGGGGTACACAACACACGGCAGCATGGCATGGGGTACACAACACACGGCAGCATGGCATGGGGTACACAACACACGGCAGCATGGCATGGGGTACACAACACACGGCAGCATGGCATGGGGTACACAACACACGGCAGCATGGCATGGGGTACACAACACACGGCAGCATGGCATGGGGTACACAACACACGGCAGCATGGCATGGGGTACACAACACACGGCAGCATGGCATGGGGTACACAACACACGGCAGCATGGCATGGGGTACACAACAGATCAGAGTCTGAAAACTGACCACCACTCTCTCGTTCTCCACCTTGACCAGCTCAGCATCACACACAGAGCAGCATGGGCATGGGGGACAGGGGACACATCACAGCACATCACATGGGAGTTGTGACAAGTCTAGGGATCTCTTGCTTGAACAGCTGAGGACACATGCCATGGAGCAGGGGCAGGGGGAACAGCATAAATCACATCACATGGGAGTATGGAGCGTGCATGAGACTCATATGATGGATGGAACCAAGCATGATACATCACAGCAGCAATATGCAGAGAGCACTTGCCTTGCATGCACCCCGCCCCATATGCACCTCGTAGCTCACCCTTCGTTATACTCACGTAGAACAGCTCCCCCCTCGTTATACTCACATAGCACAGCTCCCCTCTGTCTCGGTATCGCTTCTCCCTCAGCTCTGCTACACTCCGCCTCAGCGCCTCCCCTCGATAGTCCACCACCTGATACAGTCACAATGGAAACAGTGAGAGAGACTCTTGCGATTCCTGAGATTGCCAGCCTCCTTCCGGCTTGTAAGGGTTCGCGGATGTTTGAGTGATTGTCCACACTCACACACCCAACCATACTCACACACTCACCCACGCTCACACACTCACCGACACTCACACACCCAACCATACTCACACACTCACCCACGCTCACACACTCACCCACACTCACACACCCAACCATACTCACACACTCACCCACACTCACCCACACTCACACACCCAACCTTACTCACACACTCACCCACACTCACACACTCACCCACACTCACACACTTACCCACACACACACACCCACGGCCACCCCTGCACACGCATACACCCACACCCCCCTACACACAGAGACAGAGACCCACTCACACACATCCCCCCTCCCACACTCACTCACACCCTCCCACACAGCTGCCAATTACGCACCATCTCGCCCTCCATCCGCCCTCCTCTATGTCTCTCCTTGCCACCAGCCCCCAGTCGTGAATGGCGGCAACGAGTATGGACGGTCATGAAGCACCAGGAGCACACCCACTCACACCCACTCACACCCATTCACACCCACTCACACCCACTCACACCCACTCACACCCACTCACACCCACTCACACCCACTTACACCCATTCACACCCACTCATACCCACTCACACCCAACTCACACCCACTCACACCCACTCAAACCCACTCACACCCACTCACACCCACTCACACACACACACTCGCACTCACCATCTCGCCCTCCTCTATGTGTCGCCTGGCCACCAGCCCCCAGTCATGGATGGCCGACCGCCCAAACGTGACTCTCTGCCATGCCGTCGCCTGCAAGGGGCAGAGCAGAGCCGAGAGGCACAGGCGAGGCAAGGCGAGGCAAGGCGAGGCAAGGGAAGGCAAGGGAAGGCAAGGGGAGGCAAGGGAAGGCAAGGGGAGGCAAGGGAAGGCAAGGGGAGGCAAGGGAAGGCAAGGGGAGGCAAAGTGACAATGGGGATGCGACGTTAAATTATGTCTTGCATCGCCACCAGTCGCCTCCCCAGTCGTAATTGTGACTCGCTGCCACGCCGTCGCCTGTAGGGGGGACAGACAAGGCAGAGCCGCACAGAGAAGAGAAGAATAGAGAAGAGAAGAACAAAGAAGAGAAGCAGACACATAATCAGTCAGACGAGGCAACAGACAGCAAGGGGAGGCAAGGGAAGATTCGCTGCCTTGCCCCTCCCCGTTCGCTGGTTGCCCCTTCCCACTCGCCCCTTGCCCTTCAGCCCTCACCCCGTGCCCCTTCCTACTGCCCGTGTGTGTCTCACTCACCCGCAAGACTTTCATGCGCTCAGCTCGAGACGTGGCCACAGGTGGTTCCTCTGGAGTCAGATTTTGATGCGCTTAGAAACACCCTTTTTCCCTTGCCCCTTGCCCCTTCCACCGTGCACTACCCCTTACCCTTCCCCCCGTGTGTGTCTCACTCACCCGCACAACTTTCATGCGCTCGGCTCTAGACGTGGCCACAGGTGGTTCCTCTGGCGTCTGAGGGGTAGTGACACACACGAGGAGAGGGAAACATGTGACATTCTTGAGTTAACTTGCAAAAAAAAAAAGGCCGTTTCTCTGGGGTAACAAGGCCGTTTCTCTGGGGTCTGAGGGGTGACACGCATGTAGAGAGGGGCACAAAGCAAATTGTGGTGGGCAGTTTTTGCAAATGGAAACTGTAGTTGGAGAAAAATCAATGGAGAATGTAGTTGGAGAAAAAACAATGGAGAATGTAGTTGGAGAAAAATCAATGTTGGAGAAAAACAGTCCATCATATGCAGATTTGTGCGAGTTTAGCTAGCCTGTCACAATAGCAGCCCGTACCACCACAGTTGTTTTCAACAACACAGCAGCTTTCAACACCACAGCAGCCCTCAGCACCGCACAGCACCCTTCAGCACCGCACTCACCCGCAAATCCATGATGGTCTCTCTGTCGTGCCAGCACACCCCCCCAAGCAGATACGGCACCACCTCCTTGTGCCCCCGCCCCCACACCCTCCGCACTCGCTCACTCGCTCCCACCTCCCCCTCTTCCCCCCTCCTCTCCATCCCCTCCTCCCTCCTCCCCTCTACACCGCCATCCGCTGTGCCATCTATTTTCACGAGTCCCACGCTCTCTGCACATTCCTCCGCCCTCTCCTCTCCTCCCCACCATCGCATCCGGCTGTTCCGCCCTTGGTACGGCTGGCAGCGCGACAGCACACCCTCCATTTCATCCCCACATCCTCCTCCTCTTCCTCCTCCTCCTGCTGCTGCTGCTGTCCCCGCCCGCTCTCCTGGAGGCCCAGCCTCTCTCGCCCCTGCATGAGTGTCATCTTCAGATGATTGAGGACTGGGAAGCAGCATCACATCGCTCTCAGACCCCTCGTCCTCTTCTTCCTCCTCCCCCTCCTGCCCCCCCTCCTTCCCTTGCTCCTCCTTAGCTTCAACACCATCAGCACCCTCCCCTCGGTCTGTTTTCCTCCCTCCTTGATTCTTGCCCGAGGTTCCACCAAGCTCTTCCCTTGACACCTCACCACCACTCTGTCCCACTCTCAACCCATCTCCACCCTCGCCACTTCTTGCCTCTTCACTATCCTGGTCCCCTCGCGTTTCTTCCCCACCCTCCACCCCTCCTCTCACTTCTCCACCACTACCATCCCCCACTCTCACCTCCTCCTCGTCTCCGTCTCCCTCCTCCTCACCCATTAGAATCACATCACTACTCGCGTTCGAACCAACACCATTCTCACCACCATCTTTAACTCCCACAGCACCATCACCACATCTTGATCCCTTCATCTTTCCACTCCCCTTCCGCCTCTTGACCTTCTCACCCCTCTCCTCCTCGCCCCATTCCTCGCCCTCCAACTCACCCTCCCTCCCCCTCCCTTTCCCCTTCTCCACACCCCCTCTCTTCCCCTCTCCCTCCTTTCTCCCCTCCCTCCCATCCTTGCCATCCCTGCTCTCTTTCCCCTCTCTGTCCTTCTCCCCATCCGGTTTGAGGGAGTCACTCTTGAGAGTGCCCGCGCCTATGGCAGGAAACCCAGTGATGCCAGTGCGTTTCCTCAGCCTCCCCCCTCGCTCAATCAGCCTCTTGCCGGCCGCAAGGGCAGCAGGGCCAATCACAGCAAGGTCAGGATTCGGATCCCTGTGAATAGAGCGGAGTTTGGGAGGTGGGGGGGAGGGGAGGGGGACGGGAACGGGCGTGAGGGGGTGCAAGGGAGGGGACGGAGACTGAGAGAGTCACACTTGAGAGTGCCCACCCCTATGGCAGGCGCACTGGCATCACGAGAAGAAAAAAAGTGCCATACGTACCTGTGTTTGGGGCAGAAGGTGCAGCGCAGCAGCTGGCCCGTGTCATCAGGAACCACATCCATGATCCACCCCGCCTTCATCGCACATACCACGTGGTATGCCACCAGGCACCGCGGCCCGTCGCACTGAATGCACGCGCCGTATGGCTGGCGGCAGATGCAGCACGCCTGGGGGGGATGGGAGGGGTGTGGAAAGGGTGGGGGAACGAGTGCCTTCATCGCACACACCACGTGGTATGCCACCAGACAGCGCGGGCCGTCGCACTGAATGCACGCCCCGTACGGCTGGCGGCAGATGCAGCACGCCTGAGGAGGGGGCAGGGGGAACAGTATTTTTGAGTCGACTAAAAAATAGGCTGGCGGCAGATGCAACACGCCTGAGAGGGATGGGTGTGCGGTCGGGCAACAGTCGGGCAACAGTCGGGCAATGCGGGAGCAAAACGGGGAGACACAAGCATCGTCAGCATCACCACCACCACCACCAGACAGCATCACCATAGAAACGGGCAACACTACGTTTAACCAGCTGTCACCGCTTCTCACCAGCTTGAACCGCTCTGGATCCACGAGCTGAATGCCGTCCAGCACCTCTCCCTCGCCCTCCCCCAGCACACTCACGCCCGGCATCCACAACCCACACACCAGATGCGCCCATCGCTGCCGTGCAATTAACCCCTCCCCACCCCCTCCCCCTCCCGCACCCGCTCCTCCTCCCAACCCCACTCCCCCAAACACTACTCCTCGACCACCCCTGCCCCCAACCACTGCTGCTGCAGCAGCAGCAGCCGCAGCGGCGGCGGCAGCAGCTGCAGCGGCGGCTGTACCGCCAGCTGCTGCTGTTTTTCTCCAGGGCGCCTCTCCCTTGCTTCTGCTGTTCCCGGGAAGGGCGAGCCTGATGGTCGTGGGCTTTAAAGCCCCGCCCCGCACAGGACATAGACAGCACTCCCTCCGAATCTCCGCCTCCTCCTCCTCCATCCCCTGCTCTTCCGCCCCTGCTCTGGTTTCTCCTGTGCCCAAGCCTCTTCCTCTGCTCAACCCTGCAACGGATCCCCCTCCCACTCCTGTGTTACCCGAACTCACTAGCGCCATGGTATCAGAGCCTTTTCCCTTGCCCTTGCTCTTGCCCTTGGCCTTGCCTTTGCCGCCCGCTGCTGTGAGTGGATCTGTGTCAGCCTCTGCCTTCCCACTAGCAACCATGTGGTTGCTGGTATTGCTGGGATCAGAGGTGGGGTTCGAGGAGCGGGCGCAGCAGCGGCAGAGCCACGACATGCCAAACGCAGCAGAGGAAAGCGATGGTTTTCCTGCAGCAGCACCACCAGCATCCGTGTCAGCACCACCACCACCTGCACCAGCACCACCGGCACCAGCAGCACCAGCGGCTCTACCTGGCGACCCCGGGAAGGGTTCGATCCCATAACACTCCTCATGCACGCCCATCTCGCACTTGACACACACGAGCATGCGACTCGCATCCGAGTCTTCATCACTGTTGCACACAGCACACCGCTCCGACGTCCATTTGTATTCTACCCCCTCGTACGGCTCACTTAAAGCCTTTTCCAGCCACGCCACCCCTCCCCGCGGATCCGTTAAGGCCTTTGCACCGGCTCTGCCTCTGATTGCACCCATTCCCACTCCTCCGATTGCACCTGCGACCGCGCTGCTGCCGCCCGCACTGCGCAGTGTGGATATGATTCCCTGCTGCCGGTTCCCCGGGCGGCTGCGGGGTGGAGGGTCCTCGTAGAACAAGAGGCCTCTCACGCCCGCCTCGTGAGATGCCTGGAGCTGAGGGGAGGGGAGGTGGGTGGGAGGGTGAGGAAACGGGGAGGGAGAGGGTATTCAGCAAGGTGAGCGGGAGGGTCCTCGTAGAACAAGAGGCCTCTCACGCCCGCCTCGTGGGATGCCTGGATCTGTGGGGGGCGGGGTGGGGGGGAGTGTTGGAGGAGGGGAAACGAACGAAGGAGAGGGAGGAGGAGAGGCGGAGGGTCCTCGTAGAACAAGAGGCCTCTCACGCCCGCCTCGTGGGATGCCTGGAGCTGTGGGGGGCGGGGTGGGGGGGAGTGTTGGAGGAGGGGAAACGAACCAAGGAGAGGGAGGAGGAGAGGCGGAGGGTCCTCGTAGAACAAGAGGCCTCTAACGCCCGCCTCGTGGGATGCCTGGAGCTGTGGGGGGCGGGGTGGGGGGGAGTGTTGGAGGAGGGGAAACGAACCAAGGAGAGGGAGGAGGAGAGGCGGAGGGTCCTCGTAGAACAAGAGGCCTCTCACGCCCGCCTCGTGGGATGCCTGGAGCTGCAGTATGGGAAGTGAGATGGGTGTGGGGGGATGGGGGGATTGAGGATGGAGAGACGGGGGAGGGGAAACAGCAAGAAGAGGGGGAGAGCCCTTGTAGAACAAGAGGCCTCTCACGCCCACCTCGTGGGATGCCTGGAGCTGAGGGGAGGAGAAGGGACGAGGGGGAACAGCAAGGATAGGGAGGAGGTGAGGGGGAGGGTCCCTGTAGAAAGTGACGCCTCTCACCCCCGCCTCGTGAGATGCCTGTAGCTGCGGGGGAAGAAAAGGAAAGCGAGGGTGGAGAAGGAGGGAGGCGTGAGGTAAACGAGTGGAATGAGGGAGGGAGTGAGGAGGATAATGCCAGGTCGAAATCAAGGCCCCGCTCTCAAGCATGCAGCACAAGTATTCAGCAGAAGCATGCAGCACAAGTATTCAGCAGAAGTATTCAGCAGAAGTATTGAGCAGAAATTTATACAAATCGCTTACCCAGGCAAAGAGGGTGGTTTTTTTCTCAGCGCCCTGCAGCAACACAGACGATTTCCACTTCTTGGACCGGCACTGCGCATGCTTCTCAAACTCACTCAGCGCCATCAGCGCTCCCCCTGCTCCCCCCGCTCTCCCACTGTCAACCTCCCCCCCACCAGCCGCCGCCGCAGCAGCAGTGCTAACGGCGCTGCTCTTGCTGCTGCCGCCCTTGGCCTTGGGTCGGCAGGAGCGGCAGCAGCACTGCACGAGGTGACGCGAAGGGAGGTAGACGCCCTTGTAGGACGCGCATGTGACGGGGACTGGCGGGTGGGCTACAGGTATGGGTGGAGCCGCTGCTATCTTGTTGTCCCCTTCCGCTTCTGCCTCAGGTGAGGAGGATGGAGTACCAGGTGAATCTTCAGGTGAATCCTCAGGTGAATCAGATTGTGGGGAATCAGCTCTGTGAGGTGCCTCCTTAGTGGCCAAGAATCCATTCCCATCCGCGTCTCCCTTCTTCTCCACCGACTCTTCATCCCATTCTTCCTTCACTCTACCTCTACCACCTCCTCCTTTCTGCCCCTGCCTACCACCATCATCTGACCCATCCCCACCCCCACCCTCACCCTCATCCCTATTCTCATCTTCCTCATCCTCATCCCCATTCTGATCCCGATCCCCACTCCTATCCCTGTCGAGGCGACAAACAAGCAACCCCTCCCGTTTCACCTCGTCGATCCGCAAGTGCGCACCACCCAGGCTGAACTCCCTCCCAATCCCTGTTATCACCTCCATCCCAGACCGTCCCCATGGCTCCCTCTCACCATCTCTCCCCTCCTCCTTCAACCGAGCAGCAGCGGCAGAAGCAGTGGCCTGAGCAGCAGCCTGCGCCGCCTCCTTAGCCCTCTTCTCCCTCTCCTCCCGCTCCTTCCTCTCCCTCTCCTCCCTCTGCTCCCTCTCCTTCTTCTCCCTCCCCCTCCTCTCCCTCCTCTCCCTCTTCTCCCTCTCCTCCACCGCCTTAGCCTGCCGGCAATTCGGGCACAAATACACCGCATCGTTCTTAATCGCACTCAACCGCTGCCTAGAGATCCCGTCGCACTCCGCGTGGACCCACAGCTGGCAGCAGTCGCAGTGGGCGAAATCTCCCTTCTCGTTGGGTAACCACACGAGAAGGCAGAGTGGGCAGAACTGGTGCGATTGGAAGAGCTTTCGGCACTGGATGCAGAGCGGGACTGAGTCCAGTAATTCGTCTACTAGCCTGTGGGCGTAGCTGCTGCCTGCTCTTTCTTCTAGCGTGTCACCTGCCGCACCAGCATTGGCACGAGCAGCAGAGCCACCAGCAGCACGTGTGCCAGTGGTATGGGCACCCGCACAGGCAGCACCAGCACTGTCATGAGCACTGTCCCCATCGCTGTCAGCAGCGGCACTGTCTGCTGCTGCACCAGTGGCAGACCTACCACCTCTCTTGACACCCTGACCTGCTTTGCCCTGTCGGCCCGCTCCCATGCTCCTGCTCCGCTTCTTACTCATCCCCCACACCCACCCGCCATTCCTCCCCTTCTCCGGCCTCCCCCTTCCCCTGCCCCTCCCCCTTGCTCTCCCCCTCCCACAGCTCCTCCTCCCCCCTTCCTCCACCCCAGTCTCCTTCTCCTCCCATTCATCCCCACCCTCCCTGCTCCCCACCATCTGTCTCTTCCTGCTACTGCCACCACTGCCGCCCCTCCCCCTCCTCCGCTTCTTCCCCAAGCCCTCATCCCAGTCACTCTCTCCAGACGAATCCCCTCCACTGCCCTCCCCTTTCTTTCTCCCTTTCCCTCCTGGCGAAAAGAGATCATCCAGTGTGCGAGTGGGGCGGCCAATAACACCAGGCATGACCCGGCATCCCACACACATCATGCACTCTCCCGCTCCTGCTGCTGCACCTGCTAACTCAGCTGCGGTTGCCCCTCCCTTCGCTGCCCCCACCAACCCACCTGACCGCCCGCCCCCTTTCCGGCTACCAGGAGCAGCACCAGCAAGGGGAACAGCAGCAGTAGCCGCACCAGCAGCAGCAGCAGCACCATCAGCAGCAGCGGCAGCACTTGTGCCAAACTTATCCCTCTCCTGCCAATCCTCCTCACCATCCCCCATCCCCCCACCTCTCCCTTCCTCTCCCTCTCCCTCTTCTCCTCCCTCTCCCCCGCCTCCCTCCATCTCCTCATACCCCACCATTCCTTCACTCTCCAACACTGCCTCCTCCACAGCCTTCCGAAACTCCTTCGGCCTATTCCTTGCAGTCAGCGGCTGATTCTCATACTTAACTAAAAAGTCCAAAAACGGCACAATGCTCCCCTCAGGCACCCACGAGTAGTCCCGGTCGCGTTTTTTGCTAAGCGATGGCCCAAAGAACATGACACACAGCCGGTCGGCTTCAGCGGCGCTCCTGACAGCAGCAGGGGCATCGTAAATCGGGTCTACCACCTGGGCCGGCCACCAGGGGTCTTTCTTGCGCCCTGACTTGGCCCACACTATGTCGCCTGCTTCGAAGCTCCCCAGGCAGAATAGCAGCGGCTTTAGCCTCGGGGAGAGATGCATGGGCGTGCCTGGTTCAGGTTTTGGTTCTGAGACTGATACAGAGATTGGTGTTTCGGTGGGTTCAAGTGGTCCTGTGCGCTCCGCTGCTGCTTTCCTCACTACTGCTGCTGACACAGCTCCTGCTGCTTCCCCTGCTTCTGCTTCTGCTTTTGCTGCTGCCTTCAATTTCCGTGCTCTGGCTGGGCGAATGTGAGGTGGTGATGGGGACCGTGAGGGTGTTGCTTGACTCGACTCAGAAACTCTTGCTGAAGCATTTGGTTTCCGCGCTCTGGCTGGGCGAATGTGGGGTGGTGATTGGGACCGAGACGCTGATACTGATGGTGATGCTGATGCTGATGCAGACGCGGATTTTGATTCTAAGAGCGATTCTACCGGTGATGTTGATGGCGTTGGGGAAGGAGGGGGGGAGAGGGATGGGGACGGCGACAGAGCCACTGGGGTATCAGTCTCAGTAGCTGCTTCACTACCACCACCACCACCACCACTATCAAAACCATCACTACCAACACCATGTGCATCCGTTGAATCGGATCCAGCTGGAGCATGGCAGGATGCAGCAGCCACTGAAGCATCACGCCTATCCTCACCAGCACCACCAGTACCACCAGCACCACCAGTACCACCAGTACCACCAGTACCACCAGCACCACCAGTACCACCAGCACCACCAGTACCACCAGTACCACCAGTACCACCAGCACCACCAGTACCACCAGTACCACCAGTACCACCAGCACCACCAGCACCACCAGCACCACCAGCACCACCAGCACCACCAGCACCACCATCACCACCATCACCACCATCACCATCCATATCATCGGTCGAAGCATGCGCTTTATGACCATGACGAGGGGGAGAAGAATCTCTTGCCACGTGCCCACCATCACTGGACAAATCACGAGCACCACGATCCACAGTACCATCACCCCCATCAGATTGAGATTCAGCAGCACCCACAGCCTGTGGGGCCACGTGCATATCCCTAGCAGCAGCAGCCACACCCTTAGGCCCTGCCTGCACTGCTGTAGCAGCAGCATCTGTGACAGACTGTACTCGCCTCATCAAGGGCCGAATTCTCCTCCTCTTCCCCGCTCTCTCTGCTACTGCCCCACCCCCATCGCCTGCTCTTTCTGCCCCTTCTGCTATTGCCTCTCCTGCTGCTGCTGCTGCTGCTGCAGCCTCTGCTTCTGTTGACCCTGCTTCCACCTCCTGCCCATCTGCTTCTTGTGATTCCATCCCCTCATCTCTCTCAGTTTTTTCACGCACTTCCACCACATCAGCATCCCCGCCTCTCACTTCCTCTGCAACCTCTTCACCCGACTCAGCTGCCCCCTTCATAGTCATGTCCACCTCCCCTCCCTCACCCTCTCTTCCCTTCAAACGCACTTCCACCACATCAGCATCCCCGCATCTCTCTTCCTCTGCAACCTCTTCACCCGACTCAGCTGCTCCTCTCATTGCGTCTGTAGACTCCAGCCCCAATTCCTGCACCTCTGCCTCTCCCGATCCCGCCCCTTGTTCCGCCATCACTGCTTCAGTCAAGGCCACCTCCCCACCTTGCGCCTCTCTTGCCTCTCTTCCCTCCGAACGCACCTCCACCACGTCGGCTTCCTCATCTGCCTCTCCTGCTCCATCTATTTCATCTGCCCCTCCCGCTGCATCTCTTTCACTTGCCCCTCCCGCTGCTTCTTCTTCACCCGCCCCTCCCGCTGCTTCCCCTTCGCCCGCCCCTCCCGCTGCTTCTTCTTCACCTGAACCTGCTGATGGCTCTCCTGATGGTTCTGCTTCTCTTCTCGATTCCCACAGCTCACGTTCCTGCACCCCAGATTCCGGCCCCTCTGTCTTTACTTCCACCACATCTGCTTCCTCACCTGCCCCTTGTGCCGTTCCTTCCTCTCCCAGTCCTGCCACATTCACTGCCTCTCTTCTTGCGTCTTGCAACCCAGCCTCCTCCTCCACCCCTGCTCCCACTCCCTCTGTCTGCACTTCAACAACATCCGCTTCCTCACCTTCCCCTTGTGCCGTTTCTTCCCCAGCCAACTCTACTGCCTCTGTTATTGCATCTTGCAACCCAACCTCCTCCTCCACCCCTGCTCCCACTTCGTCTGCTCCCACTCCCACAACATCCGCTTCCTCACCAGTCTCCTCTAAACCTGCCTCTACCTCTACCGCATCTCCACCCACCTTTCCACCCACCGTCATATCCACCTCACTATCCACCTTTGCACTACCCGATCCCTTCCCAGCCATGCCCTCACTGACAACTCTCCCTTCGCCCACTCCTGCCTTATCTCCCTCGGTCACTCGAGTCTCCTCAATGGCAGTTTCCCTCCTCGACTCTTCCTCTCCCATTTCCCCTTTAACTTCCTCTTTCTCTTCCTCTTGTTCTTTCTCTTCCCCTTCCCTATTTTCTTCCGCTTTCTCTTCCACATCACCTTCCTGTTTCCCTTCCTCGTCCCCGTCCCTTTCTTCCCTTTTATCTCCCACTTCCTCTTCCTCTGCCTCATTCTTCTCTCCTCTCTCCTCCTCCACACCTCTCCCCCTGTGCCTTATCCTTCTCTTCTTCCTTCCATGCTCCCACTCTTGCACCTCCTCCTGCTCCTCTTTCACCTCCTCTACAGCCTCCTCCTCTTGCACCTGTTTCTCCTCCAACTCCTTTTCCACCTCCTCTTGTACCTCCTTTTTCTCCTCCTCCACCTCCTCCTCCTCCACCTCCTCCTCTTTCACCTCCTCCTCTTTCACATCTTTCTCTTCCACCCCTTCCTCTGGCACCACCTCTTTCACCCCCTCCTCTTGCACCTCGTCCACCCCTGCTGCATCCTTAGGACCCTCCTCCTCGCCACGCCCCTCAGCCCACCCCTCACTCCCATCCCTAACCACAACTCCCTCCACATCCCGTTCCTCCTTCCCTCGCTCCTCACCACCGCTGCCTTTCCCTCCTTCCTTGGTCTCGTCCGCAGTATCCCTTGCAGAATCCACAGACGCTGGAACTCCAGCAGCCATTTGAGCGTCAGTAATGTGGTTTCCTGGCAGTTTAGCAGTGGCCATCCCACCCCTTTCAGCCAAGTCACTAACAGCCTCCTCCTCTGCCTTTTCTGCCTCCTTTCCTGCCTCACCCCCCTCCTCCTCTTCTTCAATCCCTTCCTTCTTTGCTTCGACCCCCTTCTCTGATGCAACCCCCTTCTCTACCTCACCCCCTCCCTCAGATTCAGCACATTTCTCTACTTCACCCCCCTCCCCGTCTGCAGTCTTCTCCTTCTCCTCATTCCCTTCCTCCTCATCCCCCTCCTCCTCATCCCCCTCCTCCTCCTCCTCCTCCTCTTCCTCCTCCTCGTCGTCCTCCTCCCCTTCCTCCTCCTCCTGCGCCCTCGTCCTCCTTTTCCCTCCACGCCTACTCCGTGCCGCCCGTTCACTTCTTGCTCCCTGCTCCTTCACCCCACCCCGCTCATGCCTCCTCCCCTTCTCCTTCTTCCCACTCCTCCCACCCCTCCTACTCCTCCCGCTCCGCCCAGTATCCCCCACCTGAATGCCCCTCCCGGCTTTCTCCCCCTGTTCTCTCGCCCCCCCCGCCCGCCCCTTCCCCAGAACCACATCCAGAGCAGACAGGGCCAGGACAAGAGACAAACCAGCAGGTCCGTCCAGAGGGGGAGGTAGTACTGGTGAAGGCTGTGCTGAGGGCGGCTTGACTGTGCTCACCACTACTGGGGGAGCTTGCGCTTCTGCTGCTGCTGCAGATTCTTTCATCTCCTGTCCATTCTCCCTCCCCTCACGGTCTCTCTTTCCCACCATCTCCACCCTCCTCTCCCTCCTCTCCCTCCTCTCCCACTCTCCCGTTGTGTCTGCCTCTCTGCTCCTCCTGGCACGTCCGGCTAGCCTGCCCATCTCCCCTTTAGCCTTTCTCCTGTACACTCTCGCCCCCGGCACCAGTTCCCTTCCCTCCTCTCTCCACTCCACTTCTCTTACCTCCTCATTTCTTCTCTCCTCCTCTTCTCCCACTTCCTCGTCGTTTCCCTCGTCTCTCCCCTCCTCTTCACCTCCCTCCTCTTCTCTCCCTTCCTCATCCCTCCCCTCCTCTTGGCTCCCTTCCTCAGTTCTCGCCTCCAATTCTCTTCCTTCCTCTGCCCTCCCATTCTCTTCTCTCCCCTCTTCTTCCTTTCCCTCCTCCCTCTCCTCCTCTCTTCTCTCCTCCTCTCTTCTCTCCTCCTCTCTCCTTTCCTCTTCCCTCACCTTCACTTCACTGCCTCCCACTCTCGTCCTCTCCTTGTCGTTCCCTACCATCCCTCCAACCTCCCTTTCACTCTCCTCCCTTCCCTCAGTGCCCTCGTCCTCAGCACATGGCTCAGGAGCAGATGGCTCAGGGGCAGCAGAGGGTTCGAAAGGAGAAGATGCCTCACGAACAACAGATGGATCACCAGCACCACATGACATCTCAAGCACAGTAGATGCCTCAGGGGAAGCAGATGGCTCCGGGGCAGCAGAGGGTTCAGGGGCAGTAGATGGTTCAGGGGCAGCAGAGGGTTCAGGGGCAGCAGATGGATAAACAGCAGCAGACAGTTCGGGAGCAACACAGGACTTGTCAACAGCAGCAGCTTCTTCATCAGCCTCCACAAACGCTTCACTGTGCTTCCGCTTCTTGTCCACTGCTGCCGCAGACTGTGCTGCAGAAACACCGTCTGCCTCCGCAGCAGCAGCAGCACCAGCAGCAGCACCACCAGCAGCAGCAGCATCAGCAGCAGCACCAGCAGCAGCAGCAGCAGCAGCAGCAGCAGCACCAGCAGCAGCAGCAGCAGCAGCAGCACCAGCAGCAGCAGCACCAGCAGCAGCAGCAGCAGCGCCAGCAGCAGGTGTGCCATGAATTTCCATCTCCCCTTCCTCCCCGAATTTTTGTGTCCTCTGCTCCTGCTCTTTGTCTTGCCTCACCTGCTCTCGCTCCTTTGCCTCCCCACATTTCTCGCTCTCCTGGTGCTCCTCCTGCTGCTGCTGCTGCTGCTGCTCCTCTTGACCCTGTCCCTGCTGCTGTTGCTCCTGCTGCTGCTCCTTCTCCTGCTCGTACTGTGGCTGCTGCTTCGCCATTTCTGGCTGCTGTTGCTGTTCCTCCTGCTCCCGCTCCTGTTCTTGCTTCTGCTGCAGTTTCTCCTCCTCCTCCTCCCGCTGTTGCTGCTGTTGCTGTTCCTCCTGCTCCTCCTGCTCCTCCTGCTCCTCCTGCTCTTCCTGCTCCTCCTGCCCCTCCTCCTGCTGCAGCATTAGAGAAATAGCTTTCTTCTCTTCCCCAGACGCATCCAACTCCGCCTTCCCCTCCACCTCCTTCTCTCCTCGTCCCTTCTCCTCTTCTCCTTGTTTATCTTCCACCGTCACCTCTGCTTCTTCCCTCACCTTACAAGTTTGGATCGCATCCGCCTCTACTGTTCCCATCCGCCCCTCCTTATGCTCCTCAAAAAGTGACTCCTCGTGCTTCTCAGCAGCACACTCCTCTACCACGTCCCCCTGCTCCTTCAGAGGAGCCGCAAAAGCAGAATCTGAAAACTCTCCCACCTCCCTGACCTTGTGCTCCTCAGCAGCTGACTCCAACGCCCCAGCAGCATTCTCTGCTACCTCTTCTGCCTGTTTGTGCATCTCGTGTCCTTCGTCCCTCAGGGCGGCTTCACCCTGGTGTGCTCCACGCACCTCACCAGCAGACTGCTCTCCCACTTCCACGTTGCTAGGCTGACGCGCGTCACTACCACCCTCATCTACCTTTCCCCTCTCCTGCTCCCCACCCGTCACTATCTGCGTTGGCAACCAGTCCGCCAGCTTCCTTCTCTTAGTCTTCTTCCTCCTCCCCTCTCCTTCCTCGCCCCGAACCGCCTCTCTCTTGCCCCTCCTTGCCCCACTCTCGCCATCCCTACCCTGCTGCTGCTTCCACTTCTTCTCATCTGCACTCAATCTCCGATACCTATTTTCCGTGCCACACACCCAGTCCTCAATATCATCCTCCTCCTCTTCCTCCTCTTCTTCCTCCTCTTCCTCCTCCTCTTCCTCTTCTTCCACCTGTTCCTCCTCCTCTGGACGCTGCAGTGTACCAGACATAACCCCAACCTTCTTCTCCTCATGCGTAAACCCCTTCCCAGCTCCCTTCGCGTTTGCTTCCTCCGTTTCTTCCTGCCGAGACAGTGGCACCGGTTGTTCCTTGTCAAGAGCAGTCAGAAGCTTCATCTTCGCCTTACCCTCCCCATGCTCACTGCTCTCGTCAGGGCACTCCTCCTCATCCCCACCATACTCCTCCCTTCCCAAGTCAGTAGCTTTCTCTTCTCTCACCGCTTTATCAAACCCCTCTTCCGCTCTCACCTCAAGCACCTCTTTACTTTGATTTTCTGAATCCCTCTGCTCCTCCTGTTTCTCAAGCTCCATCTGTTGCTCCTGCTTTCGCCGCTGTTCCTGTTTTTCCAGTTCCAAATGCTGCTGTTTCTCCAACTCCTTCTGCCTTTGTTTCTCTAGCTCTCTCTGCTGCTCCATCTCCCTCTGCCTCTGTTCCTCCAACTGCTTTTGCTGCTCCAGCTTCCTCTCCTGCTCCTGTATCTCCAGCTCCAATTGCTGCTGTCTCTCCAATTCCCTCTGCCTTTGTTTCTCTAGCTCCCTCTGCTGCTCCAACTCCCGCAGCCTCTGTTTCTCCAACTGCATTTGCTGCTCCAGCTTCCTCTCTTGCTCCTGTTTCTCCAGCTCCAGTTGCTGCTGTCTCTCCAGCTCCCTCTGCCTCTGTTTCTCTAGCTCCCTCTGCTGCTCCAGCTTTCTCATCTGTTCCTGCTTCCCCAGCTCCATTTGCCGTTGTTTCTCTAACTCCCTCTGCCTCCGCTTCTCCAGCTCCCTCTGCTGCTCCAGCTTCCTCTCCTGCTCCTGATTTTCCAACTCCCTTCGCCTCTGTTCCTCCAACACTCGCTGCTGCTCCAGTTTCCTCTGCTGCTCCTGTTTCTCAATCTCCAATTGCCGCTGTTTCTCCAACTCCCTTTGCCTCTGTTCCTCCAACACCCTTTGCTGCTCCAGCTTCCTCTGCTGCTCTTGTTTCTCCAACTCCCTCTGCCGCTGTTTCTCCAACTCCCTCTGCCGCTGTTCCTCCAACACCCTCTGTTGCTCCATGTCCCTCTGCTGCTCCAGCTTCCTTTGCTGCTCCTGTTTCTCCAACTCCAACTGCCTCTGTTTCTCCAACTCCTTCTGCCTCTGATTCTCCAACTCCTTCTGCCTCTCTTCCACCAACACCCTCTGCCGCTCCAGCTCCCTCTGCTGCTCCAGCTTCCTCTGCAGCTGCCTTTTCTCCAGTTCCAATTGCCGCTGTGTCTCCAAATCCTTCAGCCTTTGTCTCTCTAGCTCCCTCTGCTGCTCCTGTCTCTCCAGCCGCTGTTTCTCCAACTCCCGCTGCCTCTGTTTCTCAAGCTCCCTCTGCTCATCCAACTTCCTCTGCTTCTCCTGTTTCTCAAGCTCCAGTTGCCTCTGTTTCTCCAGCTCCCTCTGCTGCTCCAACTTCCTCTGCTGCTTCTGATTCTCCAACTCCCTCTGCTTCTCCAACTCCCTCTCCTGTTCCAGCTTCCTTTGTTGCTCCCGTTCTTCTTGCTCTCGCTTCTGCTGCCCATAATGCTGCCGTGTCTCCTCCATCGCATCCCTTCCACCTTCCCTCCGTTCCACGTGACCCCTTAAACCTACATTCTGTTCCCATGTCTCGCCGGCTCCCGTTATAGAATGTATCGGTTTCTCATCAAATGCTGAAAACTGTAGTTGGCCACTACCATGAGAGTCAAACGAAGGAACCTGGTTCGTTCCTGGATCCATAACCCCCTGCCCGTCCAACCTGAACGTGACCCCTTCCATTGGTTCCAACCCTGAAAACCCTGGAAGGAGAGGCTCGGCCAAACCAAACATCCCAGCATCCAAACCAGCAGCCTCAGCACCCGCTCCAGTCTCTCCATCCATACCGCCTCCTCCTCCCAGAAACATGTTGACCATGAAAACAGCGTCATCCTCGAAGATGTTATTGCCGGGCTGAGACTGATTCAGAGAGTCATCCTCGCTATAGAGTTTAAACTCAGAACCTCCTTCCATGGGATTAACACCTTCCACTCCTGGATCCTGGAGTCCATTAAAACTCATGCTAGAACCACCGAAGCCTGTCTGGATAATATTCTGTCCTAGCGGAATTGCTGGAGGGCCTGCAAATGCAAAGGAATCCATGGTTGGTAACGAAGCGATTTGAGGCTGGTTAATTGGTTCCGCTTGGACATGCTGCAAGGGCAAGGCATCTGAGGTGGCTTGATAGCTGCTGCCGGGAGGCCTATCACCCAGAAACGGGGATAAAGTGTAACTTCCCGGAACCAAGCCACTAACGCCTGTCGGTCCAGCCGCTTGCATGGTATTCGCTATGAAATTACTGGAACTTGCTCGAAGTCCTAGCGGGGTATTAAGGTTTGACGTTCCTTGGTATGAAAGATTAAAGTTGCTCTGGCCTCCCGGCCAAGAGCTAGGGTCGGTGGTTCCGTTATTGCCTGTGCTGTTCGCAGCATTCCCAGTGGAACCAAGGAGTGGCGTCGTCGTGTCGATTCTCCCATCCCGCTGAACTCTAGGCGGCCTTTGATGCGGTTGATGAAAGCCGCGATTCATCGTGCTGTTGCTGTAAAGTAGATTACGAAAGCAACATGAGAAAAGACGATGGTGGAACAAACTACACGATAAGAAAAAGAAAGAATGCTCGCGAAGTAATCTGGCTTCCTGAAAGACTCAGATTTAGATTGCTCGCCTGGGTTTCAACAGCTAATAGGCAGACCTTACTTCACGCGGTAGAGGGACTGTAAACGTGCTGCTTAGTAAAGAAAACTAGACTAGGCAAGGTCCTACCGCTCTATTGAATCGTGCAACTGAAGAGGGATCTCGAGGGAGCAACGACGTTCCCAGAGTTTGTATAGCTTACGAGAAAGCTGAAGCAGGTAGACAAGTGTGATTGAGAGTCGTACCTAGATGTCAGGTCAGGGACTCGGTTCGGGCCCTACAGGTAAGATAGAAACGTTGCCCTGGTTGCATGGCGCGGCGGCCCTGACTTCATTTTACGTATGGCCGAACCAGACTCCGAGCTAGTTTGAAGTGTCAAATTTGAAAGTGAATGCACAGTTGGCACGGAAGCAAGCCGCTAAGCGTAATGCTTATGAAGACTCGTTTGGGCCTTGGAGACACCCAGGTCGTGCTGACAAACACTCACTCTGCCTCATCCAAAAGCAAACCGAACCAATCACTGGTGACGAGGTCAGGTAGTCAGGCTCGGCAGAATGCCTCGAGCACTTCGCTTGCTGATTCATCTTTGACCAGAACAAACCAATCCCTGCCCAGTCTTTCACCCTCCCAACCATTCTAGATCTACACCGAAATATTGTTTAGTTATGAGTCTGAAATATGTCCGCTCACAAAACCACCAATAACGGGGATCTGCTTGTGACTTCTACTATTTGTTACCTAGATTCTTTTGAGCGCCATTCTTGTATCGTCCCATGTGTCAGCCTGCATGCATCCTAAGTGTCAGGCTGCTTGCCTGTAGTTATTAACGAGGTAACGAGGGAACAGCTGCTGCGTCAGAAATGATAATTATCAACTGCGAGGAGCGTCGTCATGCTTGCTGACGCGTGGTGTGTTCAATTCCGATGAGCAGCTGCCTGATGGCTGAAAGAGTGTTCTCGAGCGTTGTTCGCAACCCGATTTTCCGCCCGAGCCGCATTCGTCTTCGCCACCAGCAGCTCCTAGTGCGGTGCGTGCGTACTAATGCTCGCTCTTCCTCTTTCATCGCAATTCCCGCGTGTCTTTTTTCCTGTTTTCCCCTCTAGCTGCTACTGTCCTTCCGCTCCTGCTTTTCCGCCAGTCCTCCCTGATGGCTCGCTCTTCCGGATTGGTCGCTTTGGGTCTGCTTGCTCTCTTTCTTCTGGCCGTTCCGTTTGTAAGTCCGAGCAAAACGTTCTACGACGTATCCGACGCCATCGCGACGTCTAGCTATTTGACTGCTCTCTCAATAGTCGACCACCACCGCGCGCTTATTAGTTGATCGTTACACGTCTCGTATGGCTCATGAGGCGTCCCTATTTCTTTTTCCATACTATTTCGAGACGCACGGAAGGCGAATAGTATTACGTAACTTGTTTTCGTAAGAAGACTACACCTGATTGACTTCGAGTTTCGTGTTTGTCCACGCATCTGAAGCATTGCACCTGGTTTCATGTTCGTGTTCCCTCCCGTGCTCGTGGCCAGGCGCGCGCATCATGGCTGCCTGCGGACAGTCTGACGTGTGTGCCGGCAACATCAATGGTGATGGAGCGCAGTGAGGGACGCAGCCGCTGTGCGTACGACAGCCAACTTGGGTACCGCGCTGTCGGCGTCGGCTACAACCTCGATGACAAGTCTGACGAGCGCATGCGCGAGATCTCCACCGTTGTTGCTGACTTTGACAAGGTAGGCATCTCTGCTGTTGTGCTTTTCGCTTGGTGCTGCTACGCTGCTGCATGAGTTACGTCCACATGTATTCACCGTTAAGCAGCTTTGTCATTAGTTTCACTTCCTCCTGTATTGTGTGTTTTATCCCCGTCAGCTGTGCCGCGGGGAGGAGTGTCTGAACGACGTGCAGATCAATGCGCTGCTGGCGTTTGACGCTACGTCTTGAAAACCATTCCCTACTGTAATGTTGTGTATCCTTTGCAGCTGTACCGCGGGGAGGAGTGTCTGAACGACGTGCAGATCAATGCGCTGCTGGCGTTTGATGCGCGGCGCTACCTTATCCGTGCCAAGGAGCGCATTGAGAACTTCAACAGCTTCTGCTGCAACGTGCAGTCCATCTTCGCTGATATCGCCTTCACTCATGGTGAATCTACACTCTCAGTGAGCCTTCAATCACAGTGTGACCTCCATTGATGCTGGCCTGCCAGTCCTGCAAAGTGCATAACAAGGCCCTGTCTGCCACCTAGCTGGCCTCCTTCCGTGTTCTTTCTCTCCCCTGTGCTCATGACTTGCTGTCACCTCACCCTGTATTTTTTACTCAATTCAGCCAAGACCCGGCTGGGAGCGCAGTTCAGCCCGGCAATAGAGAGGGCGCTGAGCTCGCAGTACAAGGAGGCAGCGGAGGAGCTGAGGCGCTCCAAGTGGTGCCGCAAACACGAGGCGGTGTGCCGGGCTGATACCAGGGCCATGGAGGAGGGCTGCCCCACTGCTGCTGTCAGCAGCGCCCGCAAGGTGAGGCGTGTGTGGCTGTCTGGCTGCCACCTTCTGTTCTTGAGCAGAGGTTAGTCAGCATACATGCTTCACTTCTGCCGCTACCATGTGCTGTGCTGCCAACGGTTGCTCATCTGTTCTTTCTTTGTTTTTCCCCAGGTGGGAGAGTCGTGGCTTCCTGCCAACAGTCTGACGTGTGTGCCGGCGACAACAACAGTGATGGAGCGCAGTGAGGGGCGCAGCCGCTGTGCGTACGACAGCCAGCTTGGGTACCGCGCTATCGGCGTCGGCTACAACCTCGATGACAAGTCTGATGAGCGCATGCGCGAGATCTCCACCATTCTCGCAGACTATGACAAGGTCAGCAGCGGTCAGCAGCTGTGTCTGCATCAGTCAAACTTGAAAAAAACTTGCATGCTGTTTGATGCGCAGGCAATTCGCATCACTAAATCTATGATACGCTCCCTTTGTCCCCTATGTATTGTATTTTTACCCTGGTTACGCTTCCCTGGATGCAGCTGTACAGAGGCGAGGCGTGCCTGAACGACCTGCAGGTCAACACGCTTCTGGCGTTTGATGCCCGGCGCTACCTGCTGCGTGCGGGGGAGAGTGTGAAGGCCCTTGACAACTTCTGCTGCAATGTCCAGGCTGTCTTTGCTGATGTTGCCTTCACTCATGGTGAGATTGCGATGGATCATTTACATTCTGCCATTGCCTTCACCCAGCACATAATAGCGGTCTGGTGTGCCTTTTTATTCTGTTATGCTACATCTCTCTGTCTTGCACCCATGTATGTATGAATGGGTGTCTGCATGGTTTGTACTTGTTTCCACAGGCAAGAGTCGTTTGGGAGCTCAGTTCGACCCCACCATTGAGAAGGCCTCTTCATTCCAGTGGAGGGAGGCAGCAGAGGAGCTGAGGCAGTCCAAGTGGTGCAGCAAGAACGAGGCAGCTTGCAAGGTGGATACTCAGCAGCTGGAGGAGGGGTGTTCCTCTGTGGGTGATAACGCTGTGTCTGCTTTCCTCCAGGGGTTTCGTGGTTTTATGGCAGCATAGATCGTAGTGAGGGTCGGCTCTTTGTAGCCGTTTTTGTGAAAGTGTTATGATAGAATGAGATTTTGTTGGCTGTAAAGACATCAATAATTTTGGCTGTAACAAACCTGGGTTTAGATTCTTTCAATATACCTTGGGGTAACGTCTGATAAACATAGTTACCGACCTTGTTTTCCGAACCAAGGTTCGCGGGACCTCAACCTTGAGAATTTGCCCCCGCCTAGCGTGGCCTCGCCCCGCCAGCCCTGGGAATGCTTGGCCCTTTCACTGCCTGTTTGCACAGACCTCAAGGCGTTGGCAGCACTGTGTTGACTCGATTCGACCCGTGGAGCAAGCGGGAATGTCTCTCTGGCTGCCTCTAACGCCTCCTCGCGGCTGAATCGCTTCAGAAACTTGCAAGGGGAGAAAGGACTATGGACCTTGCAGGCGGACTGTTGCTGATCAACTTGTTCGAAGGAAATTTCTGCTTAGCCCGTTAACGCTACCTCTGCGTTATGTCCCGTTACCGACTTCACATTCCGAGCCATGATGACGATTCGCCGTCGCAGAAAATCGTCCCCCTCCAACCTGATCCAGCCAGAACGACTTCGCAGCAGAACCCGCCATTTCATCACGCGCGTCCATCGCCCTCTCGACCGTGCAACGTCTCCTCGCACCCTCTTCCTTGCCACGACGCTTCTGCGATCGCCGTCCCGCAACGCAATCAAGCTAGCGTCGCGTCTCCCCAGCCAAACGCACATTTGGACCAGCCACGCTCATCACTGACACCACTCAAGCTCTCTGCTCAGCCTCACCCTCTCTCTGACCAACATGACCATTGTGACGCTGCGAATTTCGTTCCTCTGCAACCCAAACAAGAACCCTTATCACCTCAACAGCAACCCCCACACCAGGACCAGCCACCACCGCTTCCACCGCTCAAGCTTTCCGCTCAACCCATCTCAAACCATCATTATGTTTACGCTAATCATTCTCAAAAGACGCCTGCGACCATCGTTTCTCTGCAACCCAAACAAGAAGCCGTGTCTCCGCAACAGCAGGAAACCCATCTCAACCCACTATCACCGTGTCAACCACAGAAACGCCCAAGCCAACCTCCCCTCCGCCTTGAACGCTCTCCTTCGGATGATCAGCTCGATTTTCATATAAACGAATCATCTGTAACTGATGGGTTGCCGTTTCGCCCAATTTCGCTACACTCGGTCGTTCCCAGCTACGTGTCCCTCGGGTGTCCCGTGTTGGACCATTTTCTCAGAGGCGGCCTGCGAGCCTGCCAGGTGACCGAGCTCGTGGGAGAGGCGGCGAGTGGCAAAACCCAGTTATGCTTGCAGCTGGCGCTGGCAGTGCAAGCACCTGTGTCAACAACACCCTTTCAGGCTCCTGCGCAACCGCTGCTCGCATCCTCTGGTTCTCCTAACACGTCAGGAGGCAACGCCGACACGTCACGGGGTGCAGCACTGTACATATACACTGATGGTCGGTTCCCCACCAAACGACTCTTCCAACTTGCCAACAGCAGCCGTTTCCAAAACCTGCTCAAATCAAATTCTCCTGGTGCTGTGAACAGCAACGGCGTGCAGACATGTGATACCATCAGCAGCACCGGTGACTATAAACCTGCGATCAACATCAACCCGGGAAGTGATCGTGGCCATCCATATGACCACGTGTTCATCAAGGAGATCCCAACCGTCCAGGAGCTGACCCACTGTTTGGAAGGAGAGATGCATGTGGAGCTCGTCCGTGCCAGAGCCCATCCCATCCGCCTTCTCATCATTGACTCCATCGCCTCGCTGTTCCGCTCGGAGTTCGACAACTCACGCGACGACATGTGTCAGCGCACCACCATGCTCTTCCGCATCGCATCTGCTCTCAAGCATCTTGCAGATCGGTACAAAATCGCCGTGGTGGTGACCAACCAGGTCACAGCCTCCATCGACAACCCACATCCCAGTGTCACTCCAGCAGCAGCAACAGAAGAAGTAGACGGTGAAGCAAAATCAGAGCCATCAGCGTCAGCGACTGTGGCGTATTCTGGTCCGCACCCTGACATCCTCTCCGACTCAGAAAACTCACAGATCCTCTGGTCATCAGGCCAGCGTGTCGTACCAGCCCTAGGCCTCGCCTGGTCCCACTGCATCAACACACGCCTTCTTCTCTCCAGGCGAACTCCTGCCACCTTCCTGTCCTACTCATCGTTCCAGACACCCAGGCTCGGACAGCAGGCTTGGGATGGTTCTAACCTGCAGGCAGGTGGCGTTGCTGGGGGAAGAAATGTGGAGCGAAAGCTTGTCTTGGTGTTTTCACCGTATCTGCCTCCAGGTTGGGTGGATTTCACTCTGGGATTGGATGGAATTGTTGGTGCTGGCCCCATGGGAGGCAGGAATTTGATGGATTGCGACATGACCTTGGTGCCTGCAACAAGTTCTTGTAGTGATGTGGTAATGAAGCCAGGTGATTCAGACAGGAGGAGAGTAGATGAGCACAGATGGCAGGATGCAGGAAAGGATACAATAATGGGTGAAGTGGTGGAGAATTCATGTCGAGTAATAGTTCCTGCTCGGATTTGAATGCCGTCTTATGATTTGCTCAGCTTTGCAATGATATAATGTTAAATGTAATGAAATTTGAAGGATGAGAGCATGCATGACAGAGTCTGCTAAAACTCATTCAGTTCATAGTCTTGACTATACCATTTATCCGGCTTGTGAAGGGGGACTCTCTAATGGAGCAACAAGGAGGAAGCTGGCGAGGCGACATAAACGAGTCCATTGCTGTGAGTGTAGAAAGTGATGTGGGTATGCGACCCATGCGACGACTGGTCAAACACACAGGTGGGCGGACGACTTTTCGCACGGGGTGAAACAAGGGAAGAAAGCATCACCAGCTGGATGGAGGGGCGAATTTCGCAGAAGCGTGAAATTTGAAGCGGGAAGACTTTCGTGCTTCGCATCGCGCAGTAGATTTTTCGCCACCAGTACACCCTGTTCTCCCAGTAGATTTTGCAGACTGGGAGTCTGGGACACGCAGATCTCCCAGGGCTGAACAAAACGTAAGTAATTCTTGAACGTACTGGGAGGTTGGGAGCGCTGAAGAAAGGTTTAGCAGGGTTGTCCTATCTGAAGAAATGAAGCACGAATCAATCTGCATGTACACTTGCCATCCATCACCGCCCCACAATTACCTTCCCTTCATCCACCGACCATCCTCCCCCAGTCAGGATCCTCTCTCGTAGGTCCGAGTCCTAGTACACCCTCATTCTCAGTCTTCTCACCGGCGGAAGCAGTGGCTACAGTGTTTGGACGTAGCGGGCTGGTGAGATAACTCTGTTGCGGGCCAAGTCGCACGAGGCGACGAAACCAGACTTGGGCCGTAAAATTCCGTTAACGCTGAATTACTGTCTTAACCGTTTAGAAAACAGCAATACCATTTTAGAACGTATAGAACCTTGACTAAACGCCCTGGGTCAAACTGTCAGTATAACGCATGTGATAGGACCTTCTTTGGTCCGCTGCGGCTACACTAAGCGTCCGGGTCAGTATAACATATGCCAGTCTAACGAGAATGAGGGTGTATGATATTCCGGCGTTTATCGCGGAGACGCAGCCACGTTGTCATGTCAGCACTGCCAGCTGTCTCTACGTCTCGCCTCATGGAGAAGGTCGTCTCATCCTGTCAGCGGCGGGTGTCCCTTCCCCCAGGCCCACCTCGCCTGTCAGTTTTCTCCCCCTGCCAGGCCCTCGAATGATCAGATAAACTGTGTCGGAACGACGTCGGAGTACAAACTCTCGCTCGCGTGTTTCCCGCCCGTTAGCGCGCCACGCGAAAATCTGCTTCGGAAGCAGCTCCACCTACAGTAAAGTACCAGCCGCGGGCCCGAGTGGGTCCGACCGCGGTAGTACCTCACGGAAGCTTCGGTGTGACTTCCTCGCACCGCCGTGATTGCCGCTTCCTGCGCTCTGCGAGCAGGCTTCCCCAGTTCTCGCCCGTTTATGGCCTAGCTTAGCTCAAGGCTGCGATGTACTATCGTGCAGAGGGGCAGTCCTGGGAGCAGGTCTATAAAAGCACCCAATAATCTCTCAGGATATCTCATCATTCTCCTCGGTCTCCTCTCGTACGGTGACCCGACATCAGCTTGAACATATAGTCGAACAGTCGTCCTCGTTTTCGCCTCTACTCGAGTCATTGCTCTTCATTTGACGCTCTTTACCCAATCAACGATGACGACGACGACGGCGACTCTTCGCCACCTTCTCGCCGCGTCGCTGCTAGCTCTCCTCGTCGTCGCCTGTAAGCACAGCCTCGATAACCGTTTCAAGAACATGCTTGCGAACCAATGCATTCTTTCACGCCTTCCACTAATCTGCAGTGAAGTATCCGATAATGATGTTTCTGATGCCTCTAACGATGTTCCCCCTCGTCCCCGAATACCGCAGCAGGCGCCGCTCATGGCGGCGGCGGTGGGCGCGGGGGTGGCGGAGGACGCGGCTTCGAAGGGGGACGCGGTGGTGGAGGCGGCGGGTTTGGCGGCGGGTTTGGCGGCGGTCGGCGCAATCGCGCTGGGGGTCTGGGCACCCGCGTGGGTGAGTAAGACTCGAACGCTTCATTCTTTATCTTGTTGGTTTTGGATTGTTAGCTTGCACGGCTGAACGGCACAAAGACGGGCATGCCTGTTCATGAAAGCTGTCGCAACCAACCCTCACCTCCCATGTCCCATTCCTCTTACTCCTCGTCCCTCTTGCTCCTCATCCCTCCTGCTCCTCATCTCTCCTGCTCCTCATCCCGCCTGCTCCTCATCTCGCCAGGAGCGGTGAAGGCGAGGCTGAACGGCACGGAGATCACCAGCGCTGCTGGGGATGTGAATGCCACAGGCGTCATCTCCCTCGCTGTCTTCCAGTAAGCAGCTCTGCCTCTCATTGCTAATCAGCCTCTCGTTGCCAACCAATCTCTCATTCCACCTCCTCTTCAGTTTCCCGCTTCCCACGCTGCTTTCCAATAAGCGCCACCTCTCACTGACAACCACCTGCTCATCCCCTCCTACTGCATCTTACCCATCACCTGCACCACCCACCCCTGGCTGGCAGGAGTGGCAGCGACTACAACATTCGCTACGGAGCCAGCATCCGCCTCACCGCCCCCGGAGCTCCTCTCTCCATCGCCATCCGCACTGGTGCTGCCGGCTCGGCTGACGGCGGCGCCGCCCTTCTCGAGTTCTCCGCCACCGAAGCAGCGTGGGTCAACATGACTTGGAACGGCACCCGCAGGGACTCCCGCGGCCGCAGGCACGCCGCCCCCATTCCGAAATACTTTGGGTTTTTCCGCCCGGCTGCTCGTACCGGTTATGTGTATGGGTTTTCTGGTGTTTGGTATAATGCCACGCAGTACAGTAACGCGGACGGGCAGAGCTATTTCGAGGTGGCGAATCTGCTCTTGGCGAATCCGAGTGGGTACTTTGGGATTGTGAAGACTGCAGCGTTTGCGGATGGAGCCGCTCGCGGTCAGTTTGCAAATTTCACCCGCCCGACCCCCGACACGTTCTGGCAGCGCAGCTAGAGGTAGTGCATGCAGTGGCTGCGGGAGAAATTTATACCGGTAGTAATCCTGGGTATTGTTAGCTGGCCTGGGGAAGGAAGGTAAGGAGGAGGAATGTCAGGAGGTGATCGATAAGCTGTAGGGAAGGTCAGCATGCTAGGGCAGCTGCAGTCTGTAGGGTTGCCACCAAGAAGAAAGGTACCGTAACTTATTCTGTAATGGTTCATGCTGGAATGAAATGTGGCTGAGATATCCTTTGGCACGACCCCAGAGCAAGAATGGAAATAGTGGAGCAACCCCTTAAAGGATCAACCTTGTATTCCTGATCAATTTTAGTAAGAACCCTCTATGCCTTGAAATAGAGCTGTCACCTCACCTCCACTTTCTAGATTACTTGGAAAAAATATTACCGTAAAAACCTGTGGCCCAGATTGCTAATTTTGTTGGTCAACTTTATTAATCTAGATAGTTTTGTGCTTTGCCAAGAATCTACGGTATCCGTTTCAGAGTGAACCGTGGTGCTCTTCTCATAAAAATCACAACCACATACAAGAAGTATGCATGGAAAGCATGGGGAGGCACACACAAAAAGGTACGTACAATGCAACGACATGGAGAGCAAGTCTAGCGCTGCAGCAGAATGTTTGTCCCACACACTATGGCAGCCACGAGCATTGGAGGCATGCAGCAGCAAGCGCCAGACTTGACCTCCATGCCATGCGCTCTGATTCCACACTACCATTCACTCATTCCCACATTCCCCATTTCTAAAAACCTCCTCCGCTGCTTGTACGAAACTACCTTGACAATCTTCAGATTCATCGGACCATCCGCTTCCACTAACCATCCGTTGAGCTCGCCTCGCCTCCCAAGAAGGCGACCCATCTTCACAACGCCCAACCACGCCCCACCACTTCCGAACCCTGCCGCCTGCCGCCTACCCTCGGAAACCTCCGAACCTGCCACCGCGCATGCCTCCGCCGCGACCGCCTGCGTGGCGGGTATGGTTAGCGAAGGGACCCCCAACGACGCCATCGGCGAAGGCGTCGGTGGTAACCACGCCGAAGAAGCTGCTGGGAGCGGCGAGCATGTCGACTGCCACCACGTCCGCGTAGCTGCGCCCCGCGCCGTTGGTGATCGTGCTCGCGTTGTACCAAACACCGGAGAAGCCATAAGCGAATCCGGCGCGCGGACCCCCGCGCCCGCCCCCGCGCCCGCCGAAGAAGGATCCCGCGCCAGTGGCGTTGAGATTCGGGAAGAACTGCGCCAACACCTGCAGCACCGCCTTCACCACCGCCCCGCGCCTAGCGCCGCCTGCGCCGCCGGCGCTGCTGTTTCCGCCCTGCCCGAACCGCGTGCCGTTCCACGTGTAATTCTGCCACGCGGCCTCGGTAGCGGAGAACTCAATAACGGGGGATCCGCCGGCGCCGGCGGCGGCGGAGTTGATGGCGATGGACGTGGGGAGGCCGGCGTCAGACACGCGCACGCCGGCCTGGTAGAGAATGTTGTAATCCGTATCGGTTTTCAGCACCACCAGCCCGATCACTCCCGTCGCGTTCGCGTCGCCCACGGCCGCGTCGCTCGCGTCGAGCACCTGCGATCCGTTCATGAATGCCCTGAGGGAACCTGCGCGGGGAGTGAGAAAAGCGGTGACGTTCAGAACCCGTCCATACCGTTCTAAACAGCACTGTATGTATGAGAAATTTGCGCTTACCGACTGGAGTGCCGAGTTTGCCACTGATGACGTCACGCCAGACTCCACCGCCGAACCCGCCGCCTCCAAAGCGACCTCCGCGATGAGCGGCACCTGAACGGATGAACACGGACGTTTTTTAGCTTATATAGAGACTAAAGGTAAGTAGAGACCTGAAAATCCTTAGAATTCGACTGGGTGTAGTGGATTTGTCTGAGCACATGAGAGTGACGCTGTTGCTGCTAACTCGTAGCGTGATGAAAAGGAGATGGCGCTGTGGATAAACACTTGCCGCAACTCACATGAAAGCACAAGCGCTGCGAACAACGATGCGATGAGGAGATTTTTGAAGGCCATGATCGTGTCGTCTGATCGAGCTGGAGCTTAGTGCCAACGAAGAATTCGAGTTGAGTAAAAAATGGTAGAGAAGTCAAATCCGATCAGCTGAGTGGATGAGTTGAGAGACAGCTGGAGAAGCAGCAGATGATGAGTTGAAAGTGGAGTGGCAGAGAGAATGTATATGTGATGGGATGGGATGTCGTGAGTCGTGACTACCTGGCTGGATGCGCTTCGGGAAGCAGTGGACAACGCATTGAAAATGCGAGAAACATTTCCATTAGCGAGACAACGAGAATTTCGTTTGTTCGTTTGTGTGATCGAGACTTTTGTCGCCGACATGTTACCAGCAGGCGAAAGATTGAGGTGTGGTAGTCGTAGGAGCACCGCATCACGCGGCGCTAGCGAAGGGTCGATCCTTTCGTACTTGATCCGTATCCTGTTTCGCGACTCGCCGCTAATGCGGGAAACGACAAAGATTGAGTCTGTGGCAACCGTCAGTCCCTATGGTGTGGCTCGGTGGCACAGAAACTGACTGGTCAACGAGATGACTCAACAACATTGTACACTAATGAGGTTGTACAGTCGCAAGTGTTATGAATACTTGTTATGAGAAAGAGTAGTTTCACAAACGAATCATAATCACACGATGGTCAGACATGACAAATCAGAAATCGTCTGGGCGTGTAGCTACTTTCCCAACTTCTCTGCAGCATACTTCTTGGCAACCTCCATCGCCTCGTTCGCACCCGAAGCCTTGTTGCCCTGAAAAGGAAAAGGGTAAGGGGCACAGAACCGGAGCATAAGCTTTAAACCCTGTGTTGTCAACACACAACACTACACCGCAACAGCAAACTAGAATGGCTCCATCATGTATCCCTTTGAGAATTCTCAACTCCCATGCCCCACCTATCCTCTGTCAACTCCCCCATGCCCCACCTTAACTCTGTCAACTCTCGTGTCAACCCTCCCAAGCCCCACATATTCTCGAACAAACAGGACCGAATCTCTGCGTCCTCACCTGCCCCTGAGCCAGCCCGCCCTTGCCGCCGCCCCCCTTGCCCTCCACGGGCACCAGTGCCGCCCGCAGCCACTCCAGCACGGACAGCCCGCGGGCTGCCACGGCGTCAGGCACACCCGCATACAGCAGCACCTTGCCCTTCTCCTCGTCCACTGATACCATCAGCACTGCCAGCTCCTGGTTGGGGTGGGGGTGGAGAGAGGGGGGTTTGGGGGGAATGGCGATGGGGATATGCCACTCCGGCACAGACAGCCCGCGTGCTGCTACGGCGTCACGCACACCCGCATACAGCAGCACATTGCCCTTCTCCTCGTCCACTGATACCATCAGCACTGCCAGCTCCTGGTGGGCGAGGGAGGGGAAGGGGGGAGAATAATCGAAGGTGTGATGCGAAGGATAGGGTTGAATATAGCCTCCATCAACCCTGCCTTACCCTCCTCACGATCATACATGCTGCTCCCTCTGTCAATTTTGAAGCACACACACACAAACTCCCTCAACGGTTGCCGTTACATACCACCATATTCCCCCCACCGACACCCCTCCTTTTCCCTCTCTCCCACACCCCCAACTCTCACCTTCTGCTGTCCCAGCACAGTCACCACGGCCTCCCTGATTGCATTCGGGTCCAGCCCCACATCGATTCGCAGCACGCACACACTCTCCCCGGCCGCAGCCGCCGCTGCCGCCGTCTCAACAGCCGTCTGGATGGCGAGCTTCAGGTTGGCCCCGGCGGCTGCTTTCTGTGCCTGGCGCAGGCGGTCGTGCAGCTTCAGCAGCGATGCCTTCAGCTGCGCTTTGTACGCTGCTGGGATGACTGCTGAGTCGACAGATCCCTTCAGTGCTGCTACCTCCTGTTTGGGTGGACGAGGGAAAGAGAGAGAGTGGGAAGGGGTTCTGTGCCTGGCGCAGGCGGTCGTGCAGCTTCAGCAGCGAAGCTTTGAGCTGCGCTTTGTATGTTGCCGGGATGACAGCAGAGTCAACCAAGCCCTTAAGTGCTGTCACCTCCTGTTAGAAGGGGACAGGAAGGGGGAAGGAGGGAGAGAAGGAGTGGGCTTCAGCTGTGCCTGGCGCAGGCGGTCATGCAGCTTCAGCAGAGATGCCTTGAGCTGTGCCTTGTAGGCCGCGGGGATCACCGCTGAATCCACCGCTGACCCCTTTAGGGCTGCCACCTCCATTAGCTCAGCGAGGGCAATGGCCTTGCGGTGGTCAACTGAGGTCAACGGAGGTCAAGGGCGGTCAACAGAAGTCAGCACGGGACAACAACCCACCTTCTCCAATGCCGTGCCGGACAGCTTGCCGGCCGCTTCGATCCGGGCGGCGTACTGGTCGGCAAGGGCAATGGCCTCCTTGGCCTTGGCAGTGGTGAAGGCGATGATGCGCCTCACGCCCTTGGCGATGCCCTCCTCGCTGATGATCGCAAATGACTCCGCCTCAGTCGTATTGCTGATGTGCGTGCCTGGGGGGGAGAAGAGAGCAGGGCAGGGAAAGGAGGAGCAAGGGACAGAGGGTAAGGGACTGGGGGGAAAAGGGTGATGATGCGGCACACGCCCTTGGCGATACCCTCCTCGCTGATAATTGCGAATGACTCTACCTCAGTCGTATTGCTGATGTGCATGCCTGAGAGTGGGGGGGGGTTGTAGAGGAGGGGAGGGGAAGGGGAGGAACATATACAAGTATGAGATCACGTAACCTGTAACTCGTACAAGGGCCCACTGGGGGTGAGATGACATTACATGTACGAGCGCACTCATGTCACACACAAAACTCGAAGCCACAGGGTGATTTTCACTTTTTTTTTTATATATATACGATACTCACCGCCACAGAACCTGATGGAGCTGTTGGGCCATTGGGGGTTCTCCGGATCCTGCAGCAACTGCTCCACTGGCGATACTCACCGACGAAGACAATACTCACTCTGGCATACAGAGACACAGGGATCAAACGCACAACTCACTACTACACACAGCACAGCACTCACCACCGCAGAATTCAATGGAGCTGTTGGCCCACAGGGGGTTCTCCGGGTCCTGCAGTAGCTGATCCACTGGCGATACTCACCGCCATATATGGATGAGAGGCATGATTCACCACCACACAACTCGCCACCCCGGAACATACCACCACAGACGGCACTCACCACCGCAGAACTCGATGGAGCTGTTGGCCCACTGGGGGTTCTCCGGGTCCTGCAACAGCTGCTCCACTGGCGTGCCCACTGATACCACCCGCACTGGATCGGGGTAGACCTGAGGAGGATCACATGGAGAGGCAGGGAGATTTGTGAGAGACAGAGGGCCACACAATAACAGTAACACACTCCTGGTCCTGCAGCTGCTGCTGCTGCTCCACTGGCGCGCCCACTGATACCACCTGCTCTGGATCGGGGTAGACCTGAGAAGCAGGGGAGAACGGGACATGGAGAAAGATCATGGAGAGGCAAGCGGACTCGAGTGCCTGCCTGCCTCTCGGGACAGGGACTCGAGTGCGTACTCGCCTCTCGAGTACTCACCGTACATGGGCAGACCCGCCTTCACTCGCTCCACCACCTTCCCCTCGATCCTCGCTACACAGACCGGGTCGAATTACACCTAAAACAAAAACGCTGACCAGTCTCACTGCTCTCCACCACTATCCACCTCTTTCCACCACTCTCACCTCTCCAAAGACCGCTCTGAGCCCCATGATACGCCTCGCATCCGCAAGGCTGGACTCAAGTGCGTAAACGGGCAGACCCGCCTTCACCCGCTCCACCACCTCTGCCTCAACCCTAGCCATACAGACTGGGTCGAGTTACACCTGAAAAATAGCTGACCATTCCCACCGCTTTCCACCGCTCTCACCTCGCCAAACATTGCTCTGAGCCCCATGATACGCCTGGCATCCACAAGGCTGGACTCGAGTGCGTACACGGGCAACCCTGGGCCACCACCTGACCATTCTCATTGTTTTCCGCCACTACCCACCGCTTCCCACCGCGCTCACCTCTCCGAAGACCGCTCTGAGCCCCATGATACGCCTGGCGTCTGCAAGGCTGGACTCGAGTGCATACACGGGCAGACCCGCCTTCACTCGCTCCACCACCTCCCCCTCGATCTTCCCCAGGTCCTTGGGGTCTATGGGCTTCCCTGCGCGCATACATACGGGTGGGTGGGGTGGGCATAGGAAGCACACACTTTCAGACCTTTTTGAGGCGCCTCAAAAGTCGGGTGGGTGGGGTGGGGTGGGGATAGGAAGCACACTTTCAGACCTGTCTTCACCCTCTCTCCACCACTTCCCCCTCGATCTTCCTCGGGTCCTTGGGGTCGATGGGCTTGCCTGCATGCACGGACACACACACAGACGGGTGGGGTGGGGATAGGAAGCACACACTTTCAGACCTGTCTTCACCCTCTCCTCCACTTCCCCCTCGATCAACCCCAGGTCCTTGGGATAGAATCCGTGTGGTGTTTTCCCTCCCCAGCCACACTAGAACCACCCGAACGACCAGAACCACTACCAGAGGCATCAACCTTGCATGGGCTATGTCATTATGGGAGACAAGAGCACAGCACTCACCGTGAGAGAAGTCGAATCGGAGGCGATCCTCTGCCACCAGGCTGCCCTTGTGGTCAATATGGTCCCCCAACACCTTGTTAAGTTGAGAGCGCATGGTTGAGCAGATGCGTGCACGTGTGAGTGATTGGGTGCCACCAGGGCCCTCCAATCGTAGTCCACGCTATATTGGAGTGACTTTTGAGAATTCTCGGAGTGACTTTTGAGAATTCTCGGAGTGACTTTTGAGAATTCTCAAAAGATGCTTGCAAGTGTGAGTGATTCGGAGGCACCAGGGCCCTCCAATCGTAGTCCACGCAACCACCAGAACCACAATCAGAGGCATATTAAGGGTTTTGTTAATAGGGAGAGGAGAGAATGCGGCTCACCGTGGGAGAAGTCGAAGCGGAGTCGATCCTCTGCCACAAGACTGCCCTTCTGGTCGATGTGATCCCCCAACACCTTCTTCAGCGCATGGTTCAGCAGATGCGTGCACGTGTGATTCGGTGCCACCAGCGCCCTCCGATCGTAATCCACCTGGCACACCACCGCGTCGTCCACTGCCACGCTGCCACCTGTCACCACGCCGACATGCACCACATATCCGCCGTACACCTGCACCGACCGGACCTCGAATTTGCTCCCGGTATTGGCATCCTCGTTATTAGCAGGTTTGATAATGGCACCGGTGTCGAAGATCTGCCCGCCCTGCTCTGCATAGAAGCTGGAGCTGGTTAAAACGAGGCCCACTTCGGCGGATGCGTCTGCTGACGTAGCGGTTACTGATTCGACGAAGCCGGACGGGGTGAAAATGGCGCGCACTGTGGTTGGGTGATCCTGAAGGACGATCGGGGGGAGTGGGAACGGAGGGAGATGTGTGGAGATTCATGGTAACAAGGGTGAGAGAGAAAAGGAGGTGGGAACGCGAGGAGGCGTGTGCGGGTTCAAGATAAACAAGGGAGAGACCAGGAGCAACAGAGAACTGCGGAAGGTGTGCGGGCGGAAGTTTAAGTAACACATGGGGGTCGGGGGGATTTTTGAGGCGCCTCAAAAAGGTGTGCGGGCGGAAGTTTAATTAACACATGGGGGTTGGGGGTTGGGTGGTGGAGAAGGATGGTCAGGAAGAAGGGGGAAGTGTCGAGTGGGAGGAGCGAAAGAGTCGAGGGGAAAGGGGGTTAGTGTATACTAAAGGTTGGAGAAGCAGAGAGTGGAAGGTTTGGTGTGGACGTGGAGAGGAATCGACTGCAAGAGTAACACAGGAGACACGCAGAAGTTGTGTGGAATGGTGCTCACCTGGCGCCACACGTATTTGGGCGAGTCATCAGTGGGATCAACGCCCCGCTTCTGCCTCCGCCAAGTACGTAAGAGCTCAGTCAGACAAGACCTTACTAAGAGTAATGCACGAGTTGTCTGGAATGGTGCTCACCTGGCGCCACACGTATTTGGGCGAGTCATCAGTGGGATCAATGCCTCTCTTCTGCAGCTCTGCTGTCGCCTCTGCCTCCATCACTAGTGCCCCTGCCCCACCCTGCAATCACCACATAGAAAATATGTGATTAGGCTATTTCTGAGGCAATTCTTGATTTTTTTTTTTTTTTTTTAGAAGTCATAAGATCCTTACTCCTTTCCCCCTTCACCTTGCACCTCCCCCTCTCAACATCTCACTGGCATTGGTCACTGCCTGTTCAGATGCCCCCATGCTTCAACGCATCCCACTCCCTCCCAGAATCCTCACCATCTATTTCCCACTCACCCCACACCCCCCCCCTTCACTCACCTTGCTCCTCGCCCCTTGCAATATCTCCCTGGCGTCGGTCGTCCATACTTAGTAATTTATGTTTCAATCGGACGCAGAAATTACATAACGCCCCCAACATAGATAAAGAGAAGAGCCCCTGCTCACCTTGCTCCTGGCCCCGCGCGACATCTCCCTAGCATCGGTCATCGCCTTCTCGAATGAAGCCATGTCCACTGCCAGGCCCTTCTCCTCCGCCATCAGCTGGAGGGCGGGGGGAAGGGAGGGGGAAGAGGGGATAGAAGACTATCAGCCGGTATGTTCAGCAGCCATGTCCACCTCAAGGCCCTCAAGCACCATCGAGAGGAGGATGAGAAGAGGAGGGGGGATTCAAGGTGATGAGAGGGGCTATGCAGAGCAAGAGGCAGAGGCAGGAAAACAGGCAGAGGCAGGAAAAAAGGCAGAGGCAGGAAAACAGGCAGAGGAAGGAAAACAGGCAGAGGCAGGAAAACAGGCAGAGGCAGAAAAACAGGCAGAGGCAAGAAAACAGGCAGAGACAGAAAAACAGGCAGAGGCAGAAATACAGGCAGAGGCAGGCAAGCAAGCAGAGGCAGAAAAACAGGCAGAGGCAGGAAAACAGGCAGCGGCAGAAAAACAGGCAGAGGCAGGAAAGCAGGCAGAGGCAGAAAAACAGGCAGAGGCAGGAAAGCAGGCAGAGGCAGGAAAGCAGGCAGAGGCAGGAAAGCAGGCAGAGGCCGAGACACCCGGGCAGCAGAGGCAATCATGCAGGCATACCTGGGTGAGGTCAACCGGGAAACCGAAGGTGTCCCAGAGCACAAAGGCGTCCTGTGTGTGGGAGGATGGGATGGGCGAAGGGGAGAGGCGGATTTGGCGGGAGTTGAGGGGCAGAAATAGCATAGGATATGAATCGACTACGAAAAGGTGTCATAAAGATGTCCTGGTTGTGGTGGCAAGGTGACTTTTGAGTCGACTCAAATGTCCTGGTTGTGGTGGCAAGAAGGAGAGGGAGAGAGGGGTGAAGGGGAAGGGCAAAAAGGGGGATCGGGGGGGAGGGGAAAAATGGGAGGGGGAGACGGGAAGCAAGCAGGGAGCAGGGATGGGTGGAGGCGGATGAGCGGATGGAACAACTAGTGACGGAACGCCTTCACGAAGGAACGAGCTCAACCGAAAGGAGCAATGATAAGGACGTGACGATTAGGGCGCGTGTGGTCTGTTTAGAAGTTCAAAATAAAGTTCGAACTTTGGGTGGTTACCCTATTCGCTAATTTCGCGAAGGGTGCTTCGCGAACCAAGCATTGTATGGGCTCTGCAAAAGTTCGAGTTTGAAATATGAACTTGACTCGAGTCGGAGGCGCGAACGTGCGTGCGTGTGTGATTTGCAGCACGTCCGAACAGCTGGCGAAACGGGCGAGCGCTTCGCCAGTGCATGAAGTTGCACAACGAAGACACCCCACAATTCGTGCACACAGTTGTAGCCACGTGTCCAGCATACAAGGTGTTGCCACAGGGGCTATTTGTACCCTGGTTACACACTCGGGAAAGTATATCCCAGCTCCATAGTTTCAAAAATATCTCAAATTTAGTCTTAATTTCACTAAAAAAGTACAGCTTTCTGGAAGTTTGCTCACGCGAGGCCCAGATTATGTTCAAAACTGGTCCTGCGAGGCAAACTTTTCGACACGTGTCCTATTTCTTATTAGCAATTTCTGAAGGGGGCAAAAAACATAAAACCCCTAGGGGAACCAGGACACACGTTCGGGAGGGACCAACCCTAAACACGGGGACCCGCTTGGTGTTTAGGGTTGATCCCTCCCGCAAATGTGCCCTAGGTCCCGAGGGGTTTTATTATTTTTTGCCCCGTCGAAATTTTTTCAAAGCGAAATTGGACACGTGTCGAAAACTTCGCCCCGCAGGACCAGTTTTGAACATACTTTGGGCCTCGCGTGAGGGAAATTCTAGAAAGTAGTACTTTTTGAGTCCACCCGCGGCTAAATTTGAGAGAAATCTGAAAGTATGGACCTGGAATATAGTTTCCCTACACACTCGGCGCGGAAGGTGAGTTGGAGCTCTAGGTCCTTGTAAACCGAGGCGCAAAATGTTGACGTGGCGCACCGTCAAGACGAGCGAACCGGGTAACCTATGATGTTGACGTGCGGCTCGGCTCGTTTTTACAAGTTCGAATGTCGGGGTTCGACCTTGTATGTGTGTGTGATTTTTTACAGTGTCGTAAGCCCGATGTTCGAACTTCGATAGAAGGAAATTCGAACTTCTTTCGTTGTAAGTTCGAAACTAAAATTCGCCCTAAAAACATAAACTTTTACAAATTTCAAAGACCTCACGCGCCCTTAGTCACACAGACGTCTGACCTCCAAAACCTGTACTACCTGCCCCACTTCCTACCTCCCCCCCCTCCTCCCCTCATCCTCTTTGCCATCCCACGTCACCGCATCTCACATCACTATATGCGACCTCAGTGCACACCACAGCACCGCATGACACCGCACCTGGCCGCTCAGCTTGCCGTCCTTCACTTCAGAGGCAGCCTTCTCAAACCGTTGCAGGCCCTGGGAGGGTAGGATAGGAGGAGCGGAGAAGAGCAGAAGCAGCAGAGAGGGGGAAGAAACAGGGGGTTTGAGGAGAGATGAAGGCAAACCATGTCATCCCTCTAATACTCAGCAAGAATAGCAAAGATTAAAAAAAACAGCCGACATTCCTAATCAACCACTTGTACAGGCACAAATGCTTCCAACTTGAAAGCCTTGACCAGAGAGATGGAGGCCAATACCCAGAGACCACCCACCTTTTGGAGGGTGCGGCCGAAAGCAGCCTCCTCCTCGCTGATGATATCTTGAATGCGCTGGCCGTGCTTGCGCAGCTCAGGAAAGGTGTCCCCCATAAGGTCAGCAAACACTGGCACCAAGCTGGGGAGGGGACAATACCCAGGCAGAGGGAGGCGGTGGAGTGGGGTGCAGGAAAGGTGAAGGAAGGGGGAAGGTGTGTCTTGCAAGGTCTTGAATGTGCTGGCCGTGCTTGCGCAGCTCAGACAAGGTGTCTCCCATAAGGTCAGCAAACACTGGCACCAAGCTGGCGAGGAGGGAAGGGAGGGCAGGGGGTAGGGAAGGGGAGGCGGAGGGGGACGTGTCTCTTCCTCGCTGATGATGTCTTGAATGCGCTGCCCGTGCTTTCTCAGCTCAGGGAAGGTGTGGGGGGAAGGGAGGGCAGCGGGTAGAGGGAAGGGAACGGGATCGGGGGGGGGGAAGTGTCTCCTCCTCGCTGATAAAATCTTGAATGCGCTGCCCGTACTTTCTCAGCTCAGGGAAGTGTCCCCCATGAGATCTGCAAACCCCGGCACCAACCTGTGGGGGGAAGGGGAAGGAAAATGTGCCTCATGACATTGCGAATGAACATTCCGCCCAAAGCGCACAGCACAGCACAGGCGGCCTCAAGATGCAGAGCAGCACATAGTTGCGGCCGTCACAACTTGCAGAGTTGGCTGTTGAGATTGAGATGTTCCAAAACAAACTCTCACGATCTCACATACACTCACACACACCCACCCACGAGCTGAAGAAGCCTTCCTGGGCGCCCAGCACATCCCGCCCGTAGCGAACGGCACGCCTCAAGGATGCGGCGCAACACAAAGTCGCAACCGTCACTGACTTGAGACACACCAACCAACACTCTCTCAACATGCCCACGACACCCCACACGCCAAGGCCACTCACGAGGTGAAGAAGCCTTCCTGGGCGCCCAGCACATCCCGGCCATATCCAACAGCCCTCCTCAGGATGCGGCGCAGCACATAGTCGCGACCGTCACTGCTTTTAGACAAGCCAAGCCACACCAAACACCCCCAACAAGCTCATGCCACTCACGTGCTGAAGAAGCCTTCCTGGGCGCCCAGCACATCCCGGCCATAGCGCACGGCGCGCCTCAGGATGCGACGCAGCACATAGTCGCGACCGTCGCTGCCGGGCCTGGCGCCATCAGCGATGGCAAAGGAGAGAGTGCGGATGTGATCTGCCACCACTCGGTACGCCATGTCCTTGTTGCCCGTGTCCTCTTTCCCGAGTTTCCCTTCATAAGGCGCTGCTCCCGTGACCTGAGAGACAGGCGGACAGGCAGGGTTCAAAAGACTAGGACATGAGAAGTGTGGTGAGCGATGGCGAAGGAGAGAGTGCGGATGCGATCCGCCACCACGCAATATGCCATGTCCTTGTTGCCCGTGTCCTCCTTGCCCAGCTTGTCTTCATAAGGCGCCGCTCCTGTCACCTGGCAGGGGGGAAGGTACGACAGGGCAAACAAAGGCAGCAGGGTTGGGTTGAAAGGAGAGAGTGCGGATGTGATCCGCCACCACGCAATATGCCATGTCCTTGTTGCCCGTGTCCTCCTTGCCCAGCTTGTCTTCATAAGGCGCCGCTCCTGTCACCTGGCAGGGGGGAAGGTACGACAGGGCAAACAAAGGCAGCAGGGTTGGGTTGAAAGGAGAGAGTGCGGATGTGATCCGCCACCACGCAATATGCCATGTCCTTGTTGCCCGTGTCCTCCTTGCCCAGCTTGTCTTCATAAGGCGCCGCTCCTGTCACCTGGCAGGGGGGAAGGTACGACAGGGCAAACAAAGGCAGCAGGGTTGGGTTGAAAGGAGAGAGTGCGGATGTGATCTGCCACCACGCAATATGCCACGTCCTTGTTGCCCGTGTCTTCTATCCTGAGTAGCCACGTGTATGAAGATTGGTTATGAGACGTCTCAAAACCAACCTCCATACACCACGCAATATGCCATGTCCTTGTTGCCCGTGTCGTCTATCCTGAGCTTGCCTTCATTCATGCGCTGCTGCGCCAGTCACCAGAGAAGCAGCCCGTCACGAAGACGCCCGTGTCGTAGTTGCCCAGCTTGCCCTGCTTTCACCAAGCTGCAGGGTGTTTTGAGAATTCTCAAAAACACCGTGTCGTAGTTGCCCAGCTTGCCCTGCTTTCACCAAGCTAGCAAACCTCCTGTTGATGCAGGAAGGCCCACCTAGACCTCTTCTCCCCGTTTTTCCCCCGTCCCTCCCCTCCTCAACCACCTTCTGAATTGCGTCAAAGATGGGCAGGCATGAACACGTCTGTGTCGTATTTGCTCGGCTTGCCCTCTCTCAAACTCCTCTTACCTTACCCAACCCGGCTCAACCCCCCTCCACCCCCTCACACCTTCTGGATCGCCTCAAAGATGGGCATGAAGACATCAGTGTCGTAGTTGCTCAGCTTGCCCTGCAGAATGGACGTCAGACGCTCAAAGCCCATCCCCGTGTCCACGTGCTTTGCCGGCAGCGTCTTCAGTGTGCCGTCCGCCTCGCGGTTGAACTGTGGTATGAGATGCGGTAGGGTGAGGTGGGGTGGGGTGGGGTGGGGTGGGGTGGAATGAGGTATTGAAGACAGGTGGGTGGGGCACGTGCTTCAAGCCACAACAAGCATATCAGGGACTCAAAGCCCATCCACGTGTTCCATCCACGTGCTTGGCAGGCAGGCAGCGTCTTGAGATCTCAATGCATGTGGCCCCGTCCCTTCAAACACGTCCTCACATACTCGATAAGAAGACGCTCGTTTTAAGCACCCCCTCATCACCTGGATGAACACGTTGTTCCAGATCTCAATGCACGTGGGGTTGTCACTCAAACACGTCTCCACATACCCGTTCAAAAGGCACTCGCTTAAAGCACGCGTCGATGCTCTCACCTGGATGAACACGTTGTTCCAGATCTCAATGCACGTGGGGTCATCAGCGTTCACCAGAGCAGCAGCATCGCGCCCGCCCAGGCGGTCAAAGTGGATCTCCGTGCACGGCCCACACGGCCCTGTGTCACCCATCTCCCAGAAGTTATCCTGCACGCACAAGCATGGGTGCAAATACACATGAGAAAAGGCATCTTTCAGAGCTGGTATTCCAGTGCAGATAAAACTGAGTGGGAGCACAGGCACAGGGGTTACATGACCACACGGGCATGTGTGGGCCATCCAAGAATGAAGTCATGCAGTGAACCAGGGACTTCCATAACGAGGACGAGACAAACCTTGCAGCCGTACGGCAGCACACGGCTGGCTGGGAGCACGGTGAGCCAGATGTCCCGAGCCTCCAGGTCCGGTTCCAAGCCTAGCTTCTCGTCCCCGCCAAAGTAGGTGGCATAAAGCCGATCCTCTGGCAGCTTGTACACCTGATGCACGGAAACAGGGGGTAAGACACACAGGGGGGCGGGTTGAGGTGGGGGGAAGGAGGGCGGGTGGAAGGTGGGTGGAGGTGGAATATGCCGATCCTCTGGAAGCTTGTACACCTCTTGCAGGGAAAAACGAGGTAAAATACGCAATCTGAAGTGTAAGAAAAGAGAGAGATTGTACCAGCTACCAGACCTAACTGTGTTACCAGCTCCCAGACCTAACTGTGTTACCAGCTCCCAGACCTAACTGTGTTACCAGCTCCCAGACCTAACTGTGTTACCAGCTCCCAGACCTAACTGTGCTGCCAGCTCCCAGACCTACCTGCGTGAGGAGCTCCCAGGCCCACGTGATGGCCTCCTGCTTGAAGTAGTCCCCGAAGGACCAGTTGCCGAGCATCTCAAAGAAGGTGTGGTGGTACGTGTCCTTGCCCACGTCGTCCAGGTCGTTGTGCTTGCCGCCCGCGCGGATGCACTTCTGAGAATTCACCGCGCGCTTGAGCGATGCCAGGGGGCTGCGCGGGTCAACCGTTCCCAGGAAGATGGGCTTGAACTGGTTCATGCCTGGCGGGGGGAGGGGGGATGTGAGGTTGAGTGCTTGCCAGCGCGGATGCACTTCTGCGAGTTCACGGCGCGCTTGAGCGAGGCAAGGGGGCTGCGCGAGTCCACAGTGCCCAGAAAGATGGGCTTGAATGAACTGGTTCATGCCTGGCGGGGGAGGGGGAGGGGGAGGAGGGGAGAGGGGGGAGAAGGTTGAGTGATTGTGCTTGCCACCCGCGCGGATGCACTTCTGCGAGTTCACCGTGCGCTTCATTGGTGCCAGGGGGCTGCGCGGGTCCTCTGATCCCAGGAAAATGGGCTTGAACTGGTTCATGCCTGGCAGGGGGAGGGTGGGAACGGGAAGGGAACAGATGGGGCGAGGGGGAGGTGGGGTAACGGACGGGATCAAAGAATGAGCGACAATAAGACTCGAGGTATTGAGATCAATTGAGTTTTAACCAGCGCGGACGTTGTGATTGGAACAAGTGTGCATCAACTCGAACGGAACCCGAAGGCCAAACGAAGTGATTCTGACGACGTTTCCGCACGACACGGCGGATAACGATGCGGCACGCATCCCGACATGCCAGGCGCGCACACAGCCGCCGACTTGGTCAACCTGACGTTCAAAGTTGTTCGTTGTCTTATCAGTCGACTCAAGTCACGTTGCCAAACGCCACGAGTACACAGCCGTCGATCTGGTGAATCGGACCATCGCGAGAAGCGTGACACGTGTACGGGTACGATTGCATAATAAGTGTACCGGGTTTGAGTCGCCTCAAGAATCTGACCATGTTGAACATGAGAGACCCATGTGAGTGTACGATCTTTGAACATTTGGGATCCCACAGTCGGTGCATGACATCCCTGGGCGCATCTAACGCTGAGAAACCCGCTCTTGTTCTTCCACACCGCAGTACGCCTAAATCGAGATCGCTAGCAATCTCTATAACGAGGACACGAGACTGACGCTGGCAGCGCAGCGTAGAGCCGGATCCAGGTGACTTTGTGAAATTGATTCCAATGATAGCGAGGGACGCTCCTGTATCGCGAGCGCACTAACTGACGATTCTCTATAACGAAGGAAACGACTTGCGAAGGGGGTGGTCCGGCAGGCACTGATCGTCGCTCCTGTATGAAGAGAAAACTAACTGTCGTTGCTGCAGCTTAAGCGCACTGACCGGCGTTGGCGAAGAGCAGCGTGGGGTCGTCCAGCGGCACGACCAGGCTGGACGGCACGTGCGTGTGCTCGCGATCCTTGAAGAACTGCAGGAACGTGTCGCGCACGCGCGTCGCCGGCCATTCCAGCTCCGTTCCTGCTCACGAATCGCACATACAACAGGAGATTAATCTCAGGCCTCTAGGGTATTACTACAGATTTAAAAAACAAATAGTAGGCTCGTTACACTATCTACCTGATGCTGATCCGCCCGACATTGCGGCTCGGAGTGGCAGAATAGGAATGCACGCAGATCGGAGGAGCAGCTAACTCAGGAAGCTGAACGCGTGTGGAGTAAGCTAGACCCGCTTTGTGACTTGGGAGTGGCAAAACAAGGGAGCACGTGGCCACATCTTCTGGCGGCGATTATCTCCAGGGTGCTGGCTGAAGGAGCAAAGGTCAAGGGGGATAGAGTGTATTTGCGACTTTATCTCAGTTTCATAACTACCTCGGTTTTCGATAGTGTTCGAAGAAGGGCGTCGTGGCTGGTGTTTGGATGGTGTTTCTACTTTCGCTTATTGCGACGGTTACCAAATGGCAGACCTCGCATTGATGTCAACGGCTAGGGCCTAGTGGATGTTCGTTCCAGTCAAGTTTTCCGAGCTTCCAATTCCAACTGAGACGACTTCTCAAGTTCGCATTTTCTCCCAACGAAACTGCCCCAATTTCAGGTCCTCAAAACTGCTTCCTCTCTCGCACTCCACCTAAGTACAGATGTTCTCGATTAGAGTCCCAGTAAAAAACACGCGCGCTGCGGGCCTTTGTGGAAAACTCACAAACCCCGGGCAAAAGGGAACTTATAGTCCATTATAAGGATAATTGCATGAAGAGCGCTTTTCCTTTGCTACTATTCGTGTTGCTCTGTCACATACGTACATTCGGACTACGCTGTCCTCAACTTCTCGTCGCACGGTTCGCCGCGTTGATCAGTGTCGCAGGACAAACGGGCAGAAAAATACAAAATAAATTATGTTTAAGGCCGAAATGAAGACAACAGTTTCTGTTTTACACTGTAAGCGATATTAATGAGATGGCATCGTCGGAGCTCGCGGGGAACCGCGCGACAGGATGTAGACGCAAGAGAGGTCAAGATAACCAGACAAACACAACTGCTAGTACTAAATATTGACTCAAAACTTCCTTTCGTTTTATTTTCTTTTGTTGTTCTGACAGGTTCGATTTGCGTCCTCTGGTTGGCTGCGGAACTGATTCGCGCAATGATTCAGTCAAGATGCAAGATTTCCCGCCAAACATGGGACTGTAGAGGATGGGATACACCTAGGACTTATGTGAAAGATCTACTCGTTGAGGAAAAGGAACTCTTTTAGGAAGGGCCTCTAAGCCAGAACATTTGTATGACACGGGCGCCGAAACAATCCCCAGTTCGGCCTTGTCGCTGTGAACCGCGTACACCCTAATGCTCACTCAACCGCCCACTCTGAACTCGCCCGCTGCCACTCCATACGCCCAGTGGTCGACATTCACAGCCAACGGCCCGCGCGTTACTAGCCCACGACAAAACCAAGATGTTCGAGTTTCCCAGACAAAACACGCTGGGCTACCCACAATTTCCGCAACAGTAGTTTTTTTGTCATCCTTTGTTCTACATTCAGTCCCATTCTGCCCCTAGTGAACTCATGCTCGAGAGAGGAGCACAGGGAAAGATGGGGAAGGAGACTGAAATGGGCATCACGTGTATCGGAAGTACGGGTCACTGGTGACTAGCTATGAAACGCACGGTTGATTCGAGGAAAACTTTCACATGCGTGTGATTGGTTGGTGTAGGACGGTCAGGTCGGTGATACTGTATATGTTCATTCAATCGCATTCACCTACACAGTGACCTGTTTTGGTCGTCAACTGCTATCCAATGACGAAGATTTTCTCGCCGTCAACTTGCTTATCTTGGGCTGCCAGGCTCCCTGGTGGTAACCTCCCTCCACAGTCAAGCTCATCGGTGCTTTGGATTCTGCCGAGCCTTCTGCCTTGGTTTGGGGTTATTCGGCCCGGACAAACCAACACCTATGGCAGGCAGATGAAGTTGGTTGGCCAAGCCAAGAGCGAAGCGGGATCATCTCAAGACAACTACCTCGAGTTGCGTTTTTAGGACCTAGAGGCTGCCTGGATTATCCTCAGGCTGCCTTATCTCCCCCAAACTCCTCACCTTTGCTCAAGGTGGGCCGCGGTGGACGTGGATAAGACATGAACCTTCCTCGTCACACCTGCTTTTGTAAATGAGAATTGTGACGGTATGATGCGGCCGATGCAGTCCTATGTCCCATACGGGACTGATAGCAAGCAAGTGTAACTGACTGATGATCGTGCAGACTTCCTTCATCACTAAGTTCCCGCAAGACATGGCCTTAAGTATCCATTCTGGGCCCAACTTTAGACAAAATTCAAACCGTTAAGGGACGCGGTATTGGAGCGAAATGCAGCCGCAGCCGCAGCAGATGCAGGCGGGACCGCAGCGGATGCAGCATTCCCAGCCGAACAAGCAGCCGATTTTCATGCAAAGACAACCCCCGTCACCTCAACGCCAACAGCAGCAGCAGCCGGAGAGTCCGCAACCTGCATCCGTGCGGCAGCGGTCGCAGAATGGTCCCAATCAGGAGGTCATGACTTCAGGCCGACCTCTGGTTGGCGGTAGAGGCGGTCGAAATCAGCCTCCTGGGTACGCGTACGATCAGCTCAGTCGGTACTGCGTTGTTAATTTTTTAGTTGAACAAAGAAAATGCCGGAATTAGTCACCTGGGTCGGTAATGGCGTTATGAGCTGAGTCGGAAATGGGTAGTTACGCGCGTTGATTAAACTCGTTCTAGTCGGCACGCGTATGACGAGCTATGTCGGCACTAAAGAGTACAGATACGATGAGCAAAGTCGGTGCTGCATACGCGTGGAATCTGTATCGGCACGCGTATGAGCTGTATTCGGTTCTTTGTCGTGTAGAGACATTCGCCGAAACACGCGGGAAGGGTCAAGAAGCAGCCGTGTTTTTTTTTTTTTACCGTTCAGCTTCCCTCCGTTCTCTCCGCCTTCCGCTTCCGCCCTCTCCTCTTGCTGACTTTCCCCTTTTCTCCCCCCTTCCTCCATTCTCCTCCCCCTCCTTTCTTCGCGCACCTTTCCCCCCAACCGCTTGTTTTGAGGCGCATCGGGCACATCGTCCCCCGTGTCAATTCTCGCCTTCCCGCCTCCGCTCAATTGCCGCTATTCCCTATCCCCCCCTCTCCCGTGTCGATTCTCTCCCTCCCGCCTCTGCTCAATTGCCCCTATTCCCTTAAACCCGCACTTCCCCCAGCAGCGCAGAGCCAGGCGCAAGCGGCCCCCCGCTCAACAAGATGCGGAGAACCCACAGCGAGAAGCAGAGCAGCGCGGGGATCGCACGGGCGGGGGGAAGCGGAAGCAGCTCGGGTAGCGCGGCGGAAGAAGCTCCGCCTTGGGCGCGGGGAGTGCCCAGCGGACCCGCGGGTGGCGCAGGCGGAACATGGGGAAGCGCGGGGGGAGCGATGGGTGGAGTGGGCAGTCCTGGGCGCGCCGGCGGTGCGCCCCCGCTTGTGTCAAGTCCGCATTACATGCAGCAACCGCCGCCGCTGCACCCGCGGTCTGTATCAGACGAGGACAGGGACAGGATTTCCGCCATGAACCCCCCTGCGGGCGCAGCTGCTGCGCGTATGGCGGCCGCGAGTAGGCTGGCGCAGGCTCAAGCGCAGGCGCAGGCGCAGCGGGGGAACGCGGAGCGGGAGGATGGATCCGCGTCTGATGGGGGGGGGACCGGGCGGGGTGTAACTAGCGCGGGATACCGACCCATGCCGCAGTTTCAGCAGCAGAACAGGGGCATGTTCAAGGCGGAACGGAGGAGGAGCTTGGATCTTTGCACGGAGAAGGTGGGCTCGCCAGTTAAGGGGGGAATGCAGCGGATTGGGTCGGGGGAGGCGCTTGTTCCGGTGCAAAGGGCAGGGCCGCGGTTGCAGTCAGAAGGTGGGGGGATGGGAGCGGTGGAGGGCACGTGGGAAGCTGGTAGTGGCCAGCAGAATCAGGCCCATCAGGCCGTGCAGTTGCAAGGGCAGCAGCAACAGCAGCGCCTGCAGACGCAGCAGCAGCAGGGTCAGAAGCAGCAGCAGCAGCAACAGAGCATGCGGAGCAGCGCTGCTGGTTCAGGTGCTGGAGGTGCTGGTCCGGGTAGTGCTGGTTCGGGTAGTGTTGGTTCGGGTAGTGCTGGTTCAGGTGCTGTTGCCGCAGGCGCTGCTGGTACTGGTGGTAGCGCAGGGGGAGGGGGAGCGGGAGGGGGATTGGGAGGCAGAGGAGGGAGGGGCGGTCGAGGTGGGAGGGGTGAGGTTGTAGGGAGGGGGATGGGGATGGGGGGAAGAGGGGGAAGAGCGGGACCAGGCTCACGTGTACGAGAAGGTGAAAGGGATGGCGTTGTTGCTGGTGCTGGTACGGGTGCTGGTGGTGGTGCTAGCGCTGGTACTAGTGCTGGCGCTAGTGCTAGTGACAGAGGAGGGGCAGGGCAACAGCAGCAGGGTCCGCAGCAGCAGCAACAGCAGCAGCAGCAGCAGCAGCAGCAGCAGCAGCAGCAGCAGCAGCAGCAGCAGCAGCAGCAGCAGCAGCAGCAGCAGCAGCAGGGTCAGCGCATGAGAAGGCTGTCAGCGTCGTCTGTTGGCTCAGCTGCCAGTGATGCTAGCGGAGCCTCTGGCGCTAGGGGCGCAGCAGTTGTAGCGGGATCAGTAACAGGAGTTGTAGCAGGAGCGGGGGAAGGGAGTGCAGGGGCGGATGGCGGAGAGGGAGGAGGCAGAAGTGGGAGGGAAATCACTGGAGGGGAAGGGGCAGCAGGGAACAAGCCACTCGTTGCTGCGACTGCTTCACGCATAGAATCAGAGCCTGCTGGAAATATTACCGTGACCGTCTTACGTTCCTCAGGTGCTCCAGGTGCCTCAGCAGGTGCTTCTGGTGCTGCTGCAGCTCGGCTAGACATAGACCTGTACAGCCCCCTCCCTGGCGGCAGTTTCAGCAGCTACCGGCGTTACCGCTCTTGCCGCAACTGATTCTCTTAACGGGACTGACAGAAACGAGTCAGCTACTAACGGGGATGGCGAGCTAGACGCCACAGGGTTTGAAAGCGCGCCAAGTTCGAAATCCCCCCAAAAAGGCAAGAAAGGGGCGAAGGGAGAAGGGAAGGTGCAGGGGAAAGGGAGGAGAGACGGAGGGGAGGGTTCAAGCGGAGGATCAGCAGATGCTGATGATTCGAGTGCAGGGGAGGGGGGCCGAGGAGGGGGCAGGGGTGGACAGGGAGGGAAGAGTGGAGGGAAGAAGAAGAGCGGGAGGACCAAGTCAGGGTCCGTGACAGGGATGGTGACCCACAGGCGGGCAGCGTCGTCACAGGGCCAGGGGAATGGCGCCGCTGAGAAGGTCTCAGCGTCAGAGGCGGGTGGGGGTGGCAGCAATGGGGGGGATCGTATAATTTCTGTGCCTGGCGGCACTAGGGACGCTTCTGGTGCAGCTGATGCCTCTGATGCTGCGCCTGGTGGTGACGACGCCCTTGCTCTCTACAGGTACGCCTTATCCCCATCGTCTCTACTGCTGCTGCTGCTGCTTTCCCCCTCCCCTCTCATCTACCTCCCCATTTCCATCCTCCTACCCCTCTCTCCCCCGTCTCCCCAGGGCCGGATCCCCGTCCATAGGCCAGCTGCAGCTGCTGGTGTCCCCAGCTGTCTTCTCACGAGTCATCAGCTGCAACGCTGCTGCTGCTGCTGTTTTGAGATGCCCCAGTGAAGACATGCTGTGGGGCAACTCGCTCTGTGAATCCCTCTGCCCAGACCACGTGCCTAGATTCGAAGTGAGTAAATACGTGCCTTATTTCGCCCCTATCCCACGGGTGTAAGCAACCCAGTGAGGACATGCTGTGGGGCAGCTCCCTCTGCGAGTCCCTCTGCCCAGACCACGCGCCAAAGTTGAGGTCCCTATGCCCCAAGTCCCCTGAGTGTATGCGTCCCAGTGAGGACATGCTGTGGGGCAGCTCCCTCTGCGACTCCCTCTGCCTGCACCACCGTTTCCCCCCACCTGCACTCTGCCGCGCCACCCTGCTCACTCCTCCCCCCTCTCCCCACCCCCCTTCGCCTTCTCTCCTTCCCCTTCCCCGCTTCCCCCTTCTACCTCCCCTCTCCCTCTTCCCCCTCCTCCTCAACCCAGGCATGGCTGCTTCTGGTGGCGCATATGGTTCACTCAGCAGCACTCCCCGCCCACCTGCACTATCACACCTCAGCCTCCGTTACTCCTTCCCCGTCACCTCGCCTTTCTTTCCCTTCCCCCGTTCCCCTTTCTCCCTCCCCCCGTCCCCTTTCCCGTTTCCACTCACCCCAGGCGTGGCTGCTGCTGGTGGCGCAGATGGCGCACTCAGCAGCGCTGGCTCCCCACCTGCACCAGAAGCCACCTCCCCTCACTCACTCCTTTCACAATCCCCTTGCCTTCCCTCCTCCAACCCCTTACCTCACCCCAGGCGTGGCTGCTGCTGGTGGCACAGATGGTGCATTCAGCAGCGCTGCCCCCACACCTGCACCAGAAGCCACCTCCCCCGCTACAGCTCACCCTCGCCAGCCACGCCGGTGCTGCCGTCTCTGTTCAGCTCGTGGCCGTCCCACCCCTCACCCTCTCCCAATCCACCCCATCATCTTCCTCTGCTGCTGCTGCCGCCGCCGCCGCCGTTGCTGCTGCTGCTGCTGCTGTGGCTGCGGGTGGCAGTGCTGCATTAGCTGTGGCACCGCCTGAGCCTGGTGGTGACAGTGTCACTCTGCTCGTCCGAGACTGCCCCTCCTTACCTGCACCTTCTACTACCTCTGCTGCTGCTGCTGGGAAGCCAACCGTTGGTGGTACTGCATCGCTTGCTGCTGGTGCTTCTGCCGACACTGCGGTTGCAGTGCAAAAGGGAGGAAGAAGAGCAAGTGGAGGGGGGAGCAGCGGGGCAGTGGGTCTCGCAAATCTTTACGCTGCTGCTGCTGCCACTGCCGGTGCAGCAGGCAGCGGCAAAATCCACCCCAATTTAACCGACCTATACACCCTTTCCGGACCTCCTACTAATGCTCCTGCAGCAGCAGGCCCCCCCCTTCCCCCTGGCGCTGCTGTGTCTCTGACACAGCTAGGGGAGGAGGATTTACAGGTGCTGAAGGCCCTTGTGAGGAAGGAGGTGGAGGAAAAGGTGGGGCGGGAGGCGCGGCAGCGGGCGGCGGAAGAGCTTCAGGAGGAGCTAAAGACAAAGCATGCCGCCCTCATGGCTTCGCTGACAAGGGAGATTGCGATGCCCCTGAATGGTAGGTTAGGCATGGTGACGAAATGGGTGGCAGGGGAGAGGAAAATGTTGGGAAGAGAAGACGGGAATGGAAAGATACGAATGTCATTTTGTTGAAGTGCCTAAACCCTGTTCGCCCACAACTCCCACTTGCTCCATACTCCCCTTGCTCCCTTCTCCCCCTGCTCCCTTTCCCCCCTTGCCCCTTTCCCCTGTTGCCCCTTTCACTCCCTTGCCCCTTTCTCCCCTTTCTCCCCCTTGCACCCAAACCTCCTCCTGCCCCCTTTCCGTCCCCCCTTCCCCCTCCGCCCCCCCCACACCTCTCGTTCCCCCTTTCAGCCATGGCAAGTGTGGCAGACTTTCTTCTCAACTCTCGCGCGCTAACACCTGACCAGAGGTCCCTAGTGCAACTCCTCCTCTCCTCTGCCGAAAGCCTCTCCCAAACCCTCGCCCGCCTCCTCAAGTCCCCCGAGGCTGACCCCGAGGCTGTTCCCGAATCTGACGACGAGGATGACGAGCCTCCGAGGCTGGAGCTTCGGGAAACGGACCTGCACCGAGAGGTACGGCTTGGAAAGGAGGAGAAATGGGGTGAAGAACGGGCAGAGGGAAGCGTGGGCGGAGGAGAGAGGGTGGGACAGAGCAGAGGGGAAAGGGTGGGCAGAGGGGAGAGAGAGAGAGCGTGAGGAGAGGGTAAGAAGGGGCAGAGGGCAGGTGGGATCATGGGATGGCGTTGGAGGGTAGAGGAGGGAGGGGGTGACACAGACGGGGGTGACACGAGGGTAGCACTCCTTTCCAAACCCTGTTGTTCCTTCCAAACCCCCTCCCCGTTTCTCCCCTCTCAGGTGCGCGAGTGCGTGAGGCTGATGGACGTGCATGCCAAGGAGAAGGGCCTCGCCCTGCTGTGCGGTATCGACTCACGTGCTCTCTTTGCACCCACTGCTGTTCGTCCCTGTATCTCCTTCCTCTGCACCCTCCTTCCCCCCTCCCCCATCAGGTGCGCGAGTGCGTGAGGCTGATGGACGTGCATGCCAAGGAGAAGGGCCTCGCCCTGCTGTGCGGCATCGACTCCGCCGTGCCGCAGTTCATCCTCTCTGACGGCCCCGCCATCCGCCAAGTGCTGCACAATCTCATCTTCAACGCCGTGCAGCACACCGACAGGTAAATGATAGGTGCTGCTGCTTGTGCTGCTCATGACTGGTGAGGTTCCTCTATAAGCTGTGCAGCGCAGTTCATCCTCTCTGACGGCCCTGCCATCCGCCAAGTGCTGCACAACCTCGTCTTCAACGCCGTGCAGCACACCGACAGGTGGGTGGGTAATTGTGGTGCTGCTTGCAGTGCTCCTGGTACTGACTGACAGCTCATGACTGGTGAGGTGCCTCAATAGGTGCCGCAGTTCATCCTCTCTGACGGCCCTGCCATCCGCCAAGTGCTCCACAACCTCGTCTTAAACGCCGTACAGCACACTGATAGGTGGGTGGGAATGGCAAGCAATAGGACAGTGGCCACCTTCCTGGAGTGGCACAGTGGGCCTGCCATCCGCCAAGTGCTGCACAATCTCATCTTCAATGCAGTACAGCACACCGATAGGTGGGTGATTGGTGTTGTACTGACTGACAGCTCATGACTGGTGAGGTGCCTCAATAGGTGCCGCAGTTCATCCTCTCTGACGGCCCTGCCATCCGCCAAGTGCTGCACAACCTCATCTTCAACGCCGTACAGCACACTGACAGGTGGGTGGTTGGTGCTGCTGGTTGTACTGCGGTTTGTGGCATTACTCCTGGTGGTTCTCATGCTACTGGCCGCTCATGACTGGTAAGGCGGCTCAAATAGGCAGCTCATTTAGTTCATCCGCCTCTCTGAGGCGTCTAAGCTCATAGTTAGAAGGGCAGCAGTACTAGAAAGAATCGCTTAAGCAGCAGGAACAACAGTGAAAAAACGTGAGAAAAAAATAGATATGGAAAAAGGTAGATTCCGCCTAAGGCGGCTCAAATAGGCAGCTCATTCAGTTCATACGCCTGTCTGAGGCGTGGGGGTGGGCAGCACTGGGCACTGCTGCGGTAGCCACCTTCCTGGAGAGACACACTGCTTTGCGCCTCTCCGTCATCTCTCCAGGACTGCTGTAGCCACCCTCCTGGAGAGACACACTGACGTGATAAAGTAACATTTTGAGACGTCTCAAAATGTTACTTTTATCATGCGGTAGCCACCTTCGTGGAGAGACGCACTGCTTTGCGCCTCTCCGTCGTCTCTCTCCAGGTCCAGGACTGCTGTAGCCACCCTCTGGAGAGACACACTGACGCAGCCTCACCTCTCCGTCATCATCCCTGCCCTAATGGCCCCCCCCATCATCCCTGCCCTAATGGCCCCCCTTCCCATCATCCCTGCCCTAATGGCCCCCCTTCCCATCATCCCTCAGGGGCGACGTGACAGTGTCAGTGCGCCTGGCGTCAGACAAGGAAGCAGAGGAGCATCATGTGAAGCAACGCCGCAAGGACAGCGCTTCCCTCTAGAACTCCTTCTCCCTCCCCCCCCCCTCGTGTTTTCACTGCTCTGCCCGGATGCTTTCTTTCTTCCCTCAGGGGCGACGTGACAGTGTCAGTGCGCCTGGCGTCAGACAAGGAGGCAGAGGAGCACCGCGTGAAGCAACGCCGCAAGGACAGCGCTGCTGTAGCCACCTTCCTGGAGAGGACAGGCACCACTTACCTACTCTCACGTTTGAAGAAGTGTTTTGAGACGTCTCAAAACACCTTCCTGGAGAGGACAGGCACCACTTACCTACTCTCACGTCCACCCCTCTCCCTCCTGACCTCCCTCCTCTCTGTTATCGCCTCTCAAATACCCACTTCTTTCCCAGGGGTGACGTCACAGTATCAGTGCGCTTGGCGTCAGACAAGGAAGCAGAGGAGCACCGCGTGAAGCAGCGCCGCAAAGACAGCGCCGCTGTAGCCACCTTCCTGGAGAGACGCAGCAGCAGCACTCGCAGAGGAGGCGTGGGGATGGGCGGGGGAGGGGGAGGAGCGGGGGAGGATGGGGCGGGGCAGGGCGAGGCAGGGTCGGTGCTGCTGCGGTTTGAAGTGCGGGACACAGGCAACGGGATCAACGCAGAGCTGCTGGCTGCCCTTGTGCAAGAGCTGGAAAAGGTAGGACTGGGGGAGGTTGGTTCTGAAAGGGCCCTCTTTTGAGCTTAATTGGGTCGGTGCTGCTGCGGTTTGAGGTGCGGGACACAGGCAGGGGGATCAATGCGGAGCTGCTGGCTGCTCCTGTGCAAGAGCTGGAAAAGGTGCGTCTGGGGGTGGTTAGTTCTGGAGAAGGCTCCTTCTGAGCTTAAGCAGGCTGGTGCGGGACACAGGCAGGGGGATCAATGCGGAGCTGCTGGCTGCTCTTGTGCAAGAGCTGGAAAAGGTAGGTCCTTTCCTTTTTTAGAATTCTCAAAAAACGAAGTAGGACCTTTCCTTTTTGCTCCCATTCCTGTTACACTAACTTTCTTCTGACGATATCATACACATAGAATCCTTTGTCAATGCCCCACTCCTTACTTCTACCCTTCTACCCTTCTCCACCATCCCTGCCCTACCCCCCACCCCTCTCACCACATCCCCCCTTCCCTTTCCTCCTCTTCTCTCCTCCAGAGCAAGCCATCCCCATCCTCCCTCGTGTCCTTCCTCCTGGGTCGCCCCTTCGCCACCACCGGCCCCCTTCCTTCCCATGCCTCTCTCACCTCTCCCTCCCCCCCAACTACAACCCCCCCCCCCCCCTTCCCTCTTTCCAGAGCAAGGCCATCCCCCTCGTCCCTGGCATCTTTCCTCCTGGGTCGACCCTTTGCCACCACGGGCCTCGGCACAGTCCACGCTCTCATCTCCCACGCCCTCATCCCCGCCCCCTCATCCCCCCCTTTTCCCCCTCCCTCCTTCCAGAGCAAGCCATCCCCATCCTCCCTCGCGTCCTTCCTCCTCAGTCGCCCCTTCGCCACCACAGGCCTCGGCACAGTCCACGCCCTCATCTCCCACGCCCTCATCCCCGCCCCCGGCACCGCCGCCGCCGCTGCCCTCGCCGCCATCGCCCCTTCCATCTCCGCAGGAGGAGCAGCAGGGGGAGGGGGAGGCGGGGCAGGGGGGGCTGGAGGAGCAGGAGGAGGGCTGGGAACTTTCAGCAGGTCGAGTAGTTATTCGAGTGCGGCGGGGGTGGGGGTGGTGGGCGGGTGGGGGGCAGGAGCAGTGCACTTGCAGAGTGAGGTGGGGAGGGGCACGTCTGTGGTGTGTTTCCTGCCGGTGCCGCTCGCCTCGTGCCAGGACATCACTCCTGAGGACCTGAATCCACACCAGCCGTTGGACATGGACGTGTGGACAGAGCTTCCCAACGCGCGGATTCTCATAGTCGATGTGAGTGTGTGCGACTGAGCATGTGAGTGTGTGCGACTGAGCATGTGAGTATGTGCGACTGAGCATGTGAGTGAGTCTGTCTAGTTTAGGATTGGCCTTCCTTTGGGCTTGTCTGCTTCCTCCTACCAGTGCCGCTAGCATCGTGCCAGGATATCACTCCGGAGGACTTAAACCCACACCAGCCGTTGGACATGGACATGTGGAGAGAGCTGCCCAACGCGCGCATACTCATCGTCGATGTGAGTTCCACCGGGGTATCAGTCTCGCCTTTTGCTGCAACGAACCACACCACACCCACCTCAATCCACACCGGCCTCTCGAGATTTGTGGACGAAGCTGCCCAACGCGCGCATACTCATCGTCGATGTGAGTTCCACCGGGGTATCAGTCTTGCCTTTCACCGGTGAGGTAAAAGCCGTTGGACATGGACGTGTGGTATCAGTCAATCAGTCTCGCCTTTTACCTCACCTCACTGCAGCACCCCACGCAACACAACAACCCCACCCACCCCACACCACACCACCACCCCTTCTCTTCCCCTCTTCCCCCCCCGCCCAGGCCAACGACATGCACCGGCAGGTGGCGCTCTCTATGCTGCGCTCCACGGGCGTGTCCTTTGACGTCGCACGCATGCTTACACATTGCCCCTCTCTCCCCTTCTCCCCTCTCCCTCCCTCTCCCCCTTCCCCCCCCACCCAGGCCAACGACATGCATCGCCAGATGGCGCTCTCCATGCTGCGCTCCACGGGGGTGTCCTTTGACGTCGCCAGCTCCTCACAGGAGGCGCTCTCGCTCTTTGAACGCCGCCCCTTCGACCTCGTGCTGCTGGTGAGAATCCCCCATCTCCCCCATTCCTCCTCGTCTCCCCCATTTCCCCGATCGCCCCCATATTCCCCATGTCCACAGTCTCTCGCGACTTCCTTGTTGCCCATGTCTCCCCAACATGCTTGCTCTGTTTCCCCCCCTTCCTCTCAGTCTGCACTGCTCCCTCTGTTCCCCCATCCAGGACTGCTACTTGAACGGCCCAGTTGATGGCTTTGCCACAGCCACTCTCCTCCGCCAGCTAGAGGTCGACATCGCCCTGAAGAAACACCTGCGCAGGAGCAGCAGCAACCGAAGCAACAGCAGCAGAAGCCCCTCCGCTGCCGCCGCGGCTGCCGCTGCTGCAGCAGCTGCTGAGGGACCAGGCACGGTGGTGGCGCGGGCGTGCATTGTGGCGCTGACTCCAGGGACAGGGAACGATGAGGAGGAGGAGGAGCGGTGCACGGCTGCTGGCATGGACTATTTCATTCCCAAGCCGCTCCGACTGAGGGACCTGCACATGGTCATCAGGTGAGAAACGATCATGTGGTTGCAAGGTGAGACAGAGGCATGTTCCGGTGAGGTGAGGGCGGTTTTTGGGGATGGGGAGGCATGAGGAGTGGGAGAGGGACCAAGTACGGTGGTGGCGTGGGCGTGCATTGTGGCGCTGACTCCAGGGACGGGGAACGATGAGGAGGAGGAGGAGCGGTGCACGGCTGCTGGCATGGACTATTTCATTCCCAAGCCGCTCCGACTGAGAGACCTGCACATGGTCATCAGGTGAGAAACTTTTTCCTCTCTCCAACATGCCTCTTCAAGCAATTCATCCTTCCTACAACCCCCAACCCAACTCAATGGTCAACCCAACCCAACCCAACCCAACCGTTCCCCACCCACCTCAGCAGGCATCGTCTGGAGCTTCCAGGGCATGCGGCCTCCCTAGTCCTCCTCGAAGCACTGATGCCTCTTCAAGCATTGCAACCTTCGTTCAATGCAACTTAGCCCAACTCAACCCATCCCAACCCAACCCTTTCCCACCCATGCAGGCATCGTCTGGAGGTGCTGGCTCCCTACGTGCTCCCAGGCCATGCAGCATCCCTTGTGCTCCTGGAAGCAGCCCCATCCTCCTCTGAGGTCTCTGCTCCTCTCACCAGCACTCTTCTTCAAACCCTGCATTCTATTTCACTGCAACCTGTGCCCCACACCACACCACACAACCCATGCAGGCATCGTCTGGAGGTGCTGGCTCCCTACGTGCTCCCAGGTCACGCGGCCTCCCTTGTTCTCCTGGAAGCAGCCCCATCCTCCTCTGACGACTCAGATGATGAGGAAGATGACGACGATGATCACCATGATGGTAACGAGTATGGCAAAAACGAGGACAGCAGCACTGCCAGCAACTTGCAGGCGTGGATGCAGGGCCTGGCCCAGGGTGGTGGCTCGGCGGTGGTCCTCAACCAGCCTCCCTTCCACCACCTGGGAAACCACCTGGGCAGTGCGGCACCTGAAGCGGCACCTGACAGGGCACCTGGGTTTTCACCTGGAGCGGCGGCAGCGGCAGCAGTGTCCGCAGCGGCGGCAGCAGGGGATTATGAGGCGCAAAGGTTGCTAATGGCTAGTGCGATGCAGTCTCTCCCCCCTGAACTTGCCGGGGCCCTGCAAGGCTGTGACCCTGTTGCTCTGGCGAACGCCTTGCAGGCTGTTGCTGCTGCTACAGCTGCAACTTCTGACCCAATGCATCAGCAGCAGCAGCAGCAGCAGCAGGAGGTGTGGCAGGAGCAGCAGGAGCAGCAGCAGCGGGAGCTGTGGCAGCAGTTCGGCTTGTCACAGCAATCTTTCTTGTCTGCTGCTGCCGCCGCGGGTTTGGGTGGTGCTGGTGCCTGTGCTGCCGGCGGTGGGGAGAGTGAGGATGAAGGGGGGAGTGTGGTCGAGATGGATGATGATGACGAGGAGGAAGAGCTAGCAGGGAGTGATAGTGATGGGTCTGTGGTGCAAGTGCGGGATCCTAAGAAGCTCAGTGCGAAGAGGTCGGATATAGCAGAGCTTCTGGTGGAATTGGGGCAGAGGGAGGAGGAGAGCAGGAGAGCGCTTGGGAATGCGGACGGCGGGGGCGGTAGCGGAGACGGTAGCAGGGATGGCAATAACGAGGATAGAAATAACAGGGGCGATGGGAACGGCGGTACTGGTGGTGATCGTGGCGGTGCCGGTGGTGGTGGTGATGGTGCTGATGGTGGTGATAGTGATGGTGAGAGTGACAGCGAGTCAGGGTCTGTAGTAGAATTCGATCCGAACGAGGCCCGTGACTTGAGGAAGCTAAGTTCCAAGCGGTCAGACATAGCAGGGGTTCTCTGGGAGCTGGGCAGGCGAGAGGAGGAGATAGAGGAGGAGGAGGAGACGGGTGGGGGGCTGGCCGGAGGAGGGAGAGGAGGGGGAGGAGGGGGAGGAGGAGGGGGAGGAGGAGGCATGGGAGGGGCGGAGCAGCAGGGAGGGGAGATGCGGGGAATGACTATGCAGGAGATTTGGGCGCAGGTGTCGGCTCGAGAGCGACTGGAGGGCACACGTGGGGGCGATGAGGGGTGCAGCGATGATGAGGGTGGGGGGAGAGGTGAGAGAGAGGGGGCTAGGGGAGGGGAGAAGGAAAGGGATGATGAGAGTGAGGAGGAAGAGGAGGAGGATGAAGATGAGGACGACGAGGAGGAAGAAGTGGCACGGCAAGCCATGTTCGGAATGGCCAAGTCCAAAACGTACACCGCTCGGCAGTACCAGCAGCAGATACTGGACGAGGAGGCACAGGAGCGGCAGCAAAGAGGAGGGGGGCAGCAGCAGCAGGGGCGTGGGCACTTAGAGTCAAGATCGCGCTCGTTAGGGCACGGACTGTCGGCAGCAGCAGTGGCGGCGGCGATGCGACCGAGCAGAACAGCCGTAACTGAGCCTCCCACCATGGTGCCTGGGGCTGCTACCAGGGCTGGTGGTGGTCGTAGTGCGGGGGAAGGGGGAGAAGGGGGCCCTCCTCAGATGTCTTACCCTATCCCTGCCGAGTTTGCTTCGCCTTTCCTCCTTCCCCAGAACTTCACCGCGCCGCAGGTGTTAGCGCAACAGGGGATGGGCCGGGGAGGGATGGGAGGAGGGATGGGAGGGATGGGGGGAGGGATTGGAGCAGCGGGCGGTGGTGTGCCGGCACAGTCAGCAGCAGCAACGGCTTTAATCGCCTCTTTACTCTCCCCACGCAACACCAGCAGTGTGGGTGCCAGTGGGTTTGGAGGGGGTACCAGTGGGTTTGGAGGGGGTATGCCCGCTCCCCTCTCCCCCCACATGCAGGCCTTTCAGGCTGCCCAGTTTGGGCTGTTCGGGCAGTACGGGCAGATGGGTTTTTCCCAAGGTTCCCCATCAGATCCCGAAGCTGCAGCAGCAGCCCTGGCAGCCACATGGCCCAAAGCCAATGGCGGCCCAGGTCTGCCCGGATCTCAAAGCTTGGCCGAGCCCGAGCCTAGCCGCCAGGGTCGGCGGTATGAGCGGCTGAGAGGAAGCAGCTCGGAAGAATCACTCGAGCAGGGGAGTGGGAAGAGAGGAGGGAGAGGAGGGGGTGGCGGCGCTGCTGACAATGATGATGATGATGGGGAGAGTGATGATGACGGGGAGGAGGAAGAGGAGGATGATGAGGATGAGGAGCCGACTTTGGTACGTACCTTCACAGTGAAAGCATCTGGGGATCAGATCAGGAGTCTGCTCAGGAGTAAAACGTCTGAGAGGGGAATGAGGGCGGCGGGAGGGGCGGGAGGAGGCTTGGATGGGGACAGTAACGAGGAGGATACCCGAGGCTTGGTCCGAAGCAAGACGGCAGGTGCGGGGAAGGGGATGCATGCAGAAGAGATGGTGTCGCTGTCGGCCCTGCAGGAGTTCCAGGGGCGAATGAGCAACAGGGGAAATGCCGCTGGTAATGTTGCTGGTGCTGCTGGTGGTGCTGGGATGGGTGGGAAGCAGGAAAAGCAGGCAGCGGGAGGCGGGGTAAAGGCGTGGAAGAAGGATTGGGAAGCGGAGTTTCTAGTGAGTGTGGGGCTGACTAAAGTGGGAGGCGTGGTGCAACCACAGCTAGGAGGACGTGGGGGTGGGGTTGACATGGGGAGGGGGGGACAGGGAAGGCAAGGGAATATAGACCGTTTTGAGCATTTGAAAGGGGGGTTTTAAATCCAATCTGACGCATGGGTGGGGTGTGTACCGGAATCTTTGGTCGATAAATTGGTGTGCAGTCACGGTAAGAAGTATGGTACAGTACCGCATTGTGGTGTGATGCGAATACGAAGGTTGGATTTTCAAATCTCTTCGTCCTGATGTAGTGTGACCCCACATGGAATGTGAATAACTGGCCCTGCATATTGATGACCACCTAATACCTAGGTTTTGTGCAAAACAGAAAACGCTAGGGTAGAGTAGGGATTCAACGTACCGTACGGTACTGTGGTAAGTACTTGAGAAAGCGTGTAGAGTACTGAACTTCAGAAGCACTGAACATCAGAAGAACCGTATCTGTGTAAGTTCAGTACGTGAATTCTCTATAAGGGATCAGCTAGTACGCGGATATCTGGTAGTTGGTGAAATCTCAGTTTGTTACGTCAGGCGTACTCTATGTCATATCTGGTGGTTTTTTCCTTGGGAAGGTAGATTTTCGCCTGATGACGCGCTGACGAATACCCAAATGCTGCTGCTGATCCTGCTAAGAATGCTCCAGCAGTCAATGGGGTAATGTCTTGTGGTAACACGGAACGGAACGTAAGGGCCGTGAATGTGAGAGGCTTTGCTTTGTCGCTTTGTCTCGTACGTCGAGCGTTACGTAACCTGTCGCATTGCTCTTAGAGCTTGTGCTTGCTGAGCTTTCTTTACCGTTTATCACTTGTGTCACTATTTTATCAATATTGTAACTAGGTGTTTCACCCATTTCCGACCTTATTTACGCCGCGTTCAAGTACGCTGGAATTGAACGTTGCCGTTAAATAAGTCGCGGTTGCTCGTCCCTCGTCTCCAGCTCAAGCGAAGCGCATTTTCTCATCACCAGCTTATTTAAGATTCTGCTGACCTCTGCACGAGACAAGACCTAGTCATTGCACGGTTTCTCAAATCGTGACCATTCGTTCGAGTGGCAATGGACGCTGGCGGGTCGTCACAGGGTCGCAATCGTCGCTCGGCGATGCTCCCGGTGGTCTTCGCCCTCGGGATTGTCGCATTGTCGTCGGACGCTCCTGTATCTGCAGGAAGCCGGCTCGCTAGGGAGGGGAGGAGGCCAGGGTAGCAACGCCGCTTGCGCCGTGTGGGATGATAAGGTGAGGTTCTTATTGACAAAAAAACAAATAACAAGCAGACAAACAAATCATCAATATCCCGCCGCGCTATAATAGTGTGCCTACATACCAGCTCGGATCATCATCACCCACAACTTTGCAGTCGTTAGGTATTGTTACTTATCTCTGCCACTCCGTTTGCTATGCGCCTTTTCACTCGTTTTCTGCTGATAATTGCTAATGTCCGGCTCCATCCATCCATCCATCCATCCATCCATCCATCCATCCATCCATCCATCCATCCATCCATCCATCCATCCATCCATCCATCCATCCATCCATCCATGCATCCATCCATGATCCATGCATGCACGAGTGCAGGTGGTACCTCTCGAGGAGCAAATGGCGCATCTAGACCAGCAGGTACGTCTCCCTAGTCTCTCGAGGTAGTAAGTTACATGCCATACCTGCCACTTCCCGGATCTCTCAACAGTCAAAGCACCTCTCTTCACAACCGCCATGCCCCTTGCGAGCAGTGATCATTTTCTTCCCTTTCCAATGACTGGGTCACATGGAGTTTCGTCCTGCTCCTATTTTGCCTTCCTTCCTCCTTACCCTCCAGCTTTGCTCTGCTCATCTTTTTAGTCTACGACTCATCTTTTCTTCCTGAAAATCACATATATCCCACCCACTTCTGAGAGACCGAGACGCATTAAGAGTGAAAGTCCTTCTCCCACTGATTCTCATTCCTCTCTGTCCGCTCTTTTTTCACCCCATACGTAGAAACCGCATCTTTCCTGGCCCCTCCCCTCCCCCTGCCCTGTCTTGTCCAACGCCCCATCTCCCACGCGCCATGACTTCACCACCAAACACCTGCCCGTCGCCACGTGTCCCCTTCTCTCTTCCACGCACTGCCTGGGGAGACCTCCTTCAGCTGGCATCTCTCACAGAGAGCATCAGAGTGAGTTGAGTCCGGCTTTTTGAAAGTGAATAACAAATCAAAATTCATGTGTTTCACATTTTTGTTTCAGTCAGGCATGCGGCTGCTGCGCTTCTTACCTTCTTGCACTCTCCTCCTGCGCTCATCTTTCCCCGCCGCTCCTCTTTTGCTCCTGCTCCCCCCACTTGCTCCCGCCTCCCTTCCTCCCTCCCGCCTCCCTCAACCCTGACTCCCTCGCTCCTCCCTCCCTCACTTCCGCTCGCCCCTCCCTCCCTCACTTCCGTTCGCTCCTCCAACCCTCACTTCCGTTCGCTCCTCCAACCCTCACTTCCGTTCGCTCCTCCAACCCTCACTTCCGTTCGCTCCTCCAACCCTCACTTCCGTTCGCTCCTCCAACCCTCACTTCCGTTCGCTCCTCCAACCCTCTCTTCCGCTCGCTCCTCCAACCCTCACTTCCGTTCGCTCCTCCAACCCTCACTTCCGCTCGCTCCTCCAACCCTCACTTCCGTTCGCTCGTCCAACCCTCACTTCCGCTCGCCCCCGCCTCCCAATTCCCATCAGGCTCACCAGCAGGCGTTGCTGGATAGGGAGCAGGTACCGTCAGCTGCCACAGATGCTGACGGGGCTGGTGCTGGCGCTGACGTGGCGTTGGGCGACGCTGACCTGGCACGGCCGGCACGGCGAGTGGCTCTTGACCTGGTTGAGATCATCGGCAAGACGCACCTGGTAGGTTCGGGGATGGATTCGATAGGTTCGGGCTGAAATTGGTTGGTTCGGGGATGGATTCGGTAGGTTCGGGGACACAACTAGTACATCTAGTGCTAGTAAACGACGTATGCCTTCATCTGTTCCCCTCCCCCCTCACACCCCCCTCTGTTCTCCCCCCCTCCAAACCCCCCTCCCCCACTCCTACCACCACCAGGATGCTCCTCGGCTGAATGAGCTGATAGAGCCCATGGCAAAGCGCGTGGGCAAGTGGGTGCAGGACAAGGTGCAGGACGCGTGCCTGTAAAGAACACACACTCTTTGTCTCTCCCTCCCCCTTTCCGCCTCTTTGCCCCCCCCATCACCACCCACCATCAGGACGCCCCTCGGCTGAAGGAGCTGATCGAGCACATGGCAAGACAGACAGGGCACTAGCTAAAACACACTCCTCGTCTCTCCCCCGCTCCCTCCTTCCCCCTCCCTGCCCCGCCCTCCAGGACGCTCCACGACTGAAGGAGCTGATAGAGCCCATGGCAAAGCGCGTGGGCAAGTGGGTGCAGGACAAGGTGCAAGACGCGTGCCAGCCGTGCCGCCCCTGCAACTCCACCATCGTCCTCGTGGGTACGTGCTTCAGTTGCTGGTACAAGGAGCACCATTATTTCAGGGCTGCGGCTTCTGTAGTTAGCAAGATTCGTGTTTAGAACTCTCATAAGCTGCAGCCTTGTAATGTGACTTTTGAGAGTTCTCAAAAGTCACACTTGTAATGCCTCCCACCGCTAAGTGGTGCTCCCAGGATGCGTGCCTGCCGTGCCGTGCCATGCCGGCCCTGCAACTCCACCATCGTCCTCGTGGGTACGTGCAACCCAATGTACTGCAGGCTGGTACGTGTGATTCCAATGTCCCGTGCCAGCTGGTATGAGGAATGGCAGCTTGAGAGAAGCACCTACGAGAGGGCAAGCAAGTGGGTGCAGGACGCATGCTAGCCCTGTTGCCCCTGCAACTCCACCATCGTCCTCTTGTCGCAAGTGGGTACGTACGTACAGCATGCAATCCCAGTTTTGAGGCGCCTCAAAACAAGTGGGTACGTACGTACAGCATGCAATCCCAGTTTTGCGGCGCCTCAGAACAAGTGGGTACGTACGTACAGCATGCAATCTCAGTTTTAAGGCGCCTCAAAACAAGTGGGTGCGTATGTACAGCATGCAATCCCACCGTGCTGCTTGTTGCTATGTGAATCAGAATCACCTCTATGGTACTCTTGGGATCCCACTCTAGTGCTCTTGGGTTTGTGAATCTTCTCGCCCATGTCCCTCGTCCCTCTCGCCTCCCCCTTCTCTCTGGTCGCATCTCCCTTGCCTGTCCTCCCGTTTTCTTCCCTCGCAACCTCACAGGCAAGCCCTGTCGAGTCAACGCCTTCCCCACTACGTGCCAAAGGAGGCTGTCCCCTGCTGAGGTGGACGACGAGGAGGATTTGGAGGGACCGGGCGATGATAGGGTGGAGGGAGAAGGGGGGGCAAGGAGGAGGAGTTTATTGGGTTGGAGTGGAGATGATTTGGAAGGGCCGAGTGATGATAGGGTGGAGGGGGAGGGAGGAGAGGTGGTGGGAGCAGGAAGAAGGAGTTTAATGGGCTGGAGTGGGGGGGATTTGGAAGGGGCGACTGATGACAGGGTGGAAGGGGAGGGAGGTGAAGTGGTGGGAGAGGGAGGAGGTAGAAGGAATTTGTTGGAGTGGAGCAGAGACGATTTGGAAGGTTCGGATCATGAGATAGTGGAGGGGGAGGGAGGGGGCAGCTACGAAGGGAGAGTAAGAGGGGAGGCAGAAAGAAGGGAGCTGGAGGAGGTGGAAGGAGGGGAGGGGCAAGAAGGGTACCCTGAGGAAGGGGAGAGGCAAGAAGGAGAAGCAGAGGAAGGGGAGTCGGAGGGTGGACGAGGCAGTGGGGGACGGTCTCTCTTGCAGTGGGGGGGCTGGGGGGGGAAGGGCAAGGCGGGCAAGGGCGCACAGGAAGGCAAGAGTGTGTGCAAGAGGGTGTCGCCGTTACACGCCATTCTAGCAGCGGAGTCGGTGGGGGAGAGGCGGCGAGTGGTGAGGGAGCAGGAGGAGAGCGAGAGGAAGCGGCCGCTGTGTCGGGACGGCACGGCTCCGGGTTACTGGAAGGACTACAGCACGTGGGAGCCTTATGGCTGCCGCTACAGGTGTGGTGCTGGTACAGGTATGTCAGAGTCAGGCCTTACAGGCGGCAGTTCTGGTATTTCATATCAGCGGTGCAGGGTACTGGAAGGACTACAGCACGTGGGAGCCTTATGGCTGCCGCTACAGGTGCGCTGCTGCCGTCACAGGTGTGTCAGAGTCAGTCCTTACAGGTGGGAGTCGTGATATTACAAAGGTGATGGTTACTGGAAGGACTACAGCACGTGGGAGCCGTACTCCTGTCGCTAGAGGTGTGTCAGAATCAGTCCTTGTTACGGTTCGTTTGCTATTACAGGAAGGGCACTGGTGCGTGAGCGGACGCGAGGAAAGGGGTTGCCATGGTGGAGACAGGTAAGCCACTGGTGCACCGCACTGCTGCAAGGCAACTTATGGCTGTGTGCTTTCATTCCCTGCCCTCTTTCCCACTTCCCTCCTTCCCTTCCCAACCCCACCAGGGTGTATAGCAAGAACGACGTGCGTGCATGCCTGCGCCACAAGTGGGTGCACTTTTTTCGGAGACTCCACTCCACCACACGCCACCTGGCTGCCGAGTTCTGGAGTGACTCATAGATCTTACATCCCCCTGCCCTCGTTTCCTCCTCTCCAACCTAACACCAGGGAATACAGCAAGAAGGAGGTGCGTGCGTGCCTGCGCCACAAGTGGGTGCACTTCTTTGGCGATTCCACCACGCGCCACCTGGCCGCCGAGTTCTCCCTCCTCGCAGGAGTGGAACACCTTGCAGGCGCACTGCTGCATGCATGATGCCACAGAACTGACTTTTGAGTCGACTCAAAAGACACCTTGCAGGCGCACTGCTGCATGCATGATGCCACAGAACTGACTTTTGAGTCGACTCAAAAGACACCTTGCAGGCGCACTGCTGCATGCATGATGCCACAGAACTGACTTTTGAGTCGACTCAAAAGACACCTTGCAGGCGCACTGCTGCATGCATGATGCCACAGAACTGACTTTTGAGTCGACTCAAAAGACACCTTGCAGGCGCACTGCTGCATGCATGATGCCACAGAACTGACTTTTGAGTCGACTCAAAAGACACCTTGCAGGCGCACTGCTGCATGCATGATGCCACAGAACTGACTTTTGAGTCGACTCAAAAGACACCTTGCAGGCGCACTGCTGCATGCATGATGCCACAGAACTGACTTTTGAGTCGACTCAAAAGACACCTTGCAGGCGCACTGCTGCATGCATGATGCCACAGAACTGACTTTTGAGTCGACTCAAAAGACACCTTGCAGGCGCACTGCTGCATGCATGATGCCACAGAACTGACTTTTGAGTCGACTCAAAAGACACCTTGCAGGCGCACTGCTGCATGCATGATGCCACAGAACTGACTTTTGAGTCGACTCAAAAGACACCTTGCAGGCGCACTGCTGCATGCATGATGCCACAGAAAAAGCTGTTGGCCTCGGTTCTTGACAGTTCCTGTTCACCTCGCCGTTTTTGCTCGTGACTCTCCTTGCTTCACCATGCCCCTCCCCAACCAAACACCAGGGAATACACCAAGAAGGAGGTGCGGGCGTGCCTGCGCCACAAGTGGGTGCACTTTTTTGGCGACTCCACCACGCGCCACCTGGCCGCCGAGTTCTCCCGCCTCGCAGGAGTGCAGCGGCGGGCGTGGGACGCGGACAAGAACCGCACGGCCCTGATGGATACGGGCGATGGGGACGAGAACTCGCCGCTCCCAAGGATTACCTATCTCTTTCGGGGGAAGATGGCTCACCAGCGGCACCCAATTGTGAGTTGGGAAGCGTGAGTTTAGTGTTTGGGGAGTGCATCGGCGGGCGTGGGACGCGGACAAGAACCGCACGGCCCTCATGGACACAGGCGATGGAGATGAGAACTCACCGCTCCCAAGGATTACCTATCTGTTTAGAGGGAAGATGGCACAGCAGCGGCACCCAATCGTGAGTTTCGCATGCAGAGCAGGGTGTAAGTTGCCTCAGGACAGGAGAGTGCAGTGCAGTGCAGAGCAGAGCGTGGGTCTATTGTTGCTGCAGAGAGCGTGGGACGCGGACAAGAACGGCACGGCCCTCATGGACAAGGGGGATGGGGACGAGAACTCATTGCTGCCCAGAATCACGTACCTCTTCCGAGGGAAGATGGCGCACCAGCAGCACCCCATTCTGAGCCACGCATGAGGGGCGGCTTGCTTTTGAGTCGCGGCCGCCGTCTGGTTCAGTCGCCGTCTGCCAAGTGGTTTCATACCCCTTCCCCTTGTCCATGCCTCCCCCCTCCCCCCACCCATTCCCCCTCGAGGTGATCGGGCTCCTCCACTTCTTATGCCACCCTCCCTCTCCCCGCCCCCTCTCCTCCCCCCATATCAGGCCGGGGTGCCCCCTGAGAGGGACCTGAACAACGACTTCCTAGAGGCGTTTAGAGACCCCAAGGCAAAGCAGCCTGACACCATGGTGATGAGCATCGGGGCACACGAGGTGATCGGATGTCGTGTCCTTTCTTCTTATCCCTGCCTCCCCCTCTCCCCTGCCGCCTTCGCCCCCGTCTTTTCTCAACCCATCCCTTCTCCTCTCCCTCGTTTTAGGCCGGGGTGCCCCCTGAGAGGGATCTGAACAACGACTTCCTTGAAGCCTTTCGAGACCCCAAGGCAAAGCAGCCGGACACCATGGTGATGAGCATCGGGGCACACGAGGTGATCGGGTGGACGAGGCGGCCCCCGCCGGACCTGGACTTGCGCACGTTCAAGCGCGACACGGAGGAGGCGATTGCTCTGCTCAATGGCACCTTCACTCGCGGCCGCCTCGTGTGGTGGAAAGCCCACTACATCTGGCCAGGTGGGGCTTGTAAACTATATACACGTATATTCTCTTTAACGGAGGCTGTTGCGCTGCTCCATGGCACCTTCACTCGCGACCGGCTCGTCTGGTGGAAGGTGCACTACTTCTGGTCAGGTGGGTCTCGTGAAAATTTATGTGTTTTGTAAAAAGAGGCGATTGCGCTGCTCAATGGCACTTTCACCCGCGCCTGCCTCGTGTGGTGGAAGGCCCACTAAATCTGGCCAGGTGGGTTTTGTGAAAGATGTATTTCCCTAGAAGAAATGTCTTTTCCCAGGAGGCAATTGCTCTGCTCGAAGGCACATTTCACCCGCGGCTGGATCGTGTGGTGGAAGGCACACTGCATCTGGCCAAGTGAGGCTCGTACCGTAATATTGATGTAATTTTCTTAAGTAGATGATGGAAAATTCTCTCAATCTGCCCTTGGTTTCCCAGGTTAGTGCCTGCATCGGCCTCAGTTGTTTTTCCTTTCGTTTGTTTATTCCTTTTCTTGTTCAGGGAAAGTTACAGGGCAGGATTATTTCACGGTGCGCACTTTCCATGAGCTCTACCAGGCTTATGCATTCAGGCGCATGGCACAACAGGGCTACACCATGATGGATCTTTACCAGACGACGAAGGACAGATACGACCAAGTTTTTAGAGGGGATGGAGCGCACTATGTAGGCCTGTGCTTGAAGCTTCACGTTCAAATTCTTGCCAACACCCTTTGCAACCATCTGCACAAGTTGTAGGTTTCTTACCATCACTGGCCTTGGTGTACTACTCTACTAGTGTAAATCCTATATTATTTCTTACCTGTGATCCCCTCCTAAATCAGCTGCAAGCTTTACTTAGGTGTACTAGAATAGACATGAGCACACTGGCCAAAGTCACGTCGTACTGCTGGTCTCCATGTACTGTAGCAGGAACGCAAGCTGCCAATTCGGTGAGTGTGTCAGTGTATGTCAAGGAAGAGGACATGTACTGTAGAGTTTCTGACAAAACAACGTTTTGAGAAAGGCCAAATTCTGCAAGCTGGTCGTTGACTATTCTCTGTTATCAGTTTTTCGCCACGCTTTGACCGCTTTCGCTCTTGTAACAACATCCGCTTCGTCAGACCTCGCCAAACATCCGTCTCGCACCTTGCTGCTCCAGTCCAGAGCCAGGAGCAATTCTTCCCAAAATCATCTCTCTCAGGTTTTGCTCCCTCAGTCTCTCAACTCGACTTCAGCACGATGTGCTCGCTGAATCTGTCCGCCGCCAAAAACAGAGAATAACCTTGATGTTGCCGAGCAAATGTCACAAGCTCCGTGGCTCTGGTTAGGTTAGAAGCCTTGTTTTCTGGTACTTTTTTTTTTCCTTCGCGCAAGCACGCTAGCGACGAACCATTAGACTGAAAGAGGCGAAAACGGGACAAAAGAAAACGAGGAGTTTAGCAGCATCCCTGGCGCAATCCTTATTATAATCAAGAATGCGGGACCGTGGCTCACGAGACACTTCAAAACCACCGCGGTATCATCGTAATCGAGAATAGTACGCAGCGTGTCTGGTTCGCTGCATTGTGCTTTACCATTTCTTAGGCGCCTCCGAAACTGACTCCGCCACAGCATCGGCATCCCTGAAATGGTACGCATTTGACGCATTTAGGTGCATTATCGATTAATTTATAGAAGTTGTGTTTTTTAGTCAACGCAGAAAGTGTATGTTAAGTCGATTCAGGCCAAAACCTCGAGATTCTTGAAAATGTACGCATTCGACGCGTTTTAGGTCCCCGCATTCTCAATTACCATGTCCACCGGCTCGTGTCCAGGCTTCTTCTTTATTCTCCTGTTTTTTGTCGTTTCCTCTGTTTTTTTTTCCTTCCCACGTAATCTAACCAACTGTCACCCAGATTCATCGCGGTAACGGACGCGTACAAACAGCACCTGCACAAGCAGGCTAAAGAAAATCATTAAATAAATAAATGAAAACGTCCTTTCCGCCATTTACCGCCTTTCGAAGGCGCCTTCTCCTCCCGCGGATGTGGGAGAGTCTTACAACAGCAGCGCGAGCAGAATCATAAAAGTCATAGTCTAAACATTCAACCCCCACCACCACCCCTCCCCCCCCCCCTCCCCGCCTCCCTTCTCTGCCATTACCAGGAAGACTACCCTCCTAGGGATGTGACGGACGCTTGCAACAGCAGCGCGAGCAGCGACAATGCGGGTCGAACGCACCGCAAGGAACGGAAGGAGCGGAAGGAGCGGAAGGAACGGGAGGAAGGGAGAGAAGGTTCGGAGGGAAGGCACCGGGAGGAGCGGAGGGAGAGAAAGCACGGAAAAGATGATGGAAAGGAGGAGCTGGTGGAGAGAGAGAGGCGCGTAGAAGATGGTAGGGGGAGGCTGGGAAACGAGGGGTCACACGCGGAAGGGGAGGAGGAGAGGGAGAAGAAAGAGAAAAGAGAGAGGAAGGAGAGAAAAGAGAGGAAGGAGAGGAAGGAGAGGAAGGAGGGAGAGGAGAGAAACGAGAAAAAGGAGAGGAAAGAGAAGAAAGAGAGGAAGGAAAGGAAGGCACTGACGCCCAGAGCAGGGGATTTACTGAGCCAGAGGGGACGAGGGTTTGACGTTCCTGCTGGTGAGCTTAGGAGGACCAGGAGTGGGGGGACGCACCCGGACGGGGTGGTGGAGGAGCAGGAGGAGGGGAAGGAGAAGGAGAAGGAGAAGGGGTGGGGGGGAGAATGGGGGAGGAGGGAAGGGGAGATAACGGAAGGGAGAAGAGGGAGAGAAAATGGTGAGATGGATGGGGCGAATGGGGACAGCAGAGTAATGGGGAATGCATACGGTGCTGCTGCAGAGGCAGCAGCGGCAGCCGGCGTGGCAGGAGCAGCAGGAGCAGTGAAGGAGCTGCTCCCTCCCCAGGCGAAACGTGAGGGTGAGTTGGAGGAAAGAGAGAGGCGAATCCGAGAGCTGGAGGAGGGGAGAGTGGCTCTGGAGAGCGAGAGAGCGCGGGTGCAGGAGGAGGGGCGGCGAGCAGCGGCAGAGATGCAGCGATTGGTGGAGCAGAAGGAGCGTCTGGAAAGAGATCAGGCACGGTTAGAGGCGGAGAAAGAGCAATTGGAAAGGGAGAAAGAACAGCTAGCAAATGAAAAGAGCCAAGATGAGGAGGAGAAGCAGCGATTGCAGGAGGAGATGAGGCGAGCAGATGAGGAAAAGAAGCAGTGGGACGAGGGGAAGAGGCAGTGGGAGGAGGAGAGGCAGCGACTGGAGGAGGAGGTGGAGTATCTAACCCAGGAGCTGGAAACCGAGCAGGAGATCGCAGCAGAGGCTGCTGAGATGGCGCAGCGGGAGTGGGCGGCGCGGCAGGAGGCGCTGCGCCAGCTGGCAGAGGTGGAGCGTGAGCTGGCGATGGAGGCGAGCGAGGCTGACGTGGCAGCAGCTGCTGCCGCTGCTGCAGCTGCAGCGAGAGAAGCAGTAGGAGCAGGAGCTTCTGAGGGAGTGACTAGCACCCTGCATCAGAGCGGATCTCTTGAAGAATCAGCTGCGGATTTGGCCTCTTCCGTTCGATCACTCTCATTCAAGGACCAGGCCACTGAAGCTGGTAGGGTTTATGAGCCTGCTCAAGAATCATCGCTCGCAGGACAAGGTACTGAAGCTGGCTCTGACCCCTCAGCTGAATCTGGTAACCCCTCAGACCCCTCTGACCCCTCAGACAGCGCTTCAGGCTTCTCTGGTTTCGACTTAAAACCGTCTGAACCAGGCCTTGGACCAGCACCGCATTTGACCGCTTTCCCGACCTCTCAATCTCTCTCTGCCGCTGCTTACTATGCCGACCAAGCTCACCATCCCAGGCATGTAGGCTCGGCAGCGCCGAAGCTGGACGTGCTGGCTCGGATACGATCCGCCACGTTTGTCCTCCGCAACAGCAGCAGCCTCTCCAACACCCCTCTGGGAACCACCCCTTTGGCCTCCCCTGGGTATACGGCTAAAAGCTCTGTGTTCTCCTCAGCAGCAGGAACATCAGAGGCAGCAGCACAGGCAGCAGCACAGGCAGTGCAGGTGTCATCTGGGAAGGGTGACAATCAGTCCAAAGTGGAAGAGACAAGGGACGGTACGGAGGTTTCACCGCTGTGCGTGCTGCTGCAGCAGCAGCTGCGCCATCACCAGCAGCAGATGGCAGGTGCTGATGGGACCGCTGCTGCCGCTGCTGCTACTGACGCTGCTACTCCTGATAAAACTACTTCTCCTGCTGCTGCCTCACATGTGGATATCTCGGGAACTAGAGGGCGAACCTCCTTCCCCAGGCAAGCAAGCAGGTCAGCTTACATGGGCCAGCGACAAACAAGTGGCCTCACAGCTACAGCAGCAACAACAACAACAGCAGCAGGAGGAGGAGCAGCCAGCTCAGAGCAAACCAGCTCAGAAAAAACCAGCTCAGACCGAACCAGCTCAGACCGAACCACAGCGAGGTTCGGTGCTCGCCCTCCCCTGCGCCGGCGCTGCTTCACCGGCATCAATGCCACCTCGCTGCCCCCGTCCTCTTCCGTCCCCTCTGCTGCCTTTCCCCTCTCTCCCTCGTCCGGTCCGGTCTTGTCTGGAGGGGGAGCGGCAGTGGGGGGAGAGGAGGGGTTTGAGTACTGCGGGGGTCAGAGCAAGGCGTGGAGAGCGGTGCACTGCGGTGGCTTTGTGCACGTGCTGCTGCAGCTGTCGCTGCTCGGCGTGAATCGGCTGGAGGATTGCGTTGCAAGAGCAGAGGCGGCACGGGCCGCGACAGACAAGACTGCAGCAGCAGCAGCTCTGGCAGCAGCAGTAGAAGTAGAAGCAGCAGGGAAATATCTAGCAGTGTGCTCCGCTGCTGCTGCTGCTGCTGCTGCTGCTGCTGCTGCTGCTGCTACTGCTGCTACTGGCTCTGATGTTGCTGCTGCTGCTGGCTCTGATGTTGCTGGGGCTTCTGCAGTGTCTGCATCAGGTGCCCCCGCCTCTGCCACTCCCTCTGCATCCGCCTCTGCTGGTGTCTCTACTGGCTCGGATCTGCTCTCAATGCTCTCCTTCAGTCGGCTTTTCCAGCCTCTTGCAGCCGCTGCAGCCACGGCAGCAGCTGCAGCAACACCAGGCACAGCAGGTACAGGAGGCACAGCAGGCAGCATTCTTGAGGAAGGGACAGAGCTTGTAGATCTCAGTAGCAGCAATAGCGGTGGGAGATTATCACTGAGCAACCGCAATACCGCTGACAGCAGCGGCAGCAGTGGCAACAGTAGCAGTCGGTGTAGGCAAGCCTTGGCAAGAGGCTCGGGAACAGGATCCAGAGAAGGATCAGAAGCAGGCTCGGAAGCCGGCTTGGGAGCAGGCTCGGAAGCTGGCTCAGGGAGCAGGTTCGGAAGGCTCGGGAGCGGTCAGTAGAATTATACGTGCTGGAGCTACAGGCTGACGCCCTGAGGGCCACAGCCGAGGTGCTGCGGGAAGAAGCTAGTGTGGAAGGGAGGACGGTGAGGCGGCTTTCCATGGAGAAAAGAGATGTTGAGGAGAGGGTGGCTGGGTTAGAGGCCACTCTTGTTTTATTTAGGAAAGACACAGTCAATGCTGAATGCGCTGGCTGGAGATAATGCGATTCTTGGGGGAGGAGAGGCGGAGGGAGAAGGTATGGTTGGGGAAAAGGAGGGGGCGAGGAGGGGAGAGGGGCAGGAGGAGGGGGGGAATGTGGACGGGGTAGATAATGGGGCAGAGAGGGTTGGGGAGAGGGAGGAGGGAGAGGGTGTGGTTGCAAAAGAGCATGGGCTAGAGAGGGTAGGGGACTGGGAGGAGGAGCAACCTTTGCAGGTGGGGGAGGGGGAGGAGGAATCAGTGCAGATGTCTCGAGATGTGCTTCGCACGGCCGTTACAGATACTCGGAAGCAAGCCGAAGCGCTTGACCAGGTGGGTCAACGCAAGTCAATGTGCTTGACCAGGTGGGTCAACGCAAGTCAATGTGCTTGACCAGGTGGATCAACGCAAGTCAATGTGCTTGACCAGGTGGATCAACGCAAGTCAATGTGCTTGACCAGGTGGATCAACGCAAGTCAATGTGCTTGACCAGGTGGATCAACGCTAGTCAATGTGCTTGACCAAGTGGGTCAACACAAGTCAATTTGCTTGACCAGGTGGATCAACGCTAGTCAGTGCGCTCCCCCTCCTCTTCCCACACCTTCCTTGTATCTGTCGCTGCCCTTCCTTCTCCACGGGCTATTCTTGCCAGCTTGCAGCTTTTTTAGACGACTCAAAAATATGACTTCCCCCCCTCCCTTTGTATCCGCCACCTTTCCTTCTCCACGGGCTATTCTTGCTAGCTGCCAAGCGAAAGAGGACAAGCTCACTCTCCCCCCCCTTCCCCTCCCCCTCCCTCTCCCCACCCCCTCCTCCTCCCGCGCCCCCCTTGTATCCGCTCCCGCCTTTCCTTCTCCGCAGGCTATTCTTGCCAGCTCCCAAGCAAAAGAGGACAAGGAGAGGGAGAGGGACATGGTGCTCCGAAGGCTGAGTGAGGTCGAGACAAGAATCGCCGTCCTGAAGGCCACGGATGGTGCCACCATCGCCTCTGTTTCTGTGAGTCGGCTATCTTGTTGCAATGCTGCAATGCTCTGCTGCTACCTTTTGAATCGAATCAAAATTCACCTCGGGTGGTGCAACCATCAACTCTGCTTCTGTGAATCAGCTATCTCGTAACAATGCTGCAAGCTGTGCTGCTTCACTTTTTGACTCAAAAATCGACTATCACGTGTGGTGCCACCACCAACTCAGCTTCTGTGAGTCAGCTATTTTGTTGCAATGCTGAAATGCTGTGCTGCTTCCTGCTGTTACAATTCTAGTGTAAACATTTAGCCAGCTTGCCTGGTGTGGGCAGAATTCTCATTTGATCGCTCCCTTGTACTGTCTGCTACAATACCCTATTTCTTCAGGGAAAATGGAACTTTGTTGCCACGATGACCCCTCTCCTAGCCATGGTGTTACCAGGATACGTTGACGCCGCACAAACTCGCGCGCTTACACTATAATCCCATCCTGATAGCCACTCTGTTACGATGCGAAGTTTTATGAGAAGGCATTCCTGTACGCTGCAGGAGCCGACTCTACCGAGTACGAAGCTGAGGAGTCAGAAGAACCGAAGCTACGCACTAACCGTCAGATCGAGACCGATGCAGGCAGAAACACTTACAGTGAAAAGAGCCGGAACGGTTTTTGAACGGGTTTCCCACGCCGCACGGTTTCTGAAATCGGTTGCAATAAAGGAATGTACCCCTTAGAGTACATGGCTAGCTAGGTCCTTTCGTGTTCCCTTGTACTCTTATATAAACTCGATGTATGCATGCTATTATCAACTCAGTCATTTTACATTCACTCTGACCTGAGATTCAAACTTCCGCTGCAACTACTCCCGCGATCAACCCTGAGCGATCCTTCACTAAGTCCCACTTGGGATTGTAACACACTCGAATAGCATAGCTGTACTTGAAAGGATGCAGTGTCCGCAGCTCTGCAGTGAGTCATTGAAATTGAATGTTTGCTGCAAAGGATGTGTGGTTTGTTTGTGATTGTGTTTACATGGGTTAATTCCACAGCAGGTACTCCAATATCAGCTACTTTCCCCTGTTACACTGATGTATATCATAATTACCAGTATCATGTCGAGCATGGTAGAATGTACTTCTCTGTTCGCGTATGTTTCGGGGGGTGCATCTTCCATCATTCGGCGATGCCACCTGGAGTTAGTCCACGATGGATACACGTCCTCATGAAAAGAGTGCGTGCACCGTTTCCCTCCTTTTTCAGGTTCTCCTGCCCGCCTTGGTTTGATCAAATTCATGTCACATCGTTAATTCGTGGGGTAGCATTCTTCGACTCGCGGTTTTCTTTCTGCCAGGGGCATTTATCTTAGCGGTAACACTCATGGAGCTCAAACGCACGCGAGGTAAGCCACGCGTCAAAATCGTAACAGAGATGTCTTCACATCTCCACCATGGTAACCAGTATTTCCGAGATGGTCAGCATTATCGCCTGAATGGTAATGAAGAGCGCGTCCGGAAATACTGGTTGGTAAATTCGCGTTCCAACCAAATTGTACACCGTACAAGTCAGGTTTGACTCTGCAAAAGGAAACTGACTGTCCATGTATACACCCACAGAATACGCAATTCCGTTTATAATACCGGCGTTTACAATCCAAGACAGAAACACATCGAAATGAAGACTTGTAATCTGTTTATAAAAACATATAGCCTTAACTATCAAACAAACGCCACAAAAAAAAAACACACACAATGTCAAAACGCAAAGCTTTTCTAGTGATAAATTAATTGAAACATTTTTTTTAACATGTAATAATTATATTTCAGAAAATTAAGAGCTAGAGATAGAACAAACTATAATAATTTGAATATCAATTTGAAAAATACTAGTTTTGCATATCACAGAAAATAAGAGCTGCATAAAATTAAAAAAAATAATGTATTTCATAAATAATACATTGAAGGCATGATATGGAATGAATTAACAGATGTTTTAATCCTAGTAATTAAATATTCAGGCTAAATTTGCTTTTCCAGAGTATCCGTAAGATCCTTGCTGTAATAGTGATAGGAAATTATACCGAATAGGAGCATGTAACATTTTACTTTACAGAATTGCGCATTCTGTGGGTGTATACGTGGACAGTCAGTTCTCTTTTGCTGATTCAAACCTGACCTGTACGGTGTACAGTCTGGTTGGAACGCAAAGTTACCAGTCAGAATTTCCGGATGCGCTGTTCATTACCATTCAGGCGATAATGTTGACCATCTCGGCAGTGCTGGTTACCATGCTGGCGATGAGAAGACATCTCTGTTACGATTTTGACACGTAGCCCACCTTGCGTGCGATTGAGCTCCATGAGTGTTACCGCTAAGATAGATGTCCTTTTACTAGTCAGTCCAGCAGCACCAAGACCCTTTTCAACGTGCCTGAACCAATCAGGACTCGCGAGATGTGTGTCACAGCCACCACACGTTTCCTTTCCCTCTCCCCCTTCCACGTCAAACGTCCCCGTCAGCCTTGGGATCTCCCTCCTGGCCTACGGATGAGCACCTCACGTCAGCAAATGTCTGGATGGCTGGATTCAGAATTCAGCAAGCAACACTCCCATCCCAAGTACGAGCCATGGATTATGGAATTGAACCAAAGGGGATATCATACATTGTTTCCTAAATTAGTATACTATTCACCATAGCATTTGCTTTCAGGACGCTTCGTGGAGGCTTAGCTGCTTGTGCGTGCGGAGATAGTTTCTTTACGTTCTAGGCTCGTGGTGTTGCACGTTTTCTGCTGAGTGCCCCCGTGCAGCAGTGAACAAAGCAACCACCATGATGCGTAAAGGAGCCCTCCGTGTTCTGGCCGCCGCCATGGCCAGGCAATCAGCAGCCTCAGCCGGCGTTCCGGCATCCCTAGGAGCCTCCCTGATTCCTGCCGCTGGAATCATCCCTCGAATCCTCCACCGAGGATTCGCCAGTGATGAGAGTCTGAAACGTACCCCCTTGTACGATTTCCACGTGGCGGAAGGCGGGAAAATGGTCCCCTTCGCCGGATATAGCATGCCGATCCAGTACAAGGACAGCATTATCGATTCCACCATTAACTGCCGGACAAACGGAAGCCTGTTCGACGTCTCCCACATGTGCGGCCTCAGCCTCAAGGGCAAGGATGTAATTCCTTTCCTCGAAACGCTCGTGGTTGGCGACATTGCTGCTCTCAAGGACGGGACTGGCACCCTGTCGGTCTTCACGAACGAGAAGGGTGGAATCATCGACGACACTGTCATCACTCGGGTTACCCCTTCGCACATCTATCTCGTCGTCAACGCCGGGTGCCGCGAGAAAGATCTGAGTGAGTCATTCACGGGTGGATGTGCATTGCCAGCGTTGTTTTCACATTTCCCTGACCATACTGTTCAACACATCCCAATGTCCCCCGTTACCGTCCAATCAATCCTCCCTCGCAATACAATATTATGTAACAATGACTACCACGTATGTCTTTCAGCCGCGACAGCTTCTTTAGCACCTCCAACTCACACACTTCCCCTATCCCTTCCACATTGTTTTACATCCGTGACCCACAGACCACGTCGGAGCTCATCTGGAGGCCTACAAGGCTACCGGCAAGGACGTTTCCACCCTTGCGAATTCTCGAATATCGCTTTCCCTGTCCTTTCCGAACATCGTTCTACATCCTTGACCCACAGACCACATCGGAGCTCATCTGGAGGCCTACAAGGCGGCCGGCAAGAACGTTTCGTGGCAGATTCACGACGACCGCGCGCTGCTGGCGCTGCAGGGCCCTCTCGCGGCGTCCACGCTGCAGCCGCTCGTGTTGGCGGACCTCTCCAAGATGTCCTTCAGCGATTTCACCATGCTCAAGATCGACGGCCACGATTGCTTCCTCACCCGGACGGGGTAAGTCAAGCAGTTCTCTCCCTTTCTGCTCCCATTTTCTGCTTTGCATGGATTATACTCCCTGTCTGCTTTTACTCTGTCGGGACGAATCTGGACGGTGCTTCGAAAACTACCAACGGCTTAATTCCATCGGCGGGAGCCATGCTCACAATGCGGAAGATTTGGCAGAGTTACATGGTTTGGCCTTTGTCACAGTTAAATCTGGATAACGCGTGCATTCTCCTGCTTCGGTCAAAAGGTCTGACTGATGCTGGTCAACTATTATCCTAACACGAATCCAAATCCTCACTCTTATGCCCCCTCCACCCACTTCCAGCTACACTGGAGAGGACGGGTTTGAAATTTCCGTGCCCAATGAGAACGCACTGGCACTTGCCAAGAAGCTTCTCGAGGTTAGCGAGGGGAAGGTGAGGCTCACCGGCCTTGGCGCTCGTGACTCCCTCCGCCTGGAAGCCGGACTCTGCCTCTATGGCAACGATTTAACAGAGGAAATCACCCCCGTGGAAGGCGCGCTTGCATGGACAATCGCGAAGAGACGGCGGGCAGAGGGGGGATTCATTGGAGCTGACGTGATTCTGAAGCAGCTGGCTGATGGGCCTGCAAGGAGGAGAGTAGGTTTGACGTCTACTGGAGCCCCTGCAAGGAGCCATGTAGAGATCTTGGATAAGGAGGGGAATGTTGTTGGAGAGGTGACCAGTGGAGGGTTCAGTCCATGCCTGAAGAAGAATATTCGCGATGGGATATGTGAAGAATGGGCTGCACAAAGCGGGTACGGAGCTGAAGGTGAATGTGAGGGGTAAGGTGAATGATGCTGTGATTACGAAGATGCCGTTCGTGCCCACCAAATATTACAAGGCATGAGCATATGCGGCGCTAAAGCCGCATCTGTACCGGTAAGGGTGAGGAAAATGGGGTTAACATTGTTATATGTAGTGCCACATAACATAAGACTCTATTGAAGTGGATGTTTTTCAATTAATAGGACGTTCTTACCTCAGAGTTGAAGGGACTGTAAACGATTGTATGGGAGAAGAACAGAACGACTGTATAATATGTTTTTTGTTATTACCCTGGCGGTTATGTGAGCTACGGATTCGTAGCTATTATAGCCTAATGTAGTAGATTTCATATACATCAGGTTGTATCGCTCCCAGCAATATTGAAGATTCGTGAATAACAGTTCATACTGTACACCCTATTTCGTGCCACACTGACTTCGCTATATTGAGAAGCCGGATGTATTGACATCAATGCGTCCAAATTGATCCCAGGACATACCATATAAGCACTTTTGCCGCACGAAACCGAACTCAAAAGCACTTTGTCTTACGTTCTCCTGAAGTGCATTTCGGTTGCCAGCACCAGTCCGCTGAATCCAAGCACACGTGCGCACTGTAGCCGGGGCTCCCGTTTGTTCAACCATCGAGAGAAAAAGTGTACAAAGATTGCGCGACGCGACCTCCTCAGGTCATTTTGTACGAATGAAACACAAGGATTTCTTGACCAAGATACGCTACAGTTCATTGCAAGCAAACGGCCTTGCTTCCGAAGTCTTTGGAATTAACAGAGTTGCTGCCTCTTCGTCTGATCACCACATGAATTTGGATATTTCGGTGAACAACGCAGCACATCTAGAAAATACACTCGATGTCTAGCAGTTTTCTAATAGCATACATGCTCTATCTTCCATAATGCACTCACTTACCTGCATGAAGGGAAAATACGTTATGTCCCAACCCAATCCATGATGTTGAAGAGTCTCCTTCTGCCGTCACGTGTAGACGCCACATTGGCCACCGTGTAGACATGTTCATTACTCTAGGGAAGCATCTATTTCGAAAAGTGCTATCGTAAAGAGAATCGAGTGGACGACACTGGAAACTCAATCCACTCCACACGCCGTTGGTGCATCGCTGAGCTCACGCCATAAATGTGTGCAGCGATATGTGTGGACGGATCTGCTCCGGTAGAGACTGAGCTGAGCTGAAAGCCCCGCCACAACAACATCCATAGTTGTCACAACACCCTCCGTCACACTGTCATCGACCAACCCCAAGAAAACTCGTGTGACAGCAACACCAGCGTCTCGTTCTGAGCTGCCCTGCCCACAAAATTTCACAGTACACGTACCTCATGTCATCCCTTTCATGCCAAAGTTCGCAATTTGTGGACTCTTCGAGGCTGGTAGGCATTCTGTTTTAATTGAGCTGGAAGCTGCCCAAACCATCAGCCGTCCGCGTCACCACCAATTATCCACCCCACCATCTCGAAGTTTGATTGCCACATGACCACCGTCCAGATACTGCGCGCCAAACTAAAAATCAGTGTCTGTCTTTTCCTGCTCCACCTCCAAGCCTCCAATTTTGACGGAAATCTTGCCGCTTCAGAAGCTGCCGCGTGTCACAAAACCCAGTGAGCGGAAGAGCATTTTGAACCGCTTCTTGACATCCACGTGTGACACGCGAGGCGCGGTAGGACTCTACCCCTCGCACATCCAATCCGATGCCTTCTTAGAAATTGTCACACCACCAGATTGTTCCTCGGGTTTTCATAATTCTTCTGGTTCACAATTTCGATTCCCGATTCCCGTCCCGATTCGCACCGCAGCACCACACGAGACGGAACGGAACGGAATGGAACGGGTTACGGATATCTAGGAGAAGGTTTCGTCAATTCTGCCTCTGCGGGTGGCAGTTGCATACAGCAGCAGGCCATCGCATCTGGCGTGACGTGTGCCCCCCTCTTTTGCAGCTCTTCACTTCCATCTCTTGGCGGTCCTTGCCAAGCTCATCCTCCAGCTCCTCTCGTGGCCAGCTTTCAGGATTGAGCAGAGATGTCGGATGTCTGCTCATTGCCACCAACTCTGGGGCACAAAAATAGCGGGGTTGCAAGACAATTATGACCAATTGTTGTGGAGGTTCCGAGGTTCGTGCCCGAAGCCTCTCCTGAAACAATCAGAATTGCCTTCACCCCACATGTCCCAGCGTGCTGCCCGTTAAACACACGTTTTGTTAGCTTTCCCAAACATCACTCGAGCGGCACTGAATTTGTGTTTTCCGCAATCTCTCAGCGTCCTTTCTCAGGTAATTGAACCACTCGCTCTTGAAATCCCACACCGCGCCATGGTCTCTCCAGATCCTTCATCGGACGGTGAGAAACGAACTAAAGAAAAGGAGGATGGCGCCACTCCCGTTCAGAATTTCCGTATTTTCGGCGTTAGCTTAGCGCAGCCACCGCTGAATTCCCCTCCGCAGCCGGCGGGGCCAGTAGAATTGACGCCTACGTCAATTCCGCTCCGCACGTCCTCCCCTCCGGATGGCATGCGCAAGTGCGCCAGCACGAGCGCGCTGGCGGATCTCAGCCGCCGCCGCCGCAATTTTGTCCTCCTCAGGCGCAGGCGCGCGCTTGCGGCTTCCGCTGTTCCGCCCGGGCGATGGGAGCGTGGGGAACAGTATGGACGAGGATAGCGCAGCCGAAGATGATGCGGACGACGCGGAGGACGCGGAGGAGGAGGGGGGGCGCGCGGAGGGCGCAGGGGGAAAAGCGGAGCGGGAAGCCCGTGATTCCCGTGGCGGCGCGTTGCAGCGACCGGCAGGACGGTTGGCAGCAGACCCTGAGTCTTCCGCCGGCAGCGCCGGCGGCTGCGGCGGGGAACGAGCGCGACAGGCGGCGGTAGCGGCGCGCAGCGAGGGCTCGAATTGCACGCCGCAACCCGCGGGAAGTGAAGTCGCGAACGCGCCGATGAGCGGGCGGGGTGGCGGGGTTGGCGGAAGGTTCGACGGAGGGCGGGGCGGGGGTGGGAGCGGGGGCGGAGGCGGCGGAGGAATCGGAGGCGGCGGGCACATGGGCGGAACATCATCGTCGAGGGAGCGAAAGAAGGGGATCGCGTGGACGGAGGAGGAGCATAGGTTGTTTCTGATTGGTCTAAGCAAGCTGGGGAAAGGCGACTGGCGGGGGATTTCGCGGAACTACGTGACGACGCGCACACCTACGCAGGTCGCGAGCCACGCGCAGAAGTACTTCATCCGCCAGAGCAATCTCAACAAGCGCAAGCGCCGGTCGAGCCTGTTCGATATAAGCACAGACGTGGTACGTGATGAAGTGCGCCTCCCATGCACTCCCCTCACTGCGTCATTCCCCGTCTTCCTGTCTCCCCGTCTCCGCGTCTCCCCGTCTCCCTCATGTCTCGATCCATGCGCGCGCCGTCTCTCTCGTCGCTCACCTTTCTCGCCTCCCCCCCTCTGCGCCGCTCCCCCATCTCCCCCATCCTCCCCGCCTTATTCCCCATCCCCCCCGCCGCAGCTAGCGGAGGAAGCGGCGGGCGCAACGGTCATGTCTCGATCCATGAGCACGCCGTCCCTCCCGTCGCTCCGCGACGATCCCAAGTTTCTCCCCTCGGGAACTTCCGGCGGACTCACCGCCATTTCTTCCGCCGCCGCCATCTCCGCGCTTTCCCCCTCCGCCTCCGCTCTCGCCTCCCCGCAATCGCTCTCCCACCACGCGCTGCATCAGGCGCTTCCGCACGCGCGCGCATTTTCCCGCCCGTACCAGCTCCCCAATACCGCGCAAACCCTTCCCCCGCCATCCTACAACCCGCACTCCTCTTCCGCCCATCCGTTCGCCTCCGCCTCCTCCCCTTCCGCGCATCCATCCCCGCACCCCTTCGCCCCTTCCGCTTCCGCGCACGGCTTCCTCGATCTGAGTCGCTGCCAGTCATACCCCGCAGTTCACATGCTCGAGAGCGGAAGCCCTTACGATAATCCCGCCCTTTCCGCCGCGTCCGCCGCCGCCGCCGCCGCCACCCGTGGCGGCGCACTTTCCGCAGCATTTCCGCCGCTCACGCGTCCCATGTCCCTGCCGTCCCTTCACCCGCCCTCCATCCCCGAGACTTCCGCCGTTCCGCCGGTCGATCTAGGCCCCGCGCACTACCTCCCCTCCGCGCATGGCTTTTCCGCGCATCCGCACTCGCAGCCCCCCCATTGGCACCTCCTCCCCTCTTCTTCCGCCAATCCTTCCGCCGCTTCCACCGCCGCCGCGCGCGCTGCTGGGCGCGGGCCGATGGCGCTCGACTGGGCTATGTGCGCCAGGTGGCCCCGCAGGCGCGGGGAGTTCCGCCGCCGCCGCTGCGGCGATGGGGCGCCAAGGGGAGGACACGAGCATGGGTTGTGTCCCTGGGGTGGGGGGCGCGGGCGCGGGGCTCGGTGGGCTTGCAGACGCGGCAGCAGCGCGGCACAGGATTGGGCATGAGATGATGATGCAGATGGGGCACGAAGCGACGGTCCAGATTGGCCATGAGCTGGCGCAACGGATGGCCAGGATAAGCCAGACCTGCCGAACGAGCAGGGGCGGATGGGGGTGGTCCAATGCTGCTGGGGGGGAGCAGCAACGTGGAGAAGAAGACAAAACTTGAGAGTGGCATGGGTTTTCCTAGTAGTGCTGGTGCTGTGGCTGGCGGAAATGCTGCTGCTCCTGGTGGGACTGGTGGGGCTGGGGCTGCCGGTTCTGCTGCTGCAGCCGCTGCGGCGGCAGCAGCTGGTGGTGGCTCTGCTTTCTCCCCTTTCCGATCTGGAATGCCAGCTTCTGGTCCTGCTGCTGCTGCTGCTGCTGCTGCTGCTGCTGCTGCTGCTGCAGGTGCTGCATCGGCATATCTCTCCACCTCTCCACCCTCCACCTACCCGTACGGTCCCCTCTCGTCCTCTCCCCCCATCGGCTACCCCTACTCCTCCTTCCTCTGGCCTAGAACCACGTCGCACTTCCCGTCTCCTGCCTCTGCCGCTGCCGCGGCTGCAGCAGCAGCAGCACAGCAAGCAGCTTTCACTGCTTCTACCCCTGCCTCTGCCTCTGCCTCTATGCCTGCTCCGGGTGGTGCCGCTGCGGGTCCTTCGGGGGGCGCTGCTGCTACTGGCCCTTGGCATGTGTCTGGTGGGCAGGAAACTGCTGCTCAGAATTGCCTTTCCCAGCCGCCGCTGATGTCGAATGCTTCTTCTGGTGTGATTGCTGCTGCTGGTGTTCCTGCTGCTGCTGCTGCTGCTGCTGCCGGTGCTGGTGGTGCTGCTACTGCTGAATATTGCTCTGTACCCACTACTACACTGCAGCTTTTTGACACAAGTCCCAAGGATCTGGCTATTGAGGTAAAACGGCCATCAGCAGTGGCTGCTGCCGCAGCAGCAGCATCTGTTGCTGTCACGGCAGCAGCTAGACTTGCTGCGTCTGCCTCCCCTGAACCTACAAGTGACGTCAAGGCACCGATAAGTGTGCAATGATAATTGGAAGCTGGTGCATTTTTTTCTCCCTTTCTGGTTTAGGCTATTGAACCAATACGTGTTTTGTGTTTTGCGTTGTGCAACCGCCACTGGCATAAGTGTGGTTATAATCATGCCTTTTTTGGCATTTAGACTTATTACAAAGCATTTCCTGTACCGATGCAGATGTTCACCCGCTGTAGAGCCTTACATATAATGTGTCAGAAGAATCGTCATAGCGAGGAGAAATTGGAGATTTCTCAAGCATGCTCGTGTCGTCGTGGGGCTGTAATTCCGTGAGTGAAATACAGAAGCTGTAATTCTTCTAATCAGGCACACCACCACCACAAGGCGTGGCGATTACGCCATTGAAGTCGTCGCGTCTCACATCCAGTTCGTTCCCGATCCGTGAGCTGCTTGGTATTCGTGAGCTGCTGCTGGTTTCTCTTTCGATCGTCTAGGATTCCGTTAGTGACCAGATTCAGATGACGGTAACAATGCGTGAGAAGGGAGAAACTTCGTCTTGAGTCTGATCCATTGTTCCTTATCGCGACGCGACCGATGAATCATGGACGTTGATCCAGTCGCTGAGCTATATTATATGAATCGTAGAGTGAATGTTTTATACTGTACGAGCTATACTTATCGTGAATAATGGACGTTGAGCCACCTGCAGCTGAGCTTCATGACCAGGAGGAACAGGACGTCGTTTGAGAAACGGACGATCCAGGATCTGGGGTCTCAGTTCCCGCTTTGGAGACAGCAATTAGAGTGAGTGAATGAGTCTGTTCGTTTCGCGGATAATGAATCTTGGACATTCTGCGAGTTCAGTTCCTGCTCCAGAGACAGCAGCTAGAGTGAGTGAGTCTGCCCGCATCTGACGTGTCTGCATTTCACTCGTTCCACTCGTTACTTCGTTCGTCGCATGCGTTATGTATGATTGTGAAGTGACGTTGAGAATATACCATCATCTTGATCGTTACCATGCATGGTCACGACTGCATGTGTCGCTAGGTCACAAAACTCACCGTCAGGCTTTCAGATCGTATGATTCATTCTTCCTTCCGAATTAGTTTCGTCCAATAGTTTCGTTCAGAACCACAGAGCCACCAGAGGACGACCTTATCAATCAACGGCTGTGATTGTCCCATTGGCTTGTGTCCTTTCAGGGACGGATTCTCGCTCCTTTTCTATGGCCTCGGCTCCAAGCACGCACTGGTCACAGCAGTTCGCATCGGAGAGCCTAGCGGACAAGACAGTCGTCACCATCAATGGTGCCGATGCCAACACCACCCCTGCTCGGGTAAGTCCACCAGTCTCTATTCCTGGAGTCAAGCACGCCCTGCTCACCACATTTGCATTGGACAGTCTAGCGGACAAGACAGTCGTCACCATCAATGGCGCCGATGCCAACACCACCCCTGCTCGGGTAAGTCCACCAGTCTCTATTCCTGGAGTCAAGCACGCCCTGCTCACCACATTTGCATTGGACAGTCTAGCGGACAAGACAGTCGTCACCATCAATGGCGCCGATGCCAACACCACCCCTGCAGGGGTGAGTGCCACGTCCACCAGTCGTTATCCTTGGATTTTAGTTCCAAGTAAATCTGCTCGCCCTCCTCGCCCTGCTCACGGCATTCCCGTCGGAGTGTCTAGCGGACATTGGAAAGGCTGTCGTAACCATCAACGGGACTACCACTATGCCATCCCTGATTACATTCACTGTTGCCTGCTTGTATCCCTGGTGTCTTTCGCTGATGTTCCGTTGTCTTACTTTCGCTAGGCACTCTTGTCTCGTGTGTGCTGTGCATGCTTCCACAAGCAGAAGGGTCAATGACATGCTGACCGGCCATTGGTTCGCCGGTTCCCGAACCGAATTTTCGGCATTTGGTGATGCATGTGCATGAACTCGTGAATGCGTGCATATTGGAGATGCGGGCATTATCATACATGCGGTGCGGGTATGATGGATGTGAACACATGCATGTATGGTGACGTGTCGTCTCCAGATGGCAGCTGCAATCGCCTCGTCTTGTCAACCTGACCCATCAACCAAAGGTCGGAAAGGGCCTGCCATGTCGTCAGCATCCGCTGCTGAGCTGGCACGGTGGATTTTGGATCTTGCGACCGAGCAGCAGCAGAAGCAGCAACAACAGCGGCAGAGGAAGCAGCGCCAGGTGTCAAAACAGCGTCAGCAAGGGAAGAAGCAGCAGGGGCAAACCCTTGGGCGGGACGACAGCGGTAGCAGAGAGAGTGCCAGTCCGTGGCTGTGCATAGCGGTTCACAATCTGGATGCTGCTCCCATCAGAGCGTCACCTGCCTGCATCTCCCTGCTCGCCCTCCTTGCCGCCTGCCCTGCCATCGCTGTCATCGCCTCTGTCGACCATGTGCTCTCCTCCGCTTGTGAGTAGGCAGGGTATGGCGTTTGGGCAGCTGTAGCACAGAAAATGCTCTTCCCCTGCATGTATCTCCGTGCATCTCCCTGCTCGCCTTCCTTGCCGCCTACCTTGCCATCGCCGTTGTCGCCTCTGTCGACCACTTGCTCTCCTCTTCATGCGAGTTGGTATTTGGGTGTTATACTCAGATGTTGCTCTCTGTCATGCACTCCGGCCTTCCCGTGCTCCTTCCCATGTGCCCATCCCCATTCATAATCACACATGCTCCTTCCACCCCATGAGCTCATCGTCCTTCACATATACCCCCATGCTCCCATCCCCACCACAACTGCAGTGTTTGACCGTCAGACCCTCTCCCTCTTCAACTTCGCCACCCATCACGTGGTGACACGTGGCGCCTACACCAAGGAGGCGTCCGCCTTCTCCCCCGCCACTCTCTCCCACACGCCCTCCGCCTCTGCTGCAGCACAGGCCGCCCTGCTGGTCCTCCGCAGCCTCCCCCCCAACGCCTGCCAGATATTCACCCTCATAGCACAGCCGTTTCTGTCTAGTGCTGGTGGTGGTAAAGGGAGAGGTAGTGGTGGCGGTTCTGGTGGTGATGGGAGGGACGGCGATGGGGAGGAGGAAGGCGGTGGATCAGGCCAGAAGAATCAGCCTCAAGGTGCCTTTTCTCCCTGCCCTTTCGCTTTCCCCTGCCTCTGTTGTCCCTGCCCCTCCGTCCCCCCTGCTCCCTCGCGGTTCCCTTCACATCTTCACTCGATCTGTTTCTTTCCGCTTGCATCAATTGCACCTATTGCATTGGTGCACAAAAACGCACTCGTGTTTGCATCATGTGACGTGCCGGTTTCTAGCGAGGTAACCGGTGTCCTGCTCCTCTCCTTCTCCACTCTTTCAATCTGTCATTGTGCCTGTTTTTCTCCAGCCCTGCCCTTCGCCCAGCTCTACTCCCTCTGTCGAGCGCGCTTTCTGGTTACCAGCGAGGTAACGCTGCGGGCGCATTTGAGGGAGTTTGAGGACCACGCTTTGGTGAGAACATTCAGGCAGGCGGATGGCACAGAGAGCGTGGGGCTGCTGCTGACAGTCCCGGCACTCGCCCAAGTCATGGAGCAGCTGGGAGGGAAATGACAGCAGTTTTCAGGGTGCTTGATAATATGTATTTCGGGCGCAGCAAAGAGGATTTGAGGACCACGCTATGGTGAGGGTGTTCAGGCAGGCGGATGGCACGGAGAGCGTGGGGCTGCTGCTGCTGCCTGTGGGCGCACTCAACTCATGTAATGGAGCAGCCGGGTGGGAAATGATAGGCTGGTGCTTCCTGGTTTGAATCGTCCCGAAACTTGAGTGATACCGTACAAGCAACTGGGCGGGAAATGATGGGCTGGTGGTGTTTCCCACCACAACGTCCTGAGCACCTGAGGGGTTCTGAGGGCCACGTTCTGGTGAGGTTGTTCACACAGGTGGATGGCACAGACAGGAGAATGTGGGGCTGCTGCTGCATGTACGAGCTCGTGACTCGTGTAGAGGAGCAGCTAGGTTTGAAGCGTCAGGCTGATGCTGCCTGGTCTGAGAATTATTTGAAGGTGCCAGTCAATGCTGAATTTCGCAGAAGAGATGGGAAGCACAGGTAAGTGGGTTGCCAAGAAGTGGAAATACATTAGCAATGCTATAATACTACCCTAAAATACTAAATATGGTGCAAGCCAATCATAGCCACCCCGACAGCTCTTCTTATAAGTGCCTTCTTTGGCCAGTTCATATCCAGAAACTGGCATTTCGACAGGGAGTGATACTTTTGGCTTCTTTTCTATGTTCTCAAAATTTATTAATTGGCCAGCCATTCGGATAGCCCATCGCCAAGCTTTAGGAAAAAAGGGAAATTCCTGTGTGCATCATCACCCTCCTCTCATTGGCCTCCTCTCATCGCCCTCCTCTAATTGCCCTCCTCTAATTGCCCTCCTCTCATTGGCCTCCTCTCATCGCCCTCCTCTAATTACCCTCCTCTCATCTCCCTCCTCTCAGCAGCAGGTCTTCAATCCTCTTGACGTCAGCAGGCACGTCCACCCCGTGAGCTGAATGCGCCACCTTCACCACCTGCACAGGCACACACACAGCGCAGATTGGTAAGACACATAGGCACGGCACAGAGGCACAGTGGCAGGCCGTGCACGCAGCCAGTAGGAATTTGCAATCTGAATTAGCAGGCACGTCCACCCCGTGAGCTGAATGCGCCACCACCTTCACCACCGCGTGACAACCCACATTGACCTTGCACCCCTGCTCCAGTATCCGCAGCTGCTCCAGCTGCTCCAGTTGGCAGGTGCATAATCTCACCTCTCAACTCACTACCCACAGCTCACCTTGACATTGCAGCCCTGCTCCAGTATCCGCAGCTGCTCCAGCTGCTCCTCCTCCTCCAGTCTCCCTGCCTCACTCGCCTTGTACCGTGCTAGGAAGGCCGCATCGTATGCCTGTGTGGGGGGGTGTGCAAGGGGGTCACAAGGGAGAGAGAGGTTGGAGAGAGAGGAGAGGGGAGAAGAGAGAGAGAGAGAGAGGGGGGGAAATCGAGTGGGTGAAAGGAGAGAGAGAAGAGGACAAGTAGAGTCCTTGCATGCCTAGGTGCAGCATGTATGGGAAAAGAGAGAAGGTGTGTGTGGGAGGGGGGGGCGGGTTGAGGGGGAGAGGGAGAGAATGGGGGGTGAAAGGAGAAAGAGACTGGGGTAAGTAGAGTACTTGTATGCCCAGGTGCATTATGTATGGGTAAAAGAGCGAGGGTTGGTGTGGGGGGAGAGAGAAGGGGAGTTGGGGTTAACAGAGAGGGGAAAGTAGAGTACCTGCAGGCCCAGGTGCAGCATGTATGGGAAGCCAGGATGAGGCACACCGTCCCTGCAATGGTATGGCAGAGGCATTGTGAGAGAAATACACACCAAGGGTGCATTTCTGCAAATGCTTGAAAGCACAGGCGGACTGGGATTGGGATAATGAACCCTTTCAAGGAGGATAATGAACCCTTTCAAGGAGGATAATGAACCCTTTCAAGGAGGATAATGAACCCTTTCAAGGAGGATAATGAAACGTTCTTGACAAGGTTCAAATCCTCCTTGACAGCCCACCTGTTGTGGGGAATGAGCGCTCGTGAGAAGTAGAGTGCAAAGCCTCTACTTCCCTGCTCACAACACGCAAGTGCTGTGAGGGCCTTACTTCCCTGCTCCTCACCTTTTGAGTCGACTCAAAAGCAACACGCAAGTGCTGGGAGGCCTCTACTTCCCTGCTCCTCACCTCACCACCACTCACCTGTTGTTCACATGCTGCTGACAGCCCACCTGTTGTGGGGAATGAGCGCTCGTGAGAAGTAGAGTGCAAAGCCTCCTCGACCATGCACGCAACATGCAATGCAATTGCTGTGAGGACCCTACCTCTCTGCTCCTCACCACCACTCACCTGTTGTGGGGAATGAGCGCTCGTGAGAAGTAGAGTGCAAAGCCGCGGCTGTCCACCACGCATTTGACTCGGTTCGGATCGGGCGCCGCTGATGCTTTTATGTCTGCCACTGCTGTCGCTGCCACCGCCTCGGGTGCTTCCTGTGAGTGAAGTTGGGTGGTGGTGGTTTGGGTGTCACGGGTATCAAAAGGTGAACAGGTAGTGTAGAATATAACAACTGCATCAATTTTCGCCGGGACAATGATAGGCTCTTCGCCTTGAATGTTCACCACTACATCCCACTGCCCCTTGAGCTCCCCCACTGTCCCATCAGCATCCCCGCTGCCCCACTGCATCAAAGTTGCTGCTACCTACACAGAGCACTCACCTGTAATGCTATAACCACGGCATCAATCGTGGCCGGGTCGATAAGAGGCTCGTCGCCTTGAATGTTCACCACCACATCCCACTGCCCCTTGAGCTCCCCCACTGTCCCATCAGCATCCCCGCTGCCCCACTGCATCAAAGTTGCAGCTACCTACACAGAGCACTCACCTGCAATGCTATAACCACGGCATTAATCGTGGCCGGGTCGATAAGAGGCTCGTCGCCTTGAATGTTCACCACCACATCCCACTGCCCCTTGAGCTCCCCCACTGTCCCATCAGCATCCCCGCTGCCCTACTGCATCAAAGTTGCAGCTACCTACACAGAGCACTCACCTGCAATGCTATAACCACGGCATCTATCGTGGCCGGGTCGATGAGAGGCTCGTCACCCTGAATGTTGACCACCACGTCCCACTGCCCCTTGAGCCTCTCCACTGCCTCGGCACACCGCTCCGAACCTGCCAGATTGGTTTCGGAAGAGTGAGGGCCACAATGTTAGGGCGTTTGAGCGTTGTTGTTGGACGTGTGTGATTACCGTAAGCATGTGATGCATTGATGATACTTGCGTGATACGTCCATTCCATTGGCATGCAGGTGCAACCGGCTAAAACACCCATGCCCCCATGCTCAGCATTACCGTTTCCACAAGCTGCTGACGTCATAATGACCTCAGCACCGAATCCCTGGCAGCAGCTAGCAATTCTCTCGTCGTCCGTCGCGACCACTGCAGTGGGAGGGGAGAGGGGGGGGAGGGGAGCAGCAGGGGAGCGAGGGGAGCAGCAGGGGAGCGAGGGGAGCAGCAGGGGAGTGAGGGGAGCAGCAGGGGAGCGAGGGGAGCAGCAGGGGAGCGAGGGGAGCGAGGGGAGGGGACTTCTGAGTCGACTCAAAAGCAGCTAGCAATGCTCTCGTCGTCCGTCGTGACGACTGCAAGGGGAGGGAAGGAAAGGAGTGAGGCGAGGAGCAGGGGAACGGAATGCAGGCATGCAGGGAGCGAGGGTATAAGGGAAGGGAAGAGAGAGGGACACACACACACACACATACAAAGACACACAGATGCGCACGCACCCGCATGCACACACGCGCGCGCGCGCGCACACACACACACACAGAGGAGCAAGGCAGGGGAAGAAAGAGGGACCAAGGGGAGAAGGTAAGGGGCGGCGCCAGCTGAGAGCCCCTCATTGCTCTCGCCACGCCTTCGTCCCCTCCCCTTTACTCCCCTCCCTTTCCCCACCCCCCGCCTTTCCCTTCCCTCCCCTCCCTCCCACCACCTTCCCCCACTTCCCTCCCTCCCACGTACCCACTCGATCGAGCGTTTGAGCGAGCTTTGCACGCTCCCACGTGTGCTGAGGGCAGGAGCAAAGGGGGGAAAAAGTGGCGGGGGGGGGGGGAGGGGGAAAAGGGGAGTGAGGGAAGGGTGGGTCGAGGAGCGGGATTCTGTTTTGTTGAGAGAAGACAGGAAGGGTGCAGCGGGAAGGGTGGAAAAGAGGAGGAAGGGAGGGAAACAGGATGGATGACATGAGGGAAGGAAACAGGATGGATGACATGAGGGAGGGAAACAGGATGGATGACATGAGGGAGGGAAACAGGATGGATGACATGAGGGAGGGAAACAGGATGGATGACATGAGGGAGGGAAACAGGATGGATGACATGAGGGAGGGAAACAGGATGGATGACATGAGGGAGGGAGCGTGTGCGATTTTGAGGCGCATCAGAAACAGGAGGGAGAGCGCGTGTGATGGCAGAGTAGCGGGGCAATGGAGGCTGGGGGGGGAAGGGATGAAGAGGGGTGAGGGTTTAAGTAGAGTAAGAACAAGGCAGCGAGAGAAGTGGTTGGTGGTGAGGGAAGGACCTGCTCTCCCCTCTCACGTCCCCCTCCCTCTTCCCTCCTTCGCTTCCTCTCCCTTTCTTTCCCCTCTCACCCTGACCATGTCTGCCCCCTCCCCTTTTCCCCCCCTCTCCTCTCCCTCTCCCCCTCTCCCCTCTCCCCCTCTCCCTCCTCTCATGGAATCGCTGTACCTGGATCATGGGTCGCCCCGCAATCAGCGCTAGCGGCTTCCCCACGAACCGCGACGACGCGAATCGCGCGGGAATGATTCCGATCACGCGGCGCCGCCGTTTTCTTCGCGACGCGCCTACTGCGGCCCGGACCGCGAGGGCCGTCCCGCCCACCGCTATCACCGCTGCAGCGGCAATCGCGGCAGCGGTGGCTGCTTTTCCAGCTAGACTGTATCCTTGGGGTAAATAAGATACTATCGAGTCTAAATATCCCGAATCGGAAGGATCAGCTTCGGCCTTAACGCGTCCGACGAGCCGCTCCGCATGGTCTTTAATCCCGCGCGCCGCGGATGTCAGCCATTTAAGCGCGGCATTTAAAGAGGTATCTGACGAGTCAAATATTCTCGATACCGCGTTCTCGGTTCCGGATTTTGAGTTGGGATTCGATGTCGTTGCCTCTGCTGCTGCTGCTTCTGCGGCTGCTGCTGGTGTAGGAGAGAAGAGTAGACGGCACGCGATCACGGCTGCCGCTGCCGCGCCGGCAGTCGTGACGGCGACCGCTAACGACGCGGTCGATCCTGACGGATACATTCTGATAACTGATGCTCAGTAGATTGCGAATCAAGTACAGCAGCGACAAGTGCTCAGATTAAAAGCGGCGGACGTATAACAAGCGAAGGCGAGCACGAACAGACCGAGTTTGCCTGATATCTAACTGGCCCAGCCTAGCCTGACGTGATCTAGGCGCCTAGACCACAGATTCTGGGTGGTCTATCCCTGACTGCAGCAAAGGCTAGGGGAGCGGCGTGGGTTGTACTGATCTGACCAGTCGATCAGCGTTGTATGTGGGGTGCCACTATTTGCCAATAGTGTGACTCGTTTGCCAGTTCATTAGAACGTCAACCAGAGATGTTACAGTTCGTGTAAATGTCCGGGTTTGAACTGTCTGTGCATTTTGCTGAGCAAATCGTAGCTCTGAAATCTCACACTCATAGGATTTATTATTTGGGGCCATCCATACAGGAGCACGTTTTCCATGTTTCACTAGTATTTCTGGTGATCTCACATGTGCACTTCACATTTCTCTGATAAGGTTGGGGATAGAGGACTCAAAACTCTAGTTGGTTGGTTACACTACACCGTATCGATCCAACCTTGGTTGTAAGGAATTTTCGCTAATTCCTTGCTGAGGCACCTCTTACGCGTACGATCCCAACTTTTCGGAATTCAGGCTCGGTCCGTCGACCTCGCCTCCCGAACGTCTTCCGCGTCGCCTTCGGGTTTTCCAACCCCAAACCCACACCCAACCTTCGCGCGACTCCGCGACCTCAGCTTAGCTTGTCAGAACATATAGCTTACCTGTTTGTGTAGGCTACAGTGGGGTATCCCATAAGGGGTACAACACAATTAGGTTTCCCATTTGTACCAATTTCTGACTTAGTCATTTCATTCCTGTTTACCTATCTTCACATGGTATAGAGCGGGTCCCTCTTAAGGACCGATTTTTTTGGGCCCACCCACGATATTCTCTCTGCCCGGAGCGCCCTACTCTCCCCGAGGCGCGCTCCCCCCCTCCCCCTTAGTGCATTTCCCGCTGCCTTTGTGGGCCCCCCGCGAGTAGCGCGCGAAATTTTTTTTTGCGCGCGCGGCTCGGGCCCACGTCGCGCGGGCTTTACGGCCGCGCCGCGCCGCCCTCTCGGCCCGGCTGTGCCCCGCCGCCCTCGAATCGGCCACGCGGCCGCTTCGTCGCGGCCACGGGCCCCGTTTTTGACGGCCCCGCCGTCCCCTTTTTGACGGCCCGCCGCTGCATTCTGCCGGCCCCGCCGTTTCCTGTCACGGCCCCGCCGTCCCCTCTCCCGGCCTCGCCGCTGCACCTTCCTGGCCCGCCGCTGAGCCCTGACGGCCCGCCGCTGCACCTTTTGACGGCCCGCCACTGCACCTTTTGACGGCCCGCCGCTGCACCCTGACGGCCCGCCGCTGTACCTGCTGACGGCCCGCCGCTGCACCCTGACGGCCCCGCCACTGCACACCCGGCCCCGCCGTCCCCTGTCCCGGCCCGCCACTGCACCTGTCCCGGCCCACCGCTGCACCTGTCCCGGCCCGCCGCTGCACCTTTCCCGGCCCGCCACTGCACCTGTCCCGGCCCCGCCGGCCTCTGTCCAGGCCCCGCCGCTGCACTGCAGCCGGCCCGCCCAGCAGCAGCCGAGCCGCCCAGCAGCAGCCGAGCCGCCCAGCAGCAGCCGGACCGCCCAGCAGCAGCCGAGCCGCCCAGCAGCAGCCGGACCGCCCAGCCGCAGCCGAGCCGCCCAGCAGCAGCCGAGCCGCCCAGCAGCAGCCGGACCGCCCAGCAGCGGCCGAGCCGCCCAGCAGCACCCGAGCCGCCCCACAGCTGCCGAGCTGCCCGGGAGTCGATCCGCCTTTCTGCTGAGCTGCACGACTTGCCCTGCCTGGTGAGCACAGTCCCTCTGTCACTGCGCCCTCTTTCCCTACTGCTTGCACTGCTTCGCTGTCGTCATCATGGCCACCCCTAGTGTCCTAGCCTTTGACGCCGAGGGTCGAGCCATTGATTTTGAGGTCTGGCTAGACGACCTGCAGCTTTTCTTACAGTGCGACAGAGCTGACAGCCTTTCTCTCTTTGACCTCACCTCTGGCGCCTCTCCTGCTCCTGCTGCCGATGCTGATCCCACTGTCCGCTCTCAGTGGGCCACCCGCGATGCTGCTGCACGTCTTGCTGTGCGTCGCCACCTCCCTACCTCTGAGCGTGCGCACTTTAGTCAGTACAAGAGTGCTCAGACCTTGTACGACGCTGTAGTTGCGCGCTACTCCTCCCCTGCCACTGCTGCACTGAGCCGTCTCATGCTTCCCTACCTCTTTCCTGACCTCTCTGTCTTTCCCACTGTCACTGACCTCATTACGCACCTCCGCACTAGTGACACTCGCTACCGCGCCGCCCTTCCTGCTGAGTTCTGCGCTAAGAACCCCCCCCCCATGTACATCACTCTCTACTACGTAGTCGCGCGCCTCCCTGACTCCCTCCGCGTAGTCAGGGACCACTTTCTCGCAGTGTGTCCCACCACTCTCACCGTCGACCTCCTCGAGAAGGCCCTCCTCGCAGCGGAGAAGAGCATAGTCGCTGTAGGTGCCTCTCGTGGTGACCCTCGCACCCCCATCTTTGAGGGGTGCTCTCCTTCCCCCTTGCTGCCCTCTGTTGCCTCTGCTGCTGCGGCCGACCTGCTTGGTCTTGAGTCGGTCGGCGCGGCGTCTGCCCCTAGTGGGAGACGTCGCTCTAGCAAGGGCAAGGGGGGCAAGGGCGCGGGCGGAGCTGGAGGGGGCGGTGGCGGTGGCGGCGGAGGCGGCGGAGGGAGTGGGGGTGGCGGCGGGAGTAGTGGTGGTGGTGGTGGTGGTGGTGGCAGCAGCGGCGGAGACGGTAGTGGTAGTGCCAGCGGTGGTGGTGGAGGCAGCAGCGGGAGCGGAGGCGGTGGAGGTGGAGGCAGTGGAGGCGGCGGCGGAGGAGGCGGTGGTGGTGGAGGAGGTGGAGCTGGTCGTGGTGGTACCCAGCAGCGGAGCGGCGGTGGTGGTGCCCAGCGCTCGCAGCGGCAGCAGCAGCAGCGTTCGCGGGACATCCCTCCGCCTCAGCAGCTTCGTGAGTGGTACGCTGCGCGTCAGAGGGGTGGGGGTACTGGTCCCTGCACCTACGTTCTTCGTTCCGGCGACCGCGCGGGTGAGCAGTGTGGGGGTGCCCACTCCACCCAGCGCTGCTTTGGCCGCCTCACGGACGCTTGGCGTCAGCAGTTCCCCGGGGCTAGTGAGATCCCTCGCTGGGATGAGCTCCTTAGGGCTGGTGTAGCGATCTTTGATCTTGATTTTGATGCTATCCTTTCTGCTATGTATGCTGTGACTTATAGTGAGGAGAATGAGGGTTACCGGTGTTTCCAGCCCGACCCGGGCATTGGTACTGCTGCGCTAGGTACTTGTGAGGCTGCTGCTCTAGGTGCCAGTGCGTCTGCGCTCTCAGGTACTAGTGAGACTGCGCTCTCAGGTGCTGGTGAGACTGCGCTCTCAGGTACTGCGTCGCCCTCGTCCTCCCTCACTTTCACACTCGACTCTGGGGCTTCTCGCTCCTTCTTTCGAGACCGCACTACCCTTACGCCTCTTGGCCGGCCGGTTGCGGTCTCCCTTGCTGACCCCTCTGGGGGTCCTGTCCTGTCTCACTTCTCCACTGTCCTCCCGTGTCCGGCTGCCCCTTCGGGCACCCTGTCTGGTCTGTACCTTCCCTCGTTCTCTACGAACTTGGTGAGTGGTGCGGACCTACAGGATGCGGGGGTTCACCAGTTCACTCCTGCGAGGCGACGGGTGACCCACTGCACGGACGCAGACACAGGCCGACACCTGGCCACCTTTTCGCGTCGGCCGGGGTCGAGTCTCTACACCCTGACCACTTCGTCTCCTCCTGTCCCTGCGTCTGGTCGGGTAGCTGCGTCAGGTCAGGTGTTTGCTGCTGCTTCCCGGTCAGGTCCTGAGTCTGCCCCCTGTTCTTGTCGCCTCCTGTCTCACGAGACTCTCCTGTGGCACCACCGTCTTGGCCACCCCTCCTTGCCCCGTCTTCGGAGCATGGCTTCCCGTGTCCTTGTCTCTGGTCTTCCCCAGTCTCTCCCTCCTCTCCCCTCCGGGCCAGGACCTTCCTGTGTCCCCTGTGTCGAGGGTCGCCTCCGGGCTACTCCTCACTCCTCCCACTTCCCCCCGACAGAGGCTCCCCTGCAGACGCTTCACATGGATGTGTGGGGCCCAGCCCCCGTCCGTGGGCAGGGTTACGAGCGCTACTTCCTGTTGGTGGTTGACGACTACTCGCGTTACACCACAGTCCTCCCCTTGCGCAGCAAGGGTGCGGTCACTGAGGTGCGGATCGACTGGATCCGCGAGGCTCGTCTCCAGCTCAGGAAGAGCTTCGGCTCGGACTTTCCTGTTCTGCGTCTGCACTCTGACAGAGGCGGAGAGTTCTCTTCTCGCCTTCTGCGAGACTACTGTCGTGC